TCGACTTTCTGGCAGATATTATTGCCAAGGTGCCCGACCAACCGCCGAGTCGGAAACATGAAGATGATGGCAGTGATCAGAATGAACAGCCGAAACGAAAGAGAGGTGGCCGTCGACCTAAAGATGACAGCGATTGATTATATTGGGCAAGGGTTGTTAGGCGCATTTTCATCTATTGATTGATTCTTGTTTTGTTCTCGCTTTTCTATATCAGTGGACGATCTGCTGGGCTTTTCTCTAGACCGGAATGGAGAACGGGCGCATACTATACTCTCAAGGCGTTGCGGTGGTGGGCATGGATGGGCTTGCATCTCGCGATGTGAACAGGTACCTTTCTGTTTTGTCTCTCTTCTGTACGCGCTTTCCTTAGGTGAGGATTGGAGGTTTCGCTCTGGTCCTTTTTCTACGTCCTGGTTGATGTGACAATTTCAATGCATGCGACGGGAAAACTTGTGTACTGTAGAGTAGGTACTGGTTGGTTGCAGGTGCTGAGCATCAACTGGAACTCGCATTCGAAATGCGACGAAAGAATACGCACGCACTGCAACTTGATAAGGTTTCCTTCAGAACGTCGGAGTGGAAACACCACTAAACCCGATCGGGTGGCACCGGGGTCCGCATCAGACTAACCCCTTTTAGGTGCATGTTTGGGCCTGAGTTCCAGCCCCAGGCACTCACTCAACTTACTATTGCTGCTGCTGCTACTGCTGCCCTTTCCTTCCTCCTGCACATTGTTAACCTTTCCCCCTCTCCGACTTTCATCCCCTCCCCCCCTCCTCCACCCTGACTGATCATGTTTGAGACATAGTACCATGCTGGTCCTTCAAAATCATGGACTTTGTATGTTTGACTCTTTCCTCGTATCCCATTCCAGATCCTCGTGCTTTCCGTCAAAGCCAAACAAACTGATACAAAGCAGTGGTCTCGTATTATCGGGGGCTCCCGCTCGCTCTCTACTAAGAGCTTTCGGGCAACTACTCCCACAGAGCGATTGACCTCGTTCAAGCGAACGTGTAATACTCTGCAGGTATACCATCGTCTTCGGCAGGAGTAGCTCGGGATCCCATGCTGATCTGATCGTTCCAGCAAATATGGCGCTCCAGCAATTCTCCATCGGGCGAGCAGTCCGCGACAGTCAACGCGCGCAACTGCATTGATCGGCTGATTTCCGTCCTCAGTGACGAATCCCGTGGCCCGGCCCCTCATCCATGCCTCGCATACGCCTCCTCCTCGCAGATCTTCGTCACCGTCACCAAACTCGCCCTCTCCTCCTACGACGATGGCATGCTCCGCTCCGCGACCGTATTCTTCAACACTCTGATCGATTCCGAGGTCGACGGGGTGGTCGATAACCGTCTCTTCGCGCGAGCGCTGGTGGATCTCGTCCGCCGGGCGGACAAGCACTCGGAAGATGTGGAAGGGAGACTCGTCGAGCTTCTGTTCGGGGTGGCCAACAACATCCGCCTGCAGCCCCACATCCTTCCGGCGTGGTTCGCGCCCCGATCCGACGAGCAGGAACGGGAACAGCAGAGTACCAACGGGGCGGAATTCGCCGGTGCCATGAGAAAGGATGACTTTCCGCTGTTCTACCTGCTGGTGGAATATGTGCACCACGCGGGCCGCGCGGGCGATTTCGCCCGCACCGGTCTACTTTACCTGATCGAGACGGCGTCGAGGTCGAAGAATCTCGAGCGATGGCTGATTGAGAGCGATCTGGCAACGTTGATGGCAACCGGTCTGGGCGCGCTGTACAGTCAATTGGGAAGGTGCGTATGCAATCATGGAGGGGTGTCGCAGATCTGCTAGGCCCAACTGACCATGCCGGTTTAGCTTGACGTTCCCTGAGAACACAGATGAGAACATCCCGCATATCGTCGCTCTGTCGGACCATGCCAATCAAGAAACGGCCCTTCCCCCGCTGGTCGGCCCGTCGATGGACTCGTTTATGTCGTATCTGCTGTTCTGGCAGGACACGATCGACCACTGCAAGTCGGCCGAAGTGAACGGGTCACTGTTGGATCATTTCCAGGTACTGTTCCTGGAACAGCTGCTGTAAGTTAGAATCTACCCATCATGGTTTGTTGTTATGCTGAGTATGTCCGCAGGTACCCATCGTTGCTCGAATCGTCGGATGTTGAGGGTGGCTCGACGGCGGCGGTACTTACCTATCTCTATCGGATCCTAGAGTCGGTAAACCAAGAAGACCTTGTGCACCGGATTCTCCATTTTCTTCTTGCCTCCCCTTCCGACTCAGAACCCGTCAAAATTGACATGTCTGTTAGTCGACGGAAGTCGCTGGATGTGTTGGCTGCGTTTTCTGAAGAAGCCGCGAGGCCTTCACCATCCTTGTTCAACCTGCGCGACCTGACTTTGCTTGGACTCCAGTCGGCTAACCGTCAGACTACTTTGGCGACACTGCGTCTCATGACTGTCGTGCTACAGAGACATCACTCTTTTGCACGGTCATTGGTTCGCACCGTCCCAGGTCAATATGCCAAGCAGCGGACCGTTGGCGCTCTCAGCGTTGAGCTTCAAGAACTGCTCGGCATGGCTACGTCAATCGTCGACGATCCGACATTAAATGACTCTTATGATAACTACCTGAAGGATGGGCTAGCGATCCTAGAATCCCGCCTTTGTATGGCCCTTTCGGAGGACAACCCAGAAGACCACCTTCCTCTCGAACTTCGACAGGATGACCCCATTGTGCACGAGCTACTCCACCGCCTCGAAAACTTCTTCACCAATAGTGTAGTTGTGAACCTAGCCCTTACAGAGGTCTTGGGAAGTATCGTTGCATCCCATTTGATATCTCTCGATGGATGGCTTCTAGTAGATCCGGCGAAATATGTCTACACATCGGAAGAAACAGGCGCATCCGATCTTGTCGACCAAATCAAGCATGCTTATGAAGAGCCAACGTGGGCTCAAGCTGACATGCCAGCTCTCAAGTCGACCCTTCAGAAGCTCGTGCAAAAGATCCAAACCTGGCGTCAGGAGATCCCCGACTTCGATATCCTTGTCGCCGCGCGCCGGGACCTACTCCATCAGGACGACGAGCCGGCTCAAACCCCCAACCGTTCACAACGGGGTTCCCAACCGCCCACCCGGTCTCCCTCACAACGACCGACCCCGCGCGTTGAATCCGAATACGGCTCACCAACGCCCCGAGGCAGGCCCTCTAGTCGACCCTTCGATCGAGCCACCGCCAGCCCCTCCCCAACTCGAAATAGTTCCAGGGACCTTTTCTCCGCCCAAGACCTCCCATTCCGACCTCCACGAGAAAACTCCGTCGCACGGAAGAATGCTGCCGACGAACTCCGTCGACGGCTCGAGCAGCCATTCGCAGTGAACTCTCCTCTTACCCCCGGTGAAACCACCGCCCCCGTCATCACCGACAACTTACCAGAACCCACCCCAACTGAGCCCACCTCAGCTGATGGTGGGAGTTCCGACACCGCCCAGACCCTAACCCCAACTCCGGCTTCCGAAGGTGTTCCTACGCCCGACGAACCCCCCACGTCCTCGGCCGTCCTCGACGAAGAGGATGACCACCAGGAAGCAACATTGGGCCACGTGCTGACCAACGTAATTTTGTTATACGAGTTTCTCCTCGAGGTCTCGGCCATCGTTCAGGCACGCGGAACCTTATTCGAGGAGGCGGGATACCCGGGTCTAGGGATTGCTCCAGCGGCGGCCCCCGTCGAGATAGAATAGACTTCAGCCACAAGTTCGGAGCAATGGGGAGGCAACCGGTTCACAAATCTGGGCAGGTCCTATGTGAACGAGATCTCATGAACGGTGACCAGGGTAAATGTATGTTCTATCTGCGGATGAAGGTTCTGGTTCGAAGGGCCATAGTGGTGTATTGTCTTTTCGTCGTATCTGTCTTAGTATATCATGGTTAAAGCTGGGATATATCAAACTAGGGGATTGGATGGAGATGTACAGTATTGCCATGTTTTTATCAAGAGTGTTTCTTCTCATCACATTTATGCATAAGAGCATTTCCGGGTCAATCGGGAGCTTGAGTCAAGGACTCCAGAGGATGTTGTTTGTTTCCATATCATACAGATACCAAGTCCCCTTACCTAAACGCATAGAACTAATCACGAATGTTACTAGGAGTTGCTATATCGCCGTCAATCGTTGAACACATCGCCAGTCAAACAGCACGATATATACTGGCTGTCTGGCTGTCTGGCTGGTCATCTGCCCGATTGAAGGCTCTCCTGATTCGCTAGTGAGGTGTATATATACATCAAATCTATTTAGAGAAACCCTCGGCTCTCCGGCAGCTTGTACCCATATCCGAGCAGCATCATCATCATCATCACTACCACCATCACAGCAGCAGAGAAGGCCAATCTTTAACGCAGATACTGTACATCCACCATCAAAACGGAGAGTAGTACATACTTCAGTGCATATACAACGATACCTTGTGTTGCAATGCCATGGATAGACACTCCTTGGACGAACCCTCTCTATATACGCACCCATACATGCAGCGTCTGATCCCGAATGTCCCTACCTACCTACCGGCCGTCTTACCCACCTGCCTGCCTGCCTGCCTGCCTGCCTGCCTGCCTGCCTGCCATAGCCATAGCCATAGCCTTGGGAAAGGGGCGATAACACCCGAATCTACCAATTTACTCCTGGAATGGGCGGTCCACCGCCACTACTACAAAAACAGACACCCGCATGCATTCTCACACGTCCCCACCAGCTGGAGACCATCCAATCCACCCTATCAACCCTCCACCCACTCGACATCCCACAGATCCCATTCCATCATATGGACTGACAATCCCCAGAGCTGAAAACCGAACTATCGTGACCTGGGAGAAAGAAGGAAAGAAGAGTAAAGAATACATTCCACAATAACCCACCTTAAGAGGTTACCGAATACATTTCAGAGCGTAGGCTTTGGAGCGTGTAGGCTTTGAAGCAGCACTGGTGCAAGGAAGGAAGAAAGACAAGGGCCAGGCTACCTTGCCCTACCACACCCACCTGCCCCGCGTCCACACGCGGACGAAATCCACCTTCTCCTTCACGCCCAGCCCGACCCGCTTGACGCGGCCCAACCGCGCCAGGGAGTCGGCGACGTGGTCGAGGAGCGCCGCGTCGGAGACAGCCGTCGCCTCCGGGGAGGAGGAGGCGCTGCGGGTCGAGGCGTCCAGGGTGTCGAGGTAGTTGGTGTCGTAGTTGGTGCGGCGGGTCGACGAGCCGGTCGATGCAGCGGAGGCTGTTGTTGTTGTTGTTGCTGTGGGGGTCACGCCGCCAGCGATGCGGACGCGGATGCAGTGCGTGGGTTTGCTCAGCAGGTTCCACAGGAAACTGAGGTAGCTGCCGGGCAGCGGGGTGACGACGTCGACGGGGGTGTAGCGGAGACTGATGGGGTAGATCTTGGTGGCGGGCGGGACGGCGAGCAGCGCCGGGCTGAGGGGCAGGATGGCACGGCCGTTGGTGGTCGTGCACTCCGGGAAAGTGACGAGGGCGCGGCCGGGGTACTTGCGGAGGAGGGCGTCGAGGGTGGTGAGCTTGCGGGCCGCAGGTGCGGTGGGCTGCGGGGCGCCGAAGGCGCGCAGGATCGCTTGAAAGAGCGAGATCTGCTCGACTTCCGAGGTGTTGGGGTAGCATGCGGTGAAGATCGGGTCGAAGATCGCGGCCAGGTACAGCGGGTCGATCGGGGAGGTGAAGGAGGAGGCGATGATGGAGCGCGGGCCGGGGAGGCGGGTCTGGTCTTGTCGGTGCAGGGATCTAGAGGCCGTGGGAATCGAGGGCTCAGTGGGATTCATTGATGTGTGTGTGGGATGTTGGTGTAGGCTCCGGTGGAGGAGATTTGGCGGATTTTGAAAGACATGGCCGATTTTGCTTGCACTCACCCTTTTCGCACGCCGTCGACCTGCAGATCAATCCACCATATACTAGGTATCCCCAGGATGCACCAGAGGGAGGCCTTCTTGCCCAGCGATCCGATCGGAAGCCATTGTAGCACCAGGAAGTAACTCAGGCAGGCGAACACAAAGAGCGGCAGTCGGATCCAGAACAGGACAATGCGGACGGGGATTTGGAGGTAGCTGATGGGCTGCGGAGGGATGGGGAGGAAGGGTGCGATGCCCGAGCCTGGCAAAAGTCAAACTGTGAGCCCGGCAGATACCGAGACAGGTACGGAATGCTGACCTCGATCTCGGAATTGAGTGAATTTCTCCATGGTTCAGTAGGAGGAGGGAGGGTGGTGCGTGGTGGGTGATGGAGGAGGTTGTGTGATCGCCGATTTGGCCATGTGCTAGCACATTACCAGCAGTGTGCCTTGTCTAAGAAGTAAGACCAAAGCTGGGTATGGACCTCGAGTAAGAAAGAGAGAGGGTCGAGGGGTAAAGCTGGTTGAGCTCAACTGTTGGAGTTTGGAGTTGATTGATGCTCTGGGTGGAATTCACATGTCCACAACGTCCACAATCCCACTAGCCTCCTTTGGGATGAGAACTGCCATATGATGCCGGACGAAAAGCCGAGGCTCAGCCACATTTCCCTTTCGGGAGAGCTGCACCTCTCAACTCGCTCATTGTTCGTCACGGTATAGCTATAATATCGCGGCATAAGTGTCTACCATTGATGGAAAAACTATACGTATGCTCTTGAATATCAGCACACTAGGCTAGAGCCCCACTGGCAAGTGGTTGACATGACTGCTGCAAATGACGTCCAGCAGCATCACCGCCTTGTCTCGAGCCTACATGGTACAAGACACTCCAATGAACAATCTGTGTCTATATTCAAAACCATTTATAATTTATACAACATTTATACAAGAAGGATAATACGAGTCGATCAAATATGCCTCTCATGAACGAGGCAAGCGGAACATATAGACGGCCACTCCAACCATCATGAATGCCGTGGCAGTCATCATCCACGCCAGGCCAATCCACGGCCCTCCCAGCTCCAGCCCGATTTGAAACACGGTCGTGATCGACAGACTGGCAATAACGTTGCCCATCGACTGCAGGACCTCGATGATCGTGAACAGCCGCGCCGTCTCCTCCCGTCTCACCAGCGTCGTGATCAGCGATCGCGTCAGGAAGACGAACCCGGACCCGGAGGTCTGCAGCAGCAGGCTCGGAATCAGCATGTACACGTGGCTCGAGAGCCCGATCCCCAGGGTCCCGACCGCCAAGAACACGATGCTAATACGCATCAGGGTCAGGTCCTTCTGCGTGGGCTTCATGGACTTGAGCAGGCGTCGCGAGATGGCGGGGAGCACGAAGAGGAACAGCGGGATGGTCAGGGCCGGCTTGAAGGACATGAGGAAGTTGGCTTCTGCCAGGGTCCACTTGAAGCGGGTGGAGATGTACTGCACCAGGAACCAGGACGAGCCGCGGCTGAGTCGGTAGACAAGGAACGCCGTCAGGAGGAGCATGATCTGGCGGTTTTGGACGATGAAGGCATAGGGCGCGAAATAGGCCTGGACTCGGCGTTTCACCGCGGCGAAGACGGTTCGTCTGGTAGCGGTAGCGGTGGCTGCGCCGTTCTTCTCATCGACATGCGACTCCCCAGGAGCAGAGTCCTCGTCATCACTGGATACCTCCTGCTCCTGCTCTTTGCTCGGGACGGATTTATACTCGGCGTGGCTGGAGAAAATCTGTCCGAGTTCCAGGTTATTCGACTTCTTCGAACCACGCCCTGGGGAAGCGCCCATCGTCTCTGGTAACGACAAGGCGAAGAACATCCCAATAATAGCGAGTGCCCATCCCAGCAGTAGCGGCAACCACGGATCGAGGGCCATCAGCCACGAGCTGGCCGCGCTGGACGCGAAATCGGCCCCCATACCCGCCACCCCGAACTTGAAAAAAATCGCCGCTCTGACGAACTAATCAGCAAAAACACGCACGCAACTCCAACCAATCGCAACAAGCATACCGTTCTTCCTCAGTCGAGACATCCGACATCATCGTCCAGATAATCGCAAACGCGACGACCGGTCCCCCGCCCAGCAGCCAGGCCAACGACGACGCCCACACGGTTCGCAGGGGGAAAGTATCCGGGAACCACATCACAGCCAGCTGCATGAGGCAATTGAGAACGAAGCCTGGAATGCTCAAACAGATGGTGGATTTCCGGCCTAATCGGTCTGCCATCAGACCATAGGGGATTGCCAAGATAGCACCTGCAGAAAGGACATAAGCAAGAAGATTCACACGCGCATCAACAGTCAAAACCATTCGGCAACAAGGTGATGTGTGTAAATGACAACAAGAGACAACAGAGGGAGAAAGAGAGGCTCCGATCCAAGGGTTATTAGGCAGAATCATGAAACACATACTCAAAGTCCCATCGAAGAACTCCATATACCCCTTCACGGCGGCCAGATCCTGCTGGACCTCCTTGATCTTGCACAGATCCTCGTCGACCTGCCCGTTGGCGCCGATTTGCGTGGGATCGTACTGCGCATAGTACTCGCGACAGGCGATCGACTCGAAGATGCGGGTGACGGGCCCGTTGGACATGCAGATGCCGACCTCGACGGCGAGGATCATGGCAAACAAGGTCACCATGAGTCGAAAGCGGATTTTCTTGTTGAGCAGTTTGACGTCCTCATCCTCTTCTTCGTCGTCGTGGTGGTGGAGTGGGTCCATACCCTCATCCCCATCTTCATTGTGCTTGTGGGCTGCGTTGGTCCGGTGAACGTTGGAATCGGAGGCGACGTCGGCAGCAGCAGCAGCAGCCGCAGCAGCCAGGAACGGGGCATCCTCGCGGTCGAGGGATTCTTTGAACGGGGTCGACATGGCTTTTCTCTCAGCTCCTATGGGACCATGGCCCGTCCGGATCGGATAGAGAGAGGGAGAAGGGGGGACGTGTGGTGAAAAGGAAAGAAGGATTTTTTGTATATATACGAAGGAAGAGGAAACAATTTTACATGTGGACAAAATTTCAAAATCTATCCATCTAGTCACGCAAATACTCAAATTGAGCCATTTTTGGGGAAACTTGGGAGAGAAGGGGGAGGGGGGAGGGATATTCAGAGGACAGAGGGGAGAGGGAGAGAGGAGGTGGGGAGTGAGGGAAGCAAATTGAAGATGAAACCTCCGGGATAGGGAGTTCAGAAAGAGAAAGAGAAAAGGGAACAGTCAGGGTGCATATTTCAGTATAAAACAGCAGCCCAGCCCCGGCCCCAGTCTCCGCCAAGCGGGAAATGCCAGGTCCAGTTTTGTTCTTATTATAATTGCCAGTACCAGAAGGTACAGTACATTCAGATAAGACTCCACTGCCGGCGTGCTCAATACTCCTAACACCACCTATGGCAGACTAGCTGCCAATCCCGAAATGGGGCCGGTTCTCCTATTTTGAGACCGACTTTTTGGGGCGGAAGAGAGCCCTTGCTCTCGGCAGGAAGGGCATTAGCACCTCTGAGATTCCCAGAGAACCGGTGGGAGCCTCAGGAGCAATAGAGTGTAGCATCTTTTGTCAATTGTGAGAGTGATTGTGACGGATGCGGTGTGGTCCAGACGAAACAGAACATGGCCGTGGATGAATATACCGTACAGTAAGTAGTACTGATGATGCGGAGCTGGCGCGTCCTCGGATGCGTACGGCAGGCAGCCAAGGCATCAACTCAGGCAGCCTTCCGCGAGTGCAGTGCTTACCCAGAGGGAGGTAGAGCACTCCAGGCTGCGAGATCGGTACAGTATGAACATTCTCGTATAAAGTATTTGTTCAATGGGAAAACCATGCTGCCTGCAAACCACCCTGACCCAGTCGATCAGGCTGCTGATCGAAGCGAGATTCTTCATTGGACTGAAATGATCGATGCCACTGATTTCAAGGGTGGTCTTTCCAGGGGCTGATCCTGACTCAGCAATCTCCATGCGATACCAGCCCACTCAGAGGCCGCTAATCCTAATCCGAATCGATGTGGACTCCACCGCCCGGGTAATTCTGCCCTGCCAAACATTCCATCCGACTGTCTGGCCGCTTCCAGACTCAACGTTCTATCGGGATGCTCCAGCTCCAGCCAGCCAGCCACAAATGCCTCCTCTAACATAAAACAGATGAGACTTTCTGCCAGAGGGGATTAGACACATATAGATCTCTACATGTGCATTAATCAATGGATTTACTTCATGGGCAGCCTTGGAATGTGCATACAATGCCCTATCGTGACCGATAACTGCCTCAAGAATGATGTCTCTTCCCATTCTTCCCGGTGTCTTCCGGGCTGGAAGTAACCCAAACTAATATATATTAACCAGTACAATTAATGGTGATTGAGAACGGAACGCTCGACCGGGTTACACTAATAGCAGCATGGCTCAATAAGTCTAATGCCTATAACTTCGTTGTGGCAACTATCTCTCCGGCAAAAAAAGAGAGGTCTAGACTGAGAAAAATCACAAAAGTCGCGTCGTTAGCGGTTGGGATCGTCTCTCGGAGTCACGCCGTCAAATCATGATAAATGCAGACACAAAACAAAAATATGAAAAGAAAGAGGGGAAAAAGTGATGGTTAAAACAGGAAAATAAGAATGGTAATATGCAGATCCAAGAGGCCAGCTCTAGGGCACTTCTTTGTCTCCCCTCTTCAGCCCCCCGGGCACATCAATTGCGTCCTTCACCCATGGCAAGGACGCGATCTCGTCAAGGTTCTTCCTCTTGGTGTTGCGTTTCAAGAGTCCCTCCACACATTCTCGCGCGCCTTCCAGATCGCTGCCCTTGACAGGATCCCACTCGCCGTCACTGTCCGCATACCGATACCAGGACCACTCCACCCGCGCAATGCGATGAGGTGTCCGTGCGCGCAATTTCGCTGGGTCACCTCGAGTACCCGGCAAGGCGTCGAATGGCAGCCGATTCTCCATCATCGCATACAGTAACACGCCCAACGCCCACGCATCTGTTGACCGTCCATCGTACGATTGGCCCATCAAGATCTCTGGCGCCGCATAATCCTCGCTGCCACACCGGGTCTGCAGAAGTGGGCTTTCCGGAGGCTCGGGTATCCGTCGGGATAGACCCAAATCGCTGAGGGTCACGATTGCTCGATCGTATGTGCGCCAGTCGCTGATCGTATCCATCGCGGCGACAGGCAGATTGACAAGAACGTCTACAAGTGGGAAGACAAGTTAGGCCTCGCACTATGTAACAAGTCCGGAATACTCACTCTCTAGCTTGATATCACGGTGCACAATGTAGTGCTCGTGTAGGTAGCGAACGGCTGCTACCAATTCGGCAAACATGCGACGAATCACAGGGGGACTCAAAGGCCGGTTGCTGGAAGAGGCCACATCGAAGAGGTCTCCGCCTGGACAATAGTCGAGGACGAGTAGTGCGCGTTTCTCGTCGCTGCCAAAGGCTTTCAGCTGAACCAACGAGGGATGATTGACTGATTTAAGGATCTCCACCTCGCGCTTAAGAGAAACCTCCAAGCGCTCTTCGTCCGCGCCTCCCGCCGGTCCATACTCGATAATCTTGACCGCGACCAACTTCTGGGTCGCGAGGTTCAAGTCCTGCAAACTAGAGCCGTATTGTGATGGGTCGCTATCGCGCGTCTCCACGCGCATGGCTAGACTGACTTGGCTGAACGTTCCATGACCCAGTTGACGAAGTTTGCGATATTTCCGGCGTTGCTGAGTGCGCACAGAACGCACCGAGTATATCTCATCCGCAGTGTCAGGGACAGGTGTAATAACAGGTCCACCGTCATCTTCATCGAGCCCACTGCGGCTACTGCGTGGCGGACTTGGCGGGCGAACGGTCGGCAATGCGATTCCACGATGTACGGCCAAGTATTGCTCCCGATGGAGGTTGTGCGCGTTTGAGTCTGTGCTGGTGGAGGTGGAGATCCCGTGTGGCGCGCCGGTTCCCGAGACCACAATGGGTCGTGGTTTAACAGGCACACTTCGGCCTGGGGGGACATATTCGCTCAAACTGCGGTTGCGCGCGTGCTTGGGAGCGGATTCGGCCCGTGTTTTCGTCGGTGACTCGAGCGGCGATTCGTGCAGTTTATCCGATAGTGTGTAATGTTTGTTTCGGCTTCGTGGTCGGGCTTCACAAGCTCCGAGCATGTGCGATGAATCGCTTAGTCGCAGACTCAGACTTGAGCCTTTTCGTGAGACCGTTGAAGGGGTCCGGGAGAGAGATTGAGAATTGCGCCGGGGGTGTTTCCATGGCGACATGCCACTGATGGGCGACGGTAAAGGGGTGATGTCGCCCATTGCTACCAATTGTGGTGACGAGATTATAGAGGCCGGCGACAGCGAGCCTCCACTGTTGGGAGGCGCCGCAAAGAGACCGCGTAAACTAGGGGTGCGACGGGGCAGACTGCTCGAGGAAAGACTGTGGTGTACCAGGGTGTCAGCGTCCCTGGGAGGGCTCATTTGACTGAAGATTGGCAGATCGGTACGTATTTGCAGCGAGGGTAGAGGATGGTGAGGGTTGTGCTGGGCAGTCGGGTCATGAAGGCGGTTCGACGGGGGCTGGAAACTATATAGAGGAGGGGAGTCAAGGCTCCCTTTGGCAGGGATTACTGCATTCCGATCGAATTCATCGTTACTCGAGCCGGTTGATTTGTTGGCCTCGTGCGACTCGGATTGAGGCGTCGTTGCAGATCCTGACCTCTCGGTCGGTGGAGAGTAGTCTGAGTAGACCATCGAACGTATTAAATTGGAGAATTTGGTTTGAGATCTATGGTATGGTTCGAATTGCGGTTCTGCAATCAATCGCCCGAGCGGGAGTTGCGACGGCGCGCAATGGCAGTACTAGAATTGCGGGTAAGGTCGGGGCTGCCCAGAAACGAAAAATCCCTCGGATCAAGCTTAAGCAAAGCCCGTCGAATTTGGCACTAGAGCTCGGGAGGATACCACTTAGATAGGAGCAAGTCAAGAGAAGGTATTGTGGATATTGTTTTAGGAGACAGAGGGACAATAAGATGAGAAAGAAGAATAGGAAGAATAGGAGTGAATGGAATAGGAGGGGGAGAGTGAAGAGAATGAGAGAGAGAGTAGAGAAAGAAAGAGGAAGAGGGGGCCCGGGGGGATAAACGGGAATAGGAAAGTCTTCTAACCCAGGACAAGTGAGCAAGAGTATGAGCAAGCGCAAGAGCAAGCAAGTTAGAGAACGGCAAGAGGCAAGCAGGAAGAAGCAAGTAACCCAAGGTTAGTAAGTAAGCAAGACAGCCAGCCCCAGCAAGCATGAGAAGCAAGCAAGCAAGCAAGCAAGCAAGAGCAAGCAAGAGCAAGCAAGAGCGCGCAAGCAAGCTCTAATAAGAAGCGGAGAATCTCGTTCCAGTTTCGATGATGACGCTGCCCTGCAACGGAACGAAAAATCCACGCGGGGGTCAGCTGATAACACTTGCCTGCTTTGAGCCTAGCTCACACAAGTCTAGCCTCCACGAGGAAAGACGCTACCCCGCATCAAGTAATACCGTTGGCGGAAGGCCCAGAAGGAGGATCGGATCTTGCCTGTTCAAGTAAAGGAACTGGAAGAGTTCAGAGACAAGTCCGGTGAATTGACCCTATCTATCATTTCCTGAGTCAAGGACCAGGGCCAGCCACTTATCTACTCCGTCGCTCGGTCCGGATTGTTTGCGACGGCCGCGGCATAAAAGATAAGTCGAGCTTACTCCGTCGATAGATCGATAGATCAATAGATCAACAGATCTCTCTATCTCTCCCTCTCTTCTTCACTATCCGAATGGCTGAGTAGTAATCACATTCTGCTAATAAGGTTCCAATGTGAAGCATGCATTCATCCCACGACTCCGAAGTCGCCCTCAGCGTTTACCTAACTTGGAAACAATCCAGAGTTTCCTCGTCATGTGCCTTGCATCGCCGAAATGAACTGCGGAGATTGAACCCGCTTGAGCGTCCTTTTCCTTACCTAAGGTTTGACGACAAGCCTCTCTAACCGGAAGAGTGTCAATACCAAATCCCAGAATGGGAGGGCAAATTCAATTCCACCATGCTGAACGTCCGTCAGCAGTATGCGTTAAATGGATGCATCGCCGCTTTACCTGTCATTACAGTGGCGATCTGGCAGATCGTGATACAGACGGGCGCTGCAGAGAAATCTCCGTGAGGATGCACTGTCAATGCCGTACAGTGCATTCATGTTATGTATAAAGAAATGCCCTGCCCTGCACTTCGCACTGACATCTCTCGTCGCGCAATTGGCCGCGGAAGCCCCGTCGACCTGGTTCTCCTTAATCTAAATGCATTTTTCGCGTCTCTGGTCCGGTCGCAGCCTTTTGACTAACCGCGGCGCGGGACCAGCCCAAATCTCATTTAACTAGTGGACAGCGATAATACCCTCATTTTATTACTTTTTCAGCCCAAGGTCATTTGACGCACTGTGCACATCATCATCGGCGGCCACGCTACCTTAGCGTCGGCACTAAAGTTGTAGACTTTGACCAGTGGGAAAGGTGGAAGCAATCGCATCCCCCCTGCTGCTCTGCGTTTCCTTATCCCGTTTCAGGGTCATGGAGCCGATCCTCCTGCAGTGCTGCCAGGATACGTAAGCCAACGGAAGGGGAAGGCGGTTTCCTGTTCAACAGGTTTCATCTTTCCTTCGCGCATCAGAGATTTGTACTGCAGACTTTCTCACGGTCGCTTCAGGCCAATTTTTACAGAGTACGGAGTATACAGCATGCTTATGCATCCAGCCAGTTTGATATGAGATAGATGCACAGAGACTCCGAGACAAACGGCCGATTCAGATCACTAGTACTACGATGCTAGCACGTCGTCTACTAACAAATGGTGTATAGGGCAACCTGGCACCGATTGTCCACGGAAGGCATTACTATAAGTATGACTAGGTACTATAATAAGAATAGTGGGTAAGGATTGCACTCGAAAGAGTAGAAGGTGATTGCTGCATTATGCTGAACCACCGCAAACAGAAAAGTTTATGTAAAGTCAATGCCGACCACTCATAATGAGTCAACATGCGTCACTCTGAGTTACCCCACATCAGTGTGAGCTACCGTGAAGAGTCCCGTAGCTACAAGCTACAAGCTAAACAGTCCACCTGGGGTAAGCAAGTATATAAACATATCCTAATCAGCACTATTAGACCATTGATCTGCTCAAAGCCACCATATCCAGCCTAAAGACGCAAAGCCGCATTACTTCCTTCTATCAATCCATCTCAACTATCACTATCTCCCGCAAAATGCCACTAACCACCACCACCACCACCACCACCACGACATCCACAACAACCAAGCCCTCCACCCCCCTAACCTTCTACGACATCGCCACCCGCCCTCCTGCAGAGAAGAATGCCTGCTCCCCGAACCCCTGGAAAACTCGGTTCACGCTGAACTTCAAGAACCTGCCGTACAAGACCACCTGGGTGCCGCTGCCGGAGGTCGCCAGCGTGCGCAAGAGCCTGAACGTGCCCGCGTGCCGCCAATTCGCCGACGGCAGCGACTTCTACACCCTGCCGATCCTCCACGACCCCACCACCAACACTTTACTTGGGGACTCCTTCGACATCGCCGCCTACCTCCAAGCCACCTACCCAACTGCCGGCAGCGGCGACCTCTTCCCTACCCAACCCCTGGACTACACCTTCCCGCTGGACCCGCCGCCCATCGTCCCGCTCTCCGAGTGCAACGCCAACAACCCCGCGCTGGCCGCATACGCCCGGTTCAACGTGCACGTCGACGCGGCGTTCACGGCGCACACCCAGCTGACCGTGCAGGGGTTCCCCTTCGACCCGGCGACGGAGGCGACGACCAAGGCGGAGTTCGTGCGGCGGGCGCAGCTGGCGGGCGCGCCGATGACGAGCTGGGAGGATTTCAAATGCGAAGGGGAGTACCGCCACAATATGATCCTGTCGTTCGAAAAGACGCTGGGGGCGATTGCGGAGTTGTTCGTGCAGAATCCCGAGGGCCCGTTTGTGCGCGGCGTGAGCGCGTGTTATGCGGATTTTCTGGTGGGCGCGTGGTTGCGTATGTTCAGTGTCATGTTGCCGGAGGAGGAGTGGGCGTTGGTGAAGGGGTGGCATGGGGGTGTCTTTGGGCGGTTGCATGATGCGTTGGAGGTTTATGCGGATGTGAAATAGATACCTGGGGTTGTTTTGTACCCCGATTGGTTGGAGGACTGGTGTTGTGGTTGGGGTTGCGGAATATATTTACTCAAGACCTATCTCGCACTGTTATACACGGGTGGCCTGAGAAGGGCTTCTGAGAAATGATTAGCTGGTGTTAATGAATACAAAAGTGGTATTATTGGGAATGAAAATGGAATGACTCGTTGCAAGTATCGGGAGGAAAGGACGAGGTAAATGTAGGCTCGGGCTCAAATATCAGGGCAATTGATATCAGCTACTTCTGGAGTCCTTATAGTAGGCAGGCAGGACAAGGTAACACAGCAATCTGCTTGTAAAATCGACTACGGAGTAGCGCAAACAGACTCAGTGACTGACCATGACCATACTTCAGTAAAATTATACACCATCGACTTGATCCTTCCGAGTTTAGACCCTTCACACAGTGTCATTTCTATCGTGTACGATGGCGAGACGACCCCGAACCTCGAATTGCGCTAAAGCCTGGAGAGGATGAAGATAGTGTGGATTGGACGGAACCAGAATGTAATCACAACCGCGCTTATGAGCGATAAGCTTCGGTCGAGGCCTGGGCGCCAACAACCTTACCAAATACTCGATTGTAGGCTGTGCCGAAAGTCAGACCACGATTGATATTAACCAGGTTTCAAAGTCTCATATCTTCAGAGCCATCGGAGATCGCGTTATAAGGCATCAATAACATTGGAAAGAGCAAGTATCACTGCACACGAGTCAGGATGTCTATCTTGGAATCAATTTGCACGATTTGGTAGCACAGAGCTACTGCCGTGACTTCGGCTACTTATTCCTCAGGTGATGACACTGCATGCATCACGCATTGTGGCTTGCCTTCCTGTTTTTTTTTTTTTTTTTTTTTTTTTTTTCTCTTTCTATTCCTTTTTCTATTTTCTCTTTTATCTCCTTATCTCTTTTCTTTTGGTCGATCTTTCCCCTTTTTCGGGAATTACCTTGGATTACTTTCCCTACCACGTCGCCTATGCATATTTCCGCAAGTCGCGCTCTGTCTCTTATAGAGACCCTCAAGGGGAGATCTCGGGCTAGACTCGAATTGCTATCTAAAATCATCGAACATCGTCTCAGTTCATCTCTGCTCTGATGTATACAGTACATGTCATTGGATAATCGAACCCATCAGCCATCCGCTGATACAAATTGAGTCGAAACTAGTATATAGCCGGACCCGACCGATTCAACGCGGCGATGGCCTGCTCGATCGTGATGACGTCGATAGGATTGCCTGGCAGAATGCCCTGCAAGATCGTCTGCTGGATCTGGGACGCGTAGGTCGAGGGAGTCTCGATGGTATCGTTCGAGATAACATATCTAGAGCGAAAGCTATCAGTCGCCTCATTGTCACGACACAAAACGCAATCGGACTTACACCTTGTAATTGAGATCGAATAGACGAAGAGCGGTGCTCAGCACAACCCCCGATGTGCGAATCCCAGACTAGAAAATCGGACCAGCGCGTTAGTGCTATCCAACCAACCAACAAAACAAAACAGAAAAGTCGTGGTCGATCCGGGACCACAAGCACTAATGAAGCACTAGCCGGAGCGCTAAACAAGGGGGGTCCACCCCTCCGATTGATTGCCATTCAGGGCCAGAGGACACTAGAATCACTCACCAGAATCACCGTGTCGATCTTCTGGCTGGCGAGGATCTCCTCTAGCGAGTTGCCTGCACCGGCGTAGTACCGCACCTTCTGCAACACCACGTCCCAGTTATCTAGAGGCCGGAAAGCAGGGTAGATCTGTCCCTCAGGGCTCGACTCCGTGATGTTGCCGAGGAGGGACACGGCATCCGCAAAGGGGTCGTTGGCACTGATTTCGGGTCGCTGCGTGTTGGCGAAGTAGATCCGGGTGAAGATGCTCAAGGGCCGGGGCGACTGCTTATGAACGCTGCTGGCTGTCAGCTTTGTCTACTGCACAGTGCTCGTCGTGGCTTCTCTCAAGCGCCGTCCTCAACCTAGACAGTCCATGGACAGAAGTGCAACCCACGCGTCAATCCACCGCGCCGTGTTGTTGATCCAGCTCGCTCCGGCGGCAGTAGTGTTCACATACGACACCACTACATCGATCAGATCGAGATTCAACACCGCATAATGCTCTCCGAACGAGAGTGAGTCCCCGCTGACGGTCGAAGGGATGCTCCATGAGTAACCGGGACTGGTCGTGGCCGTGAAGGCTCCTGCCGCGAAGAGGGCCAGAGACGCGAGGGTGTGTTTGAGCATGATTGTTGCGATTGTACGGCGGTCCGAGTGCAATGAGCGGAGAATTCCAGGTCAACCCAGAATAAGGACGGAACGCGCATCGAGGGGGTATTTAGCTGGAGAATTCGCTGGCCTTTCTCCGCGCAACATGTTTCCGACTTTCTCCACCTCGCTCACATCATCCAACACTATTTCCTGACAAGCGTTAGCGAGTTATGTTGGATCCAAACGCGGGAACCATCTGGTTAGGAGCGATCCCAGTTGGTCCCCGCACTTTCAGTGGCTCACATAGTCGGTGAGACTGTTGCAATTGCAGTGCCAACGCTTGTGCCCGAGTAATTGTTTCTTCAAGGTCTGTCGCTATTGGGCTGGAGTATGGTAGATTATTGCGGCGGGCGGGACTGAAAAATTGCTTAGCGTTTGTGACCTAGTCCAAGCCAGCCAGCCAGCCAGCCACCTTTCGACAGACAATCTCATGGCTTGCATCTTTAGACGAGAAATTTGCGCTCGGGTAGTTTGATGCAAGTGAAATGGCCATGCGGTCATCCTTGTCTGTATGACGTCTCACTTCGACACATGCAATTGTCGGATTAGCCTTGTACGTCGCCCGTGAGCATTCATGAATGTCAGGTAGGATGGCTTTCGCAGTGTATGACTGCCATTGACAGTTGCGATGACGACAGCTACTCGTCGTGATGAGAGAAGTGATTGTTGAAGAGAATTGGCCGAGCTTTTGTCGCTGAATGTGTATCCTGCCGTCAGGATGGTACGCTACGTGCATGGCAGTTGGCCCTAATTCATTGTTGAAGACTTCATGCTCCCCGATGCTGAAAAGCTGATTTGAATTGTAGGGCTCTTGTGTCATGTGTAGCAGTGAAGTGGCTCGAGTGGTGGACATAATCAGCGGGTCGACGCAGGAGAAACCCTGCAGGCCTTCATCACGATTCCAGACAAAATATTGCTAATATAGACATTGATACACTTCAGATAACTCACTAACACAGACAATTTGACAATAGCTGCCAGGGTTGCCCACATTACACAATGCTAGACCATGGAACGATGCATAGATGCATCGGTCTGAATAAACTTTACCCGGCCTCTCCACTTGGGCCTTGGATCGACCTTTCATCGACCCGGTCTTCAATCCTTAACCGCCAGACCCGCTCTCGTCTCTCACACCACACCACTATCCAAAGACAGATCAAGGAATCTATTTAAAGCCAAACAAAGTCTCAACTTCATGGTGGCTATGTCCTGTCTATATCAATAGCCCAAAGGCAAAGTGAACTCCGGGCTATGCCAGACTATACCTCTTGGCAGATGCCACGCGAAGGCAATGCCCGGGTCTGTCGCCTTGCCCGACAACCACCGATCCTAGGATTTCTGGGAAAAGTCATATCCTCGATATCTCGGCAAGGAAAAAAAGCTTTGTTGCCAAGAAGCCCGGCTCGCTATTCCTTCCTGTTTGTGAGGTGGCTTCTGCTGTTAATTTGGCCGTCGCCTGTCGGGAAGGCCTTTGATTAGAGTGCCATGCATGGCGGAGTCTTCCGACGGGATTATGAGCATCAGTGGCACACTCTGGTTGATCGAGAAGAACTTGTTTGACGACAGATTGCTCGGATATCGTTCCTGAATTTCAGGCTGCAGAGTCTCCGGTGCAGATCAAGACGCTGGAACTTTCGGGGCTGGTAGTCCTGTGCCTGGATGAGGTTACGCCGGGTCAACCTCTACGTGCCCTGTCCCTGCGTGCTCTACTAGCCATCAAGCAAGGACAAAATAGTCATCTATGCTCATGTATCGAAGCAAACGACGCGTCATCTGAGACATGGGTATCTGACAATCTAGATATAATTGCCCCAAGGATGTGAAGTAGCTTGGGCACAGCCATCAGACAACCTATGGTCCTCGACTTAACATCCAGCCAACTGCATTGAGACGGGATCGGCTGGAGTCGCCGACCCATAATTAGAAGAAAAGGATACACCTGACGGCCACTGGTCCAAGGGATCAGACAGCGGGTCCCCTAGTGGAGTATACGCAGGCATGAGTGTCCCCTCAGGGGGCCAGTCGTAGCGGTCAGCGCCCCCAGCATCTTCCGCTTAGCCATCAATCCATGGCTAAGGATTCTACAGCAGTCCCTGGTCTGGGATCCAGGCAGCGACATAGAGCCCTCGCCTCTTTATAAGTACCCTGCACAACCCTGAAAACCCTGACCAGACCACTCCACAATCGTTCAGCCACTGATTCACTTCACACACTCGTTCATTATATACCTCATTCTATACCTACCTACCTCTGAGAACACAAAGTCCAACCATCTCACAAGACAATAATCTATCCACTCACTCACCAAAGCCAAAATGTCTCTCACAACCACCACCACCACAACCGCGGCCTCCGCCACCTCCACCTGCCACCAGCAGCTCTACGAGATCCCCATCAAGGACGCCGCCTGCGCCATGCCCAGCACCGGCAACAACTCCGCCATCATGAGCAGCTGCTGCGGCGCCGCCGACGTCGTCTCCTACAGCAGCTGCGACTACTACTGTCTCGCCCAGGGTCAGACCGTCCACACCCTGGCCGAGTGTCTCATTAAGGCCTCTGAGGCCGGCGAGGTGTGGTGCAACACCGGCGCCAACGCGACCGCCACGGGGACCGTCCCGGCCACCGGCGCCGGGACCATCATCGCGACGGCGTCGGCCACCTCGTCTTCCTCCACGAAGAAGAGCAAGAGCTCCGGAACCGCGACGGGGTCAAGTGCGTCGAGCAGCTCGACTAGTGGGGCGAATGCGGCTGTTGGGGTGAGTAAGAAGGCCGTGGGGGTGATTGCGTTGTTGGTTGCTGGGGTTATTGGGGGTGGATTGTTGTAAGGAGGGAGATGCTTGGATAGATGGGTGGTATATTGTTTGGAGAGGGGGGAGAAATTGGTGAAGAGATTGTGTGGAGGATTCCAGGGAGAGTGGGAATGATGATATTGTCTTTGGTGTTGTTTATTGTACATTGTTTTAGCTGGAAGGTGCGTGATCAATTGATGGGTCGAGAGCTTGTTAGTATCCAGCTTGTTGTTTGCTCACCATAAATCTGACTTCCCTGAGTGACTCCTTCGAGATTGTCAAGCATTTACTTCCTTTTCTTGCACATACTTTGGGCGATCGCAGTTGATAACAGCCAAAATATGACGTGATTACCATGTTGTAATTCGGTGGAAGTTAGCCTATTTGTCGATATATAGGTGACAAGGAACTGGCCTCGTAAAAGACCTTATTGATGAAGAACAGGAGAACGCGATTGCCTAAACAGATCACCTAGATCTCTCTGCAAATGGCCTGGAGTTGAGAAATATGATATTCAGCTTGATAGGTCATCTGTCATGAATCACGTTTCATGACCTTGAGTGGTGGAGGTCTAGCATCGTTCCTTGATACAGGATACATGTAGCATCACGTGCAGGAAGTCGAGGACGACATCCAGCCTTCCTCGTCGCCGTCCGCCGTTCCTTTCGGCGCATCTAGTCCAGTCGAATCCAACCTGTTCAACTGGTGCTTGACGCGTCTGGTGATCAAGATTCTCAAGAGGTTCGAGCCCAAGAAGGGATGGGTAAGATGGAACGAGGAATTAAAAGCCAAACTTCTTTCAGCACTAGCAAAATTGGTTTGCGAGATGCGTGATCTCCAGCCACCCTAAGGCATGGGGGCTGCTTCAGTCGATAGGGGATCACTACATGACTGCCGAGTCCCAGGCCCTTCTCTGGATTTTGGCCCCTTGGATACAATCCAGGATTCCCATTGGCATCTACGCAGGGAATTGAAGTTTTATCCTAAGCTTCAGGCTGATGCGCAGGAACTTATCAGACAACAGCAAAGTAAATTCTGGCCTTTGACCTTCACTCATGGAGACCTCAGCAGCCTCAACATTCTTGTCCGCGAAGACGATATCGTTGACATCATTGACTAGGAAACCGCTGGTTGGTATCTGTTATACTGGAAATACACTTCGGCCTACCAGGTCAACCCACAGAACCTCCTTTGGGTCCATGAGATTGACAAATTTCTGGAGCCGATGCCTGAAGAACTGGCTATAGAACGACTCCGTCAGAAATGGGTTGGAGACGTCCAAGTCATCCTGATTAGTGTCTCATATCAATTCCCCCGATACTATCACATATACTTGGTTGATGCCTCTGCACTTTGGTGTTGTGCTGGTCTTGGAATCATTGGTTAAATTCTGATTGGAATATTCCTCGCCTCGTTGCGTACCCTTCCCCAGTCGACATGTCTATTTCCGAAGCTTTAGGGTCGACCACAATCATATATCGTATAAAACTCCTCTACACGGACCCACCACTCCAATCTACTTACTCCCATTGAATACGATCATGTTACAAACGATTTTGACAGCGATCTCCATTGCTACCTTTTCCATAATAACGAGCTTACTAGTAAGGGCAAATCGGCAATCGCGCTCCTTCGGTTGTGGTGCAGCTAGCTACTGACTGTGCCAACTGATCGGAATATTCGTCATTCTTCTTCTGTCTTCAGTCGGTGTCATTGAGCACTGCTACCATGGATTCGAAAGGCACTTGCTGAAAACTATATAAACCTAGGGCAGCGCGGTTCCTGCCTTGCCGCCTAACAATGAGCATACTGCAGTGGTGTTACATGTTTGGTGTCTTGAAAAAGCTGACAGTCTCTGCCATTCTTGTCCTGCGGGTCAAAGCGATGGGTGAGTACAATGACTAATCAAATACTATCGATAATCTACTGACCATTCAGCATGCCTCATCCCGAACGGTATATTGCTGATGAGCAATCGGGATTTGCAACATCGCGCTTATCTAATTGGCACAGCGGCTACGACGATGGCATCTGGCTCGATGATGGTCATGGGGATATCGAAAATGTTCGTCGACTCCAGATGCATCCATGGATCATTGACCAATTTGACAACCAAGACAACGAGCCAGTTGAGGAGGCCAAGGACCGTGGCTTGAGTGTGGAAAGCATTCTGCAGTGGAACGAGGAGGTTGAGAAGTATCGAGCCGGAAATGGCACACCGTGAATAGTTCACTGTCTACGTACTTACTACGATCTTTTTGAGCATTTAAGCTTCCATCTTAAGGAAAACGATATCCAACATAGAAGGTTCGGGAGGATCCAGACTTTGATCAATGCACTATACTCCACAGACTTTGCTGCTGAAAAGTCGCATCTCATTGACACGAATCGACTCCTCAGCGGCCTCACCAAGGTTGCAGTGGTCTTCAAACCCTGTTCCTCCCATCATGGACTCAAGGACTGCTGCTTGCCACTGGACTACTGCTGTCCACCTTACCGCTAGACGTATCACCTCCAGTAACTCTCGTCAGCTTGTAATCGTTTCTTTGTGCACGCGTAACGTCTCGCTGTCTGAGGCCCCCTAATATAAGGTTGTCTTTGGCGCCAGGGTGATCTTTGCACGCGTAGCACATCCACCAAGTGAAGCTATTCGACTTTTTAAAGCAGCCTCCGGTGACCTGACCGCGCTTCCAGCGATTCCAGCAGCGAGAAACAGGACATGGCGCGGCGCTGTGTTCATTGTTCAGGTGGAGGCAGACATCGCACGATCCTCTCAGCCCAGAACTTGTAGACATCCTAGACAGCGAACGAGAGGCGTGGCTATGAGGGGCTCGGGCACCAGGGACCTAGCAAGCATAAGCGCCAATACCGTCGAGTTCTCAACTGGGGAGAAAAGCCCACCTTTTTGATGGAGTAAAAGTTCTAATGCGCGGGCTTTTGTGCTTTTTCGGTTTGTGTGTTCGATAGCTTTTCGAAGGAAACAACCAGGAGGTTTGCAGTGGGTCTCTTAAAGACTTCTTGTCATTCAGTTCAAGGCTATCGATGTATGGTTTTTGACCATTCAGTGGATTGGTGCTTGTCACGCTCTACGCTTCATCCCATTCGCGGGCATGATATCGTATCACTCACAATGCCCAATCATACCTACAACCTTGAAGTGCTGATTGAGCCTCACCACTCAGAAACTATTCCAAGTGCAGGGAACAGGGAACAGGGAAACTAGAACACTGTGCCCAAAGTCCTACTGTTGGAATGGCTTCAGCATGCATCGAGGCTGGGTCAGTTGCCGCAGATCGACGGCAAGATGATGTCAGACATACTAAGACAAGACGATCTCTCTGACAAGCATGATGTTTTGGATCCTGCCATCGACCCTGAGACGCTTAAGACGCTGTATGGAGAAATGGCAGAAGTACTGCTGCAACTCTGGGGGCTCAATCTCAGTAAGATCGGCAGCATCAATGAAGACTGTTCGGGGAAGACAATTGTTGATGGGCGACCCTTAACTCGTGAACTGAACGAGTTGATACGGACTAGTGGACTAAAGGACTGCACACCACCAAGGACTTATGACACATCCGTTGATTACATTACATCTCTTCTGGCTTTGCAATCAACTCACCTCGAGCAACAGCGTAACAATGTGTACGACTCGCAAGACTGCAGGGAGAAATACGCCTGTCGACAGTTGATGAAGGCCATCGCTCTGAACTTCATCCCCCAGGACGACTGCGGCCCCTTCAAGCTGTTCTGCGACGATCTCTGCCCTGGCAATGTTCTTGTAGACGACTCACTGCGGATTGTGGGTGTCTTGGACTGGGAGTTCACCTACGCGGCGCCTTGTCAATTTGCGGCCAGCATTCCGTGGTGGTTACTCCTACGCCGGCCTCATTCATTAGTCGACCAAGACGGACCTGATGCCTTCTTCGAATCCTTTCTCCCGAAGGCGAACATATTTTTGGAAGCACTGGCGGAGCGAGAGCGGACTCAGGGATTCACCGAATCCGACAATAGTCTGTCCGTTCGGATGCGCCGGTCCCTCGAAGACAGATCTGCGTGGTTCACATTAGCCTCGCATATGGGAGCCTCTGTGGATCTTCTATATTGGGATTTACTCGATGAATATTGCTGGGGTCCGAGGTCAAGCATAGCACACAGGGTTCATGACGTAACCACATCGCCGGAGATGCACAAGCGACGGGAAGAGTTCGTGCGCGAGAAGATCCGGCAGCTTCAGGAAATACCACAAGGAGCTTGGGAGGGATGATGAGGTGGAATATGAGCCTGAGCCACCTTTCGAGCCAGTCGGTGAGGGTGATCCAGCGCCACAGGTACGACATCCCTCATTTTTTTCAATCTGTCAACTGGACTGATCGTTATAGGCTCGGCAAACACATTCTAATGCAAACAGAGGGTTCCTGGAAGGGGTTCTTGCCGGATTGGCTGTTGGATTGGGCTTCACGATCTTTGTAAAGTGGTGTACAGTTTCGTGGAACACTACCATTCCCCGTTAGCTGCAAGGTGGACCAATGTCACCTTTACAGAGGCTCTTGATGGCTAGAGCGTGTGCTTGATGGAAAAGCCTTCGAGCTGGGACTGGACCATGCTAACCAGCCTCCATATCTTGGGAGCCCCGCAATTTTTGACTTGGCTTGACACAAGAAAGCCCTCGCGCTCCGTGCTCAAGTCGATGCCGTCGGGCAGTATCCCATCCTGGAATGCAGGGGCACTGATGTTGGGGGCACGGAGTGGCTCAGCAGATCGAAGTATGAAGGAAATAGGCCTATGTTCGTCTGTTCCCTTCACGAGAACGAGTGCCGAATGGTTCTGCGCGTTGGACTACAGACCTCGGGCTCTGTTCCATTTCGAGGTGCTTGTGACACCTGTAAAGCGAACCGGCCTCCATGGAAGGTACCATAACCAAGTATATCCCGGTAGCGTCTGCGCAACAGCAAGGACTATTCTTGTAGAAGGCGGTCACAGTTAACCATGAGGAGGGGACGCAGTATGCGCCCTGTTCGCTTGTCGAATAACTTTCGGCGTCTTTCCAGTACTGCAGGGCAGATGCTTCTCCCCATGTTGTCGGGAGAGAGGAGTTCGGCTGCTGGTCTGCGTATAGGTTCAGGATACTGATTTTATAGTATATAAACCTCAAAAGTGTGTAAGAGAAATATTGTTGGGCCATAGGAAAGGGGTCCTAAGGAAAAAATGGGATTGCGACCCCTATAGTGTGGTATTTCTTTTTGACTACTACGCCCTCATCTCAAGTATAGGGACAGATATTTGCTTCTTCGTTGTCAATTTTCATGAGTGTTCATTATAGGGACAAGGCTTGTGTATAGCGTCTCTCATCCGAACAATCGTTCGCGCCAACCCTTCTTCCAAGACCCTCCGAACCGATGGTTGAGACAAGCATGTGGGCTGTTGAAACCCTCGGCCTTGCTGTGTCGCTGCCCATTACCCCACACACTGATCGGTACGACGCAAAGCCCGCCCATGGGCGTCTCGGGAACAGCCTCACTGGCATCAACGCACAAGGGCTCGTGAAGATCATGGAAGGGCGCCCAGGTGACCCTTCTCTCCATCTTGCCAGCAGGAGCTGCCAAATCGCCGGTATCCTGATCCATGCCGACAGACTTCTGAACAAACGAATGGGAGCCGGGGAGCGACGCGGAGAGGGCATCGAGAACAGCGTCCGTGAGAACATCCGGGCCCGTGATCCCCAGGATGGCATTCTTGTCATAGCTGAATCTGCTGAGAAATCCACTGTGCTGGCGGTAGTATTGCCGGGTGTGCGACAAGCATCGAACAATGATCTCTCGGAGCAGGGGGCTGAATCGGCGCGGGGCGTACATCGTATACTGAATCAGTCCGTAGCTCCGGGTCCAGCGCCAATAGCGCATGGTTTGCGGAGAGGCATATGGCTCGTCCAGTTCAACCCCTAGCACAAGCGACACGTTGGCTGAATTTATTGAAACATCCATTGAAGGTTTGAGTATCGATTGTAGGGCTGGACACTCGTTGATGGGTCGCGCTGGGTAGATGTCCATGTCGGCATAGAAGCCCCCGTAATAATAGAGAAGAAGGTAGCGGAGAAGGTCGGCTCGGAGGACATGATAGGGATACGATTCGTAGATCTGGGCAATCTCAGGAATCGTGGAGAACCTTTCGGCGATGAACTTGGATGCCTTCGCATCGCTCATCAACTGAGAGGTATAGCTTTAGCTGGGTACAATAAATTTCAACGTGAGAATTGACAGAGTACTTACGGTGTATGCCCAGCCAGGGTTTCTCTCCTGAAGGTAGGCCGAATCCGGTCCTCGTTGGCTTTCCTCCTTGGCTATCTGCCATATCCTGTTTTCCGCCACAATATTTCCTCCCTGCTGTTCTAGCACGGTTTGTTCTAGCTCCCGCAGACCATTGGCGAGCTGTCTCTCATACTCCAGGTCCGGATTTTGTCGAAAGGGCGAAACATATAGGAATCGACCCCCATTCTCGCCTCGACTGTGATTCCTGACCACTTGTTGGTTCGCATAAAGGTCAAGACCAGGAAGGCGAGAACAAAGGAGCCAGACCACAATGAGTAAGGCGAGGAACGTCAGTCGGCGCGAAGACACATATGTGAAGAGCAAAGTCGTAAGTCGTATAAGACCCATCGTGGTGAGATGGGGAAGCCCCCGGAGCGACTGCCATGGCTGGTCTTATAACAGAAGTTTCCAGTCCCTCGCCCAGTGAATGAAGGACTAAGATGGGGCAAGCTCCATCCGGCACCAGGAGTAACGCGAGGATGGATCAGGGTCCAAGGTGCGGAGAAGGGGCCTCATAGCCTCACAGGCTCCACGGCCAAGGGCGGCCCGCTTAGGGCACCTTTGAATGATGGCGATCGACCAACGCTGGAGGAATGCACGTTGCACTGCCAGCCTTGGTTGACGGATTGAGAAGCTTAAGGTCCCTAGAAGTAGACAGTGGCAGGCTGAAACATCTACCTCGAATTGGCTTGCACTCTCAACGTTGAGAGGTCTGTTGATGTCCATCGATTCATGCTGTGACTGCCATGGCGGCCAGGCGCCCGTAGTTGGTTATGGCTTGAAAGCACGCCAATGGCATTATTGATTCAGGCAACCCTATTCTTGCCAAGAATGAACCTTCGTCGACATGCCCAAACAGACCCCGATGCCTGTTGTTCAAGGGCCGTTGAGTGCAAACTCCAGGGCAGACCTGGGACTGGCTCTTCGTATCAGTTAGTTATCCACCATACCAAATATAGGCACAAGTGGCACACAACAGCTTGGCATAGAGTTTTCACTGGAAGCTTGGCTAAGACATACCTCGAGTTGATCACCAGAAGAAGCAAGTGGTGATTCCTTCGCCCTACCCTGCGACAGAAGCGCCATTGGAATGGCTGCCTGTTGACACGAGCAGCGGAGAAAACAGGCCGAAACACAGCCGTCGTGGACCCTGAGGGCTCAGTTGGGTGTGGAGTTTCCCAAAAGAGTAATTCCTTTCAAGTCATCGTGCCAAGCCTTGGATGATCAGATCGAGCCAGGTTCTGTACCATTGCCTATTTACAGAACAGAAGGTCAATCTCCTAGAAGTTCAACTTATGCGATCTACAATCATTTGCTTCTGTGCTAGGGTATGGTTGTCAGCTTTACTTCTCCTTACTTACTTACGGCCGGGATAGCACGACGGACGCTTCCGCGGCTAACAAACGCCACCCTGCGACGCGCACACGGCGTACCGTATATTTGCTTCGACGACCCCTTCTAGACCTAAAAACCTCATTGCAGAGGATATTCCACCCGCATGGTGTCTGTCAGGTATGTACGCTGCACTCTGATGAACAACTACTCTTTCGATAGGGTATACCTGATTACGCGGCTTTCTTCAGGTGGCGCTAGCCATAGCCCGACATATTCCATTGAATCAGACTCGAGAACCAGAGGCAAAGATATTGTCTCCTTCGACGCGGGAATCCGACTTGAAAAATACAAGAGGAGCTTTCTAGCGAAAGGGCAGTTGAGGGTTGTAGTTCACACGCCCGCCTAGTCCGAACTCGGGAAACGTTAGATCGTCATGTAGCCTGAGGCATCCGTGGACAAGGCGAGCTCGGATATGCCGCAGCCCGGTAGTGGCAATCAGACTACGAGTATCCTAGTCTAATGCTCGGTTCACGCCTCACGCGACCCTGAAAAAAAGCGGCCGTCGTTGCTGTCGACCGAGGAAAAATAGACAGCCTTCAACTCATACTCATGAGTGCAGAACCGGATCTGAAGTCGCTATTAGTTCCCATGCTTTTCATTGTGTGAACTAACATTAAGGTTGCTTGAGATGACGAAAATGAAACCTGCAACAGTTTCGCCCGCAAGAACCACAAACCCAGGAGTCCGTTATATGTACAGAAAGTTAACGAAACAAAAATCCATTTCCATGCCGGTCCAAAACCATGGAGAATGCGAGAAAGATGCTTTGTGCGCCAGAGGGAAGAGATCTGTAAGACGAAAAAATTGGTGGCGAAGGAGGGAAACAAAAGGGAAAAAAAAAAAGAAAAACCGTTCTAATACAGCGTGAACATGTCGAAGTGAAGCAACAAATCAACCTCTCCCGCTTTGGTGAAACAGGCCATACACATCATATGGGTTCTCGAACGCATGATCGGATCAAGGTCGTCGTCTCGAGTTCGAGTGCTAAAATACAACTGAATCGACTGATTTAGAGACATTTACAGGAATGCCTTGCGCGCCACCTATGAGAGAAATCGTTAGTGACTGTGAGCAAAACAGCTAAACTGGGACGATTGACACGTACAGCCCAAGATCCCGCGATACCCGCGACGATGCCGCCAGAGATCAGCATGGGCTTCAGACCCCGGGTACTCTTGAAGACCATTCCACTCAGAGCACCAGCGACAATGCTGTTGGCCGCGTCGTGCTTGCCACGTGCGTATCCCAGACCGGAGTTGAAGCCGTTGTATACCATGGCCACGACACCGGCGGAGTTACCGAGGAAGGGACCTCTTCTCGTGATCGAGTTCAGGACACCGTTGAGGCGGATCTTCGGGGGTGCCGATACCGGCGTCTTCCTGAGGCCCTCAGCCAGACCCCATGCACCTCCGATTGTCAAACCAGCAAGATAGGTAGTTCCGGTTCCGTAACAGAGATCGTCCGACCATCCGCGGGAGGGCAGCACCGAACGGTCACCGGGGAGCTGGTCGAGGGCGGAGTCTTCGAGGGAGATGTAGTCGAGGGTATCTTGGTTCAAGCCAGCAAGGGGATGGAGCTGAGTAGGATCGGGAATGGCGACTTCGGAGAGGAAAGAGGTGGCATCTTGCGCGCTGGTAGGATCGAAGGCACCGGGACCCTTGTCCTGTTTGCGACCACTGAGCGAATCCCAGATAGACATGTTTGGAGAGAGATGGGATATATTATAAAGAATACAGAGAATGAGATAGAGAAGGAGGAAGAGAAAAGAAAAGGAAAAGGGAATTTTTGGCCAGCAGGCGCTTTGCTGAGAAGGGGAGGTCTTGTCGCGAGGAAGAGGAAGAACTTGGACTGAGCTTCTGACAGTTCAAATGAACTTGCGGGTTTGTTAAGGTCTCTCGGAGAACAAAAACTTCAGCCCCGTGACTCGGCGTGACGGAATTCTGCTAACCAACCTTTCAACCGCCTACCACCGCCTTCCCCCGGCGATGCGCGGCAAAAGGAATATGGTTCTCCCGGAGCTAGGCCTCTTTCGGAGACCCGCCCTCGAAAATCCACCAAGAGGCAAAAAGTCATTCGCTCAGGAACGCGGGGATTGATAAAGATCTTTAATTGGACTGGACTGGATTTCTTTTTTTGTCGGAGTCGTCGTCGTCGTCGTCGCAATTGCCTGGACATGCGATCTCTGTAAGACCACATCTCATGGAAGGGAAAGCCAAATCTGCGGTCCAAATGGAGGCCGCATTCATAGAGATGGAGCCCATCACACAGCATATGCAAATCTTGCCGGAAGAGACCCTCAAGCAAATCGGCAAGGGTGCCTTAGTGAAATTCACCCAGGCATGTGATGACACCGAGTAAGACCTCTGTTCATCTCATCTTCCACCATTGCGTTCATTGTGTCCTTTCTTTCTTGGTTCAATAGCGTTGCCTATCTTGTGTGATAATGTCCTAACATCTCCAAAAGGAAAGTGAGCCGGGTCTATCATAATCTACTAGACACTTATGCAACCGCTTCTCTGTCGCATTCTCATACCACGGCAGCTTGTAATGCGCTCAGCGCCTTTCTAGATGCAGCTCTTGTTTCTAAGCATGAGTCCACAAAGCAAATCGTCTATTCCGACGAGACCTGGTTGTCTGTCTTCGATGTCTTCATGACCCGATACAAAGATGCCAAGCCCAAACCAATGAAGCAGGTCATGGAGTCATTGGTTCTGCTCCTGGCAAAGACTCGAAAGCAATTCGATAGAAGCTCCCTTCAAAAGAAGATTCTCGAGCTCACAATTCCCAGTATCCTGCTTGGTGAGCCTCGTGCTCGCCTCAAAGCGTCCTTCGCTTCGCTTGAGATGATTGTCCGCAAGAATGCGATTGCGCCTACGGAGCTGGTTTCGCTCCTCGACCAGTGGCTACACGCAAACTATGAGAGCTGGGCCCCTATGTATCAGGCAGACTGCGACGCCTTATCGATTGATGTCTCCCCCTATAGCCACAGTGCCTCTACGAATGGTGTCTCGTCACAAGATACCTCGCGGACGACAGTCGAGATCTTTGCCCTGGGTCTGTTGGCACGCGCCACTAAACCGGAGCTTGCGGCCTCATCCGGTGATCTGATGGCCGCTTTCCTTCAGAAGATCAAGGCTACATTAGAACTCGGTCACCTGCTATCGCTCTGGGTGGCACCTGTCCGTCACGTCACCCTGAGAGCCCTCGATGATCTGGAGTATATGTCGAACTACATTCTTCAGCCTTGTTTTGAGGTGGATGCCATCGGTTTCCGGTCTTTCATTGAGAAGTTTCCTCTTCAACGTCTGCTCCTCGGTGACATGAGCGATGCGCCCATAGCTGAGTTCATGGTCTTGTTCGCTTCTTTACAGGTAGCAAAGAAGATTGGACTCGTTCACGAAGATCGTAAGTCTAAGACTCCCTGCCATGTCTACTGCCCCCGCTCATGTTGCGACTAGACTATGTCGGTAAACCCAGCTCTACAGCTGCTGATGCTGACCGTGCGCTCGTGTTGAAGAGTGAGGTCATTGGACAATTTCTCTTCCACCACGATATGACCATTAGGATAGCAACCCTGTCCTTGTTGATCAGTGCACCCTCCTCGACGAAAGCCGTCTCATCCGCTACAATGAAAGCCATTGTGAACGGATTACCCTCTCTGCACTGTGAATCAGAGTCTTATTCGAGAGGAGAGGTATTGAGCTTAGTCCGTAAACTGGTCGTCCGTCTGAAAGGTGGAATTCTAGAGGACCAAGATCGCTTGAAGGGTGAGAAGGCCACTGCAAACAAGAACGCTCAGCAGACCTTCTTCGATACCTCCGTCACTGCGAAATGCTTGAATGAGTACTTCAACTTTCTCAAAGCTGATTTGCGGCCTACAGCCTCTTATCCACGTCATATTGCTGCGCTGAAAACATTTATCTTCTTCATCGAATCTGGACTCGATAGTCGGTACAGCGCCACAGATAATAACAAGACTCGTTGGGTCTGCAACATGGACATCTTCAATCCTACCCTGCTCAGGTTACTGGTTGATTTGTTGCTTGACCCGTTTGAGGAAGTGCGCGCGACCTCTCTGTACCTTTTGAACCTTTTCCCCCGTGAGGTTCTTTTCAGCAGTGATTTGCAGCCGCAAGGCGAGTCACTGACAGGGCAACCTCAAATCATTGATGGGTTGTCAAAGGCGGAACTGCTGGCAAGTAACACCAGCAGAGCTGATTACGCAGATACTGTTGCTCGCCTTTACCACATACTCTTCCGTGCTGCAGCGTCTAATAGCTTGAACACTTCTGCGTCGTGGTGGGAAGCTAAATCAACGGTTGTCGAATATCTCCTAGCGAAGCTCGAGCAGAAGCTTTCCTCCGCAGGCGGTCTGTTCAACTCTTCTATGCGTGATGCACCTCTGCACGGCTATATTTCTGCGCTCAGGTACCTTTTTCCTGTCTGATTTGATAAGTCCCTGCTAATCCTCTATTCAGATATATAGTCTCAACCTCCGATTTTTATTCATTGGTTTCTGAGAAGTCCACGAACTACGATACATGGAGGGCATTCCACCTTAGAATCGTGCACGTCTGTGACCGGATCTGGGAAGAGGTTCGACCTGTCCTGTGCATCGACTCCCCAGAAGGTCATACAGACGACCCGATCGAGGAATTAGGCGTCGGTCCCAAGGATATCCTCTCTTATTCTTGGCGCGCTCTGCGAGAATCGAGGTACGAGATTCTTTAACGGCCCAAAGCACATTGCTGACCTATACAGTCTTCTTCTCCACGCCACTCTTTCCAATAACTCGTATAGCCCTCCAGGTGACAATGGACTCACGGAGCAACATTTTGATAAGCTGGGGACTCTTAGCTTCATTCAGCTTGCTGAGCTTCGGCATAGAGGTGCATTCTCAACGGTATCGCAGACGTTTGCTACTTGTTGCCAGCGCTGTGCCCAGTCGAGCGATCCAGCGATTTCTGGGCTGCCCCACAGATTCTACCAGGTAAGAATTTGGTCCTAAGGTTGCTTGACTTGGCGGATGCTCACATATTCTGTAGGAAGCCAAGAAAACCATCTTTGAATCGGCGTCTAAGCTCACCCGCCGTTCGGCTGGTCTTCCCGCACTGGTTGTGGGAATCCTCTCGTCGAAACCTGGTGGGCCACTTTTTCAGCAGGTTATACAAGAGCTTCATGAGATTTCCCATCTGCCGGCAGAACAGGACAAGACTAGACAAGACACACCTTTGCCCCAGGTCCATGCGATGAACTGCCTCAAAGATATTTTCACCAATACCAAGCTTGGCCCCCATACAGAGCCCTTCATTATGCCTGCCCTGCGTCTGTCGGCTGAGCGTCTTGGTTCTCCTATGTGAGTATCCCTTTTACCTCCCTCGCTCAGAAGAGTCTGACCTTGGTAGATGGGCTCTCCGCAACTCTGGTCTCATGCTGTTCCGCGCTTTGTTGACACGCATGTGCCGCACCGGCACCGGCCTGGGTTTTGGTGGTGAATCCGGCTCTGAGCCCGGAGCCAGAGTCTCGTTCCAGAAATACCCTGGCCTTCTCGAACTTCTTCCAACCCTTCTCACCCCATCCGAAAAGAACGATTCTACCGATCAGAGCGACACTGCAATGGTCACTGAGCGTGTCTTCCCAGCCTTGGAGTTGATCGCTGAGAAGGTCCCTAATGTGACTGGTACCGATGATGAGGTCTTGCGTGGTCTTGTCCGGGAACAGCTCAAGAGTCCTGTTTGGGGTATTAGAGAGCACGCGGCTCGAGTCTACGCATCTCTGTTGCAGCGTGTGGATATTCTGACCAATATCAAGACCTTGATCGGCGTCGAGAGAGATAGTAAGACGCAGGATTACCTTCATGGCGAAGCATTGTGCATCAAGTACTCTCTCCGCCGGTTCGCAGCCAGTTCAATTGCCTTCTGGAACGGTATGGTCCTTTTTGTCTGCTTATGTGCTTTCTGCTGACAGTGCACAGAAAACCTCGACCACGTGTGCTCTCTAGTACAGGATATTTTTGCCGCATCATTCCCGCTTGCAGAATCTCCATTCATCGCGACCACGCTTCTGGAGATTCTGAGTGATGTCGTTGAAAAGAGTATCGATTCAGGCTCTGAGTGTAAGTTTGCTGCCGTGATGAGAATATGTAAAGCATGACTGATTGCGGATTAGACAAACTGGCTTCTACCCTGCAGTTCGTGACAGACGAATACGCCTTCGAGAATATCCTGGGCTTTGTATTCAACTCGTCTCATCCATCATGGAAGTCCCTGAGCACAACCCGAGCTTCGTCGCTCCTCCGTCGGGCGATCTCGTGGGTCAGCATCTTGCATATGCTTATTGGAGGAAGGGCCAACGACCTTGAACCTTTCGTTCGTACTGTTTCGAATTTTGACCCCAATGCTGGTCAGTGGTTATTGGAAAGGCTGCAGGAGATTTTCGGGCCTAGAGAACAGTATGGAAAAACGTTGATCGGCCTGTACTCCTCTGTCATCCTGGGAGACTACCCTGAAGAAGTCAAGGCAGTAGCCATTGCGTCCTTGGCATCGAAGTTGCAAGCTCTCTTCGACCGCCGCAATGAGGCTCTCCCTCAGATCGATCTTCCATGGGGAGCACTAGAAGGTCAACTCAAGCATGGCTCAAGCCAGCACATCTGGAACCGGGATAGGTCTGACGCCGAACTACAACTTCACGGCAGCCTCCTTGCTGCGAAGGCTATTGCATCCAATAACCAAAGTTCTGAGAATGACATCAATGAGTGGGCCATTCGTCTTCGCTTCGCTATGCGAGATGAAACGGTACGCGCCTGACTGTTCGTTATGTCTGTAACGTATGTGCTAATAGGTCACAGGAATATACCACCCGTCTCGCTGCAGTATTATCCGTCTCAGCATTTGGCCGTATTCTGCGTCCTGCTGGCATGGCTCCACTCACTGATAAGGCGTTCTTGGATATTTACCTGGTCCTCTACGACATGTTGAACGATGACGACGAGGAGCTGCGTGACCTGGCCGCTCCTACTGCCTCATGGGTGCTGTCTTACTCTTCAATTTCCCCGAGCAAGGCTGTCGCCCTGTCTCCGTCAAACGCCAGCGATCTTCTTTCCGCGTTCATCGCTCAGAGCTATCGGAACTCGCAGCAGCTTCGCAAGAGAGCCATTGCCTACATCACTGGCTCCGAACCACGGATCAGCACTTCCATTGCTCAGTCTGTGCCAGTTTCCACCGTTCTTTCTAACCTCCGCAAGGAAAGCACAATCCTGTTCGAGGAAGAGAAGCAGAATCTGTTCATCGATGACGTTCGCGAAGTTGATGTGTGGACCAAGCAAATGATCCGGTTGACGGAAGCATCATATGACCATGCGTCAATCCAGGCAATTTTCACCTGGGTATCGGACGGGTTGTCCTGCTTGGGAGATGTCTTCGCGGACACTACCGAAAAGGACGGGCTGTTGGGCTGGGCTTCGAAGCCTGAGACATTCACTTTAGGTGTGCGGCTTTTCGGCCTGGCAACCGTAGCAGTTTCCAAGGAATCTGCTGCCTCCCGACTTTTGGGACAGGAGCGCGTGGCCGACGTGAAGGAGAAGCTTCAAGCTCTGCTTGCACAGGGAAAGACATCCTTGATCCACGATGATTGGATTTCACGTATTCGGGCGGCATTGGAGTCCTCATGATTGCATGACGTTATTAGAGGTATATATAAAAGTGCAGCAGGGGAGGGTGTTTGGATAGTAATGATTCACTTTTGCACAAACTGAATGTTCCACCATGATTGAAAACGATCCCACACACGATTTACCACATCTATCTTCCAGCTCACTGCCGTGGCAATAAAAATCTCAGCCAATGTCTACATCCTCTTTTTACAACCAGCAGAAGCCCATATGATCTCGGATTTCTCCTAAATTCCAACTACGCTTGACATAGCCTTCTCTAGTGGTACGTGAAAGCATGAGGATGATTGTGCCTCTAGATACGACTGAGACTTGAGGCAGGCTGTCCACACGTGAAGCCAAAATGAACGGAAACGTGGTGATCATCGCGATACTTCTCTCCCTCTTACTCTCCATCATCATCGGTGCCTACCTGTTCAGCGTGTGGTGGTCCAAGCAGCTCCATGGCCGATCAGTGCGACGCCGCGAAGGCGCACGCGAGCTCGTCACCCTCACTCACTCCAACACCAGGACCGACGGGGGACGCTGGGTGGAAGTCCGCGTCAGGGAACCGGGCAACCCCCGTACGAATCCTCCTGGCCCAGCTCTGACGAAGTCCCAGCATACCGCTACGCAGAATCCCCCTCGGCACGAACGCGAGCGCAACAAAGACAACAGAGTGGAGACCCCCAGGAACGATCACCAGTGGGGCTCGCATGCGAACAACAATGGCAGAGTCGAGACCCAGAACAACAACAATGATTCGGATCCTCCTGCGAATGACAGTCATGATAACGATGCTCACCGTCCGCGGAACGATGCCCCTGCTCATCCATCCCCGCAGCCATCAACACCTAAGAGCTGGCATCCAGGTCAGGAACCGGAGCTGACACAAGCCGTACATGACATGTTCGGTGATCGCTCGAGTGGGCATAAAAATTCGAGAGCAGCGAGCAGAGTTGGCTCGAATAGGCCTGATCAAGGAGCTGGTGGTGGTGAGTGGAGAGGATTTGCGAACGACAACCCGGCTGACGAGGCTCGGCCTGCGGGAGAAGTAAGTTGGTAAAGTGGTAAAATGGTGGAGATGGATGATTAAGATTCGGAGGGAGAGATGCATCCGTTCTTGTAATGTAGTAGTAGTAGCAAGCAGTAGTACTCGAAATAGTAGCCGATGACGGCGATGGTCTCTGCGGACGGCCCGAGTCGGTGACGTTGATCCCCGCGAATCGCATCTCCAGGCGGTGACTTTCCTGCCGCCGACTCCATCCACTGTTCTCCTTCCCTCTCTGACTCTCTCTTGCTCTCTCACTTGTTTGTTCCACCATTCAAGGGTCGCTCTTATCGTTCAATTTATTCTGCACCTGGCTTGAGTTATCTGGTTGTTTTACCTTACTCAACTAGCATTCCATGACCCTCGTCTCCCTGCCTGTCCGCTGAGAACTAGCAAGGCTGCCCTGACCAGCCATCCCCCCCCCCAACCGGAACACCATGTGGAACGACGAGGATAACAACCCGTACGGCGCATTCGACACCGAGGCGCATCTGTCGGAATCCCTGCATTCGGCCAATCTCTCTCCTCGTATGAGCTCCACGCTCTGTATTCTATAGCCACGCTTGTCGCTAACGTGCCTTAAGCTCTCTACGATCGCGAATACACCCCGCCCTCTCCCTCCAGCCGATCGTCCACCCAAGACCCTCCCGATTTCCTGTCGCAACAACAGGATTTGAGCGACGAAGATGACCACGGAGCGTACACCACCCAACATACCGGCCAGGGATACATGCGCAAGAGCGTCTACGACAGTCGGATAGAGCAGATCTTGTACGAGAACCCCGACATGCCGATCCTCATAACCGACGCCGGAAAGAACCACGAGGGCGGAGGCAGCTTCATCGTCTATACAATACGTACAGGAGTATGGCAAATGCGGTACTGGTACTGGGAAGAATGCTAACGGCATGCAGGATCTAGAAGTTCGGAGACGGTACTCAGAGTTCGCATCGCTGCGCCAAACCCTCGTCAATCTTCATCCTACGCTGGTCGTTCCGCCCATTCCGGAGAAACACACCATGGCGGACTACGCCGCTAAGCCTACCAAAGCCAAGGAAGACACCGCGATCATCGATCTCCGGAAACGAATGCTGGCCGTCTTTCTGAACCGGTGTCGTCGGATGAAGGAAATTCGCGAAGACGGAGTCTGGTGGAGGTTCCTGGACCCCAATGTCAGCTGGGTAGGTTGCCAGATGCCAATGCACGCCCGCATGGTGTATACTGATAACTGGTCAGAGCGAAGTCCTCCATTCCCACCCCGCATCTTCAGTCCCCAAGAACAACCTCAAAGCCCCTCCCCTCGATCCCGCCAACCCCACACCCGCTCATGCTTGGCTCCCGGTGCCCTCGGCTTCGGCGAAGCTCAAGTCGGCGTCCGGGACTGCGCCGTCCGGCACCCCGAACGAGGCCGCCAGTCAAGATGTGCTCGGCCGTTTTCCACCGGAGTCGCGGAAATTGAGCGAGAAGGAGCTGGATCCTTACTTCATCAATTTCGAAGCCTCTACCCGTGAGCTAGAGCTGCTTCTTCAGGGCAACATTGAGAAGGTCAACCGCCGGACTCTCGCCCATTTGTCGTCCTTGTCGGCGGACCTTATGGAGCTGGGAGCACGGTACAACGGTTTCTCCTTGTCAGAGCAATCCCCGACCGTGGCAGCTGCTATCGAACGGGTCGGCCAGGCGGCCGATACGTCTTACATTGAGACCGAGGAGCTTTCCGCCGCCTTGAGTGCAAGCTTTGCAGAGCCCATGCGGGAAAGCGCGCAGTTTGCCAGCGTGGTGCGCAGCGTTTTACGTTACCGCGTCCTTAAGCGGGTGCAAGAGGAGATGACTCGAGACGAATTGGCGAAGAAGAAAACATTGCTCGAGTCGCTTGAGCGCAGTGAAATGGAAGCTCAACGGATTGAACAATACCTGAACCGCTCATCTCCCCAAGGCGCAACCACGAGACCTCAACGATCGCTGTCGGCCTCGTCAGCCGCTAGTGCTCCGGGCGGGCCCGAGAGCGAAGGACGTCCTGGCAGCCACGAAGACAATGCATCGGTGGACTCAGACTTCCCCCCTACACATGGCGAGCCTATCAGCTCCCATCCCTCCGCCCCTCAAGCCGCCTCCCACCGCCGTCCAGACTTCGGCCCGTCCTCGCCTCCTGCACACCGTAAGACATCCAGTGGAACATTTGTCGCCAACAAGATCTTTGGACGCATCAGTCATGCGGTGCATGGATTTGTGGATGTTGATCCAGAGAGGACTCGTCGCGATCAGATCGGAAAAACGAAAGAAAGCTTGCAACAGGTAAGGGAGACTGGTTAGGTGTTTGAAAGGATTGCTGCTGATGATGCAATAGCTGGAGCAAGCTTTGACTGTGTCCGAAAAAGACGTGAAAGATGCAAGTGCTGGAGTACTGCAAGACTTGAAACGCTTTCAGAAAGATAAGGAGATGGACCTCCGCCGGTATATGGTAGGGCTCTTCTCGCGTGAACTAGGTTGAATTCATGCCGATGCTGACGATGATTGTGACAGGTCGCGTATGCGCGGTGTCACTTAGACTGGGCGCGCAAGAACTTGGAGACTTGGACAGAGGCCAAGGACGAGGTGGAGAAAATCGAAGTGCGGTAGTAAGTAGTCAATGGGTTGTCGGTCTGCGGTTTGGCGCAGAATTGAGAAAGGAAAGCGCTGGGCGTTGGTGTTTATGTTTTAGAAATGCTGGGGGCTGCGCCATTCGGGATATTGATGGATCGCAATTTTAACATGTGCGATTGACTGCGTTGATGTTGATGTCTTGATTGCAGATCTGTTATGTCTTGCATGTGAGGAGGAGTGGTTTTCGGCTCCACCGCTTCGGCAATTAATTTATTTCTCCGCCCTGATAGTTCCTTTTTTTTACTCTGTAAGTCCTTGTTGACCTTGATGTAGCACCGTAATTCCTGCAGATAACAGCTACGACTATGAGTACCTATATGTACTGCGCCTATTGGAGATAGCCTTGGCAGGGCGGGTCGGAGAATACCTAGTACAGATCCAATCCATTTGGTGCGTGCAGAGACTGGTCCTGATAGCCAATGGCGACAAAATCACTGACCATGACGGCAGATGCTGCTCTCCTGTAGGAGGGATTCTAATGCTTAGCATTAACTTTGCCTCATTAAGCTACATTGACAACGACATTCTAAGCCTATTTGTTACACCATCTGCCGGCGTATTCCAGGGTCGCATCCACATATAGGCAGCAGCAGCAGCAGCAGCAGCAGAAGTTGATAACTGCACCACTTACTAAGATCCAAACCCTGCGGTTCTGATCTGCACCAACCAACCCAGCATTGGCCACCAAACCAATGAAAACAATGTGCTATTAGCCATCCTGCGAGCTCGATTCTTTCAGTTGCGCTCGACAGGATGAACGCCACCGTAACCACCAGGCCTCGCCTCTTGAGCATGGGCTCGACGTACTCGGAATTCGACGAAGAAAGCAGCGGGAAAACATCACCACCATTACTTTCGCGTCACTCGCTCCGCCGCATCATCCGCATCTCCGCGCTGTTATCGCTTTTCATCTTCGTGCTATACATCCTAGGCAACCACTTCCGTGCCCAACCACCCAGCTCACTCTCAGGCTCTACCGACACCACCAAGGACGACGAGAAAGCTAACGCCGGCCATGACGACCCAGGATCCTCCGTCTATCCCCCGACCAACCCAACAGAACTCCACATCCACGACCCCAGCATCATCATCACGTATTCTCACCCCAAACCCCAGCCAGAGCCCCAAGCTGAAGACTTCAACCTGAACCCAAACCCAGCCGACCAAACCCGAACAGTACGTCCCGTGCCGACATACTATGCCTACGGCTCCGGCCCGCACATCCCCATCCACACCGCGCCCGCCCTCTCCGGCCCCTGGACCAAGATCGGCACCGTCCTCACCACGGACAGCGTCCTCCCCATCGGCGACCGAAAAGCGCCCTGGGCGCCCACGGTCGTTGCTCACAACGGCACGTACTACTGCTACTACGCGACCAGCCACAGCGGCTGCCGTCGCAGCGCCATCGGGGTCGCTACCTCGTCGGATCCGGGCCCCGGGGGATGGACTGATCACGGAGTGATCATCCGGTCAGGCGTAGGGACAGGGTCGGGGTTGTACCCGATGGATCGCGCGAATGCGATCGACGTGAGTGTTTTGATTACTTCTCTTCCACCGGAGGAGGAGGAACAAAAGAAAGAAAAAGAGGAAAAGGTGGACGACAAAACACATCCTCACCTCTTATTCTCCGGAGAAGAACACCACCAGATCGAAGAAGAGAGACAAGACCCCCACCCAACCCCTTCCCAGCCAGCCAGCTCCCAGCCAACAGAGAAAGGCTACCTGACCTTCGGCTCCTTCTGGACCGGGATCTGGCAAATCCCGCTCGCCCCCAACCTTCTGGGGAGTGACTACACGGGCAATCGCGAGGTGCGGCACCTCGCCCACGAGCCACGGGCGGTGCACCCGCCCAACCCCAAGTCGAACGGGATCTGCGGCGACCCCACGGGGATGCATCCCGTTGAGGGGCCATTTATCTCCTACCACGCGCCGTGGTATTATCTGTGGTTTAGTTGGGGGAAGTGCTGTGGGTTCAAGCCGGAGCGGTTGCCGCGAACGGGGATGGAGTATGTGTACCCTCTTTTCCTTCACTACCTTGCTCTTGGAGCTGTGGTGGGATACAACCTTTGAGGAAGTCCGCGTGTCGATTGCAGAGCTGTGCTAATCTGCTGGGCAATGTAGGTATAGCATCCGCGTCGGCCGCTCGAGAAGTCCACGCGGCCCGTTTGTGGATAAGCAAGGCCGAGACCTGGTGGAGGGCGGAGGGGAGGTGGTTTATGGGTCGAATGGGGAGGTTTATGCTCCTGGGGGACAGGGGGTCTTGGTTCATCGTCGCTACAACGACGACGATGATAATGATGATGTTCCCGAGGTGGAGGTGGAAGAGGATGTGCTTTATTATCATTATCGTGAGTGTTGCTCTAATCTTTTGCATGGTTGTGCTGAGGCTTGATGCTAACGTTCGTTGTGGTTGGCAGTGAATACCTCGGTGGGGTTTGAGTTTCATGTAAGGTTTTCTTTTCTTCTCTCTCTCGTGGTTCGATGTTTGTTATGTTAGGGCACGAATAGCTAACTTGAAGGTCGGTGGATAGGAAGCGCGGCTGGGCTATAACATCTTGAAATATGTGGATGGCTGGCCGGTCCCGGTATAGAAGATTTAGGTATTGTAGGGCATGTGATGGTAGCCTGGTGCTGCTTTTTTTGATACCTTAGCTTAGCTTGATAGAATGCCCTCTGGCGAGATAGACTCCAGCTCCTCTTCATATAATTTCTACATTCACAGTACTCCTTGATAGAGCTGAAAGACAAGTATACCTAGTATTATATGGCAGGTACCAAACCTACAATCACCCGTAGAGCAACCCGGCCTTGGAAGGAGTCCACCGTTGGGTGGGTGGCCCACAACCACATCCAGACCATACGGGGTGTTGCTGGGGAGCATGCGGTTGCAGACATCATCTTATGCGGATTCTGGGCTTGTCTTTGCGAACCTGCTTCCAGTGCGAGGTAGCGCCCGATGGATGTCTTTGTTGCCAATTGGTGTAGGCGTCTTGCATCAGTGATCATCGGACTTGATGAAGAACTGTGAATGGCAGCTGACGCTGATGATACCCTCCATGAGATCGGTGGAGGTCATTTAAAAAATCGCCACGGATCTGGCTGGGCCTTGCGCGCTGAAAATCCAAATCTTTCATCGCACATCATACCCTGTCGCTGAAAAGTCTTAATGATTGCTCAAAGCGTAGGGGATACGAGTGGACAACAAGCTCATATTAGCGATGGGTAAGTGACTTGGGATAAAGTACAGTGCCATCCTTAGCATCTTGTACAACTTACTAGGTAGGCCAGCTAGCCTACCGTTTGTGCTTGACACTATAGATAATGATAAGCTGAGAAAGATCTGGAGATCTCGGTAAGTAAGGTACGAAGTAAGGTGGATGATGCTGCATGCCAGGTGGACTCCAACGCAGTCATCAAGCTGATTGGCGGGTTTTGAATGTGAGATTGGACTGGTTTATGGGGAATCTGTAGGGATTGATGACTGTGCGACCAGGCCACGTGTGATTGATCTTATTTGATTGTGTTGCAATGGTACAGTACTGTGCATGTTTATTTGCGCCTGGGTTCTGCTGTTGTGGTTTGTAGCCTTGGGGCGCTTCTGCAGGCTCTGGGCTGCTTCAATCTCTAAAAACCCAAACTTCTACTAAAAGTAAGCATAATGTGAGAAGTGCAGGGGATTAGCATTGAAGAAGATTTTCAGTAACTTGGGCAGGTAACTTACTAACTTAGATGCTTAAAGCTTATCTAAACACTAAGAAGGAACATTGCTGCACAAGCCTGGCAGAGAACATACAGAGATATACTTAGAAGCCATTCCCAGAGGAGAAGAGAGAAAAAGTGAGTTAAGAAAAAAAAAAAAAAGCAAAGCAAAGCAAAGCAAAGATAAGCCCTTGTCTGACTGACACTCTACATGTGTTAGTTCTAATGGTGTGCCATTAATTACCTGAGTGGTTACTGTATGTATAGAACACTGATAGCCCAGTGTCGGGCCATGTGACTAAACGAGATCCCACCCGCTGATTGAACGGAGGCCGGAATTTCTTTTCAACAGCGAATCCACCTTCTTTCCTTTCCTTCCCTTTCATCCTGTTTCCACCATCCACCATCCACCACTGGGCACTGCATTATTTCCACTGCTTCCACTGCCCTCCACGGACCCTCTCCTTCCCCTCCATTCTAGTCTAAAAGTAACTTAATTTCTTGCTTCGGATTCGACCATATCACCACACACCTCTACCCTCCCTCCCTCCTTTCCTCCTACCTTACCTACACCGTACATATTTCGATCTTTCTCCGACAGGTTCCATTCTGAAATCCACCCAGAACCCACATCCACATCTTCTCCTCCAATTATCGTGCTACCTCGAGCTGCCACGAGACGTGCGCAGCTCACCGTCACGACGTCTTCCACAAAGCGCCGTAAGGTAGCAGAGCCTCGCAGACCAGGAACACTTCCGGGTTTGTCGTTCGCCTCGCAGGCCGGAAGACGTCACGGTCAACCTCCTAGCTCCGACCGCTCCTCCACCTCCAACTCTAACAACAACTCCTCCTCCTCCTCGGCCTTGCCTCATCGCCGCTCTTCGCCCACCTCCCCTTCCAACCGCAGCCAGAGTTCATCGTCCTCACCGCCGCCCCGCTACATTCCCGCCCATTTGCAGGACGAAGTCTTGGGAACCAGATCTCATTCCTCCGCTCCTCCCTCCCCGACCCCGGATTTCACTGGTAGTGCCGTCGACTACCCCTCGGCCGCCTGCGCTGGTTTGACTCTACACAGCGATCCCGCGACCGATATGTCGGGCTCGGACGAGCAGCTTCACGCTCGCGGAGCGTCAGACACTGAACAGAATGTGGTGATGGAGCAGGTTCCCACCTTGAAGGATCGTCAACCTCACCCCGACCAGCCGGATGCGATGGACACCTCTACATCGGGAGACGACAACTCAACTGGCAACGAGGACAGCTCCACTTCGGACAATGTATATCCCACTCCGTCCAGCATGTCTACCTATACGGCTTCCACCGAGACACGAGCCCACTCGAAAGCGGAGGCTTCCGTCGCATCCGCTGACCCTCCTTCCTTCGATGACCAGGTGGCGCAAGTGACCCGGTTCATGATGCAACCTATGCAGAGGAAGCAGAAAGGGTATGTGGTGTCCATGTCGTGGTTGAAGCGGGTGTTTGCGCGAAGCTCTACCCATGCAGACCAGGCGGACAAGAACGCTGCTGAAGGGGAGATTGGCCCGGTTGACAATTCGGATATTGTCCTGGTCACTGACCCCGCCAACACGGGCTTCAAGGACGAAAATGGAGAGCCGTTTGTCCCCCTGCGACCGGGCTTGCAGCTTGGCGAGGACTATGAGATCGTGCCCCAGGGAGGTTGGGACCTGCTCATGCAGTGGTACGGCCTTGCAGAGCAGTCCCCCGCCATAGTCCGCTACGCTCACAACACCGCACCCCCGGGCGACGGCGAGAACATTCAATACGAGATCAATCCTCCGATCTTCACGATTCTGAAGCTCACGAACCCGTCCGCCGGAACCACTCCCAAGTCACTGAAGGAAAGGAACATGCTCCCCGTGCGACATCTTGCCAGTAGGCACACAAGTTTCCAGAAATGGCTGAAGCAAGTCAAGAACCTTGCAAGAATCGAAATGTCGACCAAAGTCCGCGTCTGGAGAATTCTTGATGGTCTCGGAAGTGCCACCACCTCCGCTGCGGTCACTCCGGCTGCCTCTCGAACTGCCTCACCAGCGCCTTCCGCATCGACTGCGCCCCACGCTGGAGGCAGTCTTGTGCTCGATCTCAACACCTTTCTTTCCCTCTCCGAAGGTTCACAGCGGGAGTTGCTGGAAGATGCTACTGATCAAACTACCAATACTAAATACAACGGTCGCATGCCGTTGGATCTTGTCGGGCTGGGTGGCAGTGACATCGTTGTGCTCGAAGAGAGGCTTCCTGGGAAACAGGGAGACTGGGTATCTGAAGCTTCCAAGCAGACTCTGAACCGCCTTGGGGTGCCCACAGGGAACCTCAAGACGGAAGTGTCTACTAAGGTGAAGACCAACAGCCCTGCTACTAGTGGGCGCTCCTCTCCAGTCCTAGAGCCTGCGAGGGGAAGGCGCAAGGATGGCAAACCCCGTGGTAATACGGGTCTGAGTAACCTTGGCAATACATGCTACATGAACTCCGCCCTGCAGTGTGTTCGTAGCGTGGAGGAATTGACTTACTATTTCTTGAGTATGTATCTCGCGCTCGACGGGCGGGTCCCTTGTTAAGTATCTGTACTGACAGGTGGGTTCTAGACAACGTGTACAAGAAGGATCTCAATCCCAGCAACCCCTTGGCCCACAATGGTGATGTCGCTAAAGCCTATGCCAACCTGCTTCGCCAAATCTACGACGAGGCAGGCCAGTCATCTTTTGCACCCAGGCAACTGAAACAGACTATCGGCCGCTATGGTCCGGCATTCTCTGGTTACGGCCAGCAGGACTCACAGGAGTTCCTTCTGTTCCTTCTTGATGGTCTTCAGGAAGATCTGAACCGAATTCAGAAGAAGCCCTATATCGAAAAGCCAGACTCAACGGATGACATGGTCCACGACAAAGCGAAATTGAAAGAGTTTGCCGATAAATGCTGGGAGATTTACAAGGCCCGCAATGACTCCGTGATTACGGATCTATTTGCTGGCATGTACAAGTCTACCCTCGTCTGCCCTGCTTGTGACAAGGTCAGCATTATCTTCGACCCATTCAACAACCTCACCCTTCAGCTTCCGATTGAAAATCTCTGGGGCAAGGAGATCTTCTACTTCCCTCTGAACAAGAAACCGGTTATTGTGGATGTGGAGATCGACAAGCACGCCAGCATCAAGTCTCTCAAGGAGTTGGTCGCCAAGAAGATGGGCTCCGACCCTCAACGCCTGGTCATGTCTGAGATCTATAAGAACAAGTTCTACAAGATGTTTGACAATGCAAACTCTATCGCCGAATGTCAGATCAGCAATAACGACGATATTGCCATTTATGAGGTGGAGTCTGTTCCGACCAACTACAACCCAGACAAGCCCCAGAAGAGTTACTTCTCTTTCAACCGGTCAGAACATGAGGAGATTCCGAAGCTCGATTCCCCCAGGGCGGATCGACTGCTTGTGCCTATTTTCAACCGTTATGAGAAGCCAAGGTCGAATAACCCGAAAAACACCCTGCGGCCCCTCTTTGGTGTGCCTTCCTATGTGGTCATCAACAGGGAGGAGCTTGGTGACTACGATGCTATCTTCCGGAAAGTTCTCGCGCAAGTGGCTTCCATGACAACGCGCGATTTCCTGAACGAGGTCAACGACACGGAGTCCAATCAGGAAGACTCCGACACTGTTGTCATGAACGATGATGACGCAGAATCGGCTGATTCGAAGATCAAGACGTCTTCAGTCGATGGGGAAGATGGGATTGTTGATGTTTCGATGCGCGACGCAGAAGACACTCAAGAGGATGCTCCAGCTCGCTGTGAGGGTGGCATCCCTTCGAACCTTCGTAGCCTGTTTGAAATGAAGATCATCAAATCGAACGAGGTTGTCCCTCTCGGCTTTTCCTCGGTCGATGACCACAAGGAGTACCCCCGGATGTCTTTCAGAATCAAGACAAAGCCCGCTCCGAGGAAGCAGGAGGTATGTATCAATGATTCTGTCGCGTTTTCGTTAGTTTTAAGAAATCACTGACAAGCATCACAGACGGATGCTGCTTTGGAAACGGCCACTGAGAAATCCGATGAGGAAAGCTCGGGTAAACAAAGCCCAGACAGCGCTGCGGACGACTCTGACGTCTTTACCGATGTCAAACGCCCTGCGCCTGAACCTGTTAAGCCAGCCCCTCCCATGATCCGACCGGGCGAAGGCATCGTGGTAGACTGGACGGAGGATGCCTACGATGCTCTGTTTTCTGGCCACACAGAAAGAGACTCTCTCCGCGGTAGCCCGACCTGGACCAACGTTGAGAGGCACCCGGATCCGGAGCTGTCCAAGAAGCGCGCGCTCCGGCAGACCCGCAAGAAGAGAGGCGTCACTCTGTACGAGTGCTTGGATGAGTTTAACAAGGAAGAGATTCTTTCCGAGAATGACGCCTGGTACTGTCCTCGCTGTAAGGAGCATCGCCGGGCTAGCAAGAAGTTCGAGCTCTGGAAGACGCCTGACATCTTGGTCATGCATCTCAAGAGATTCAGTGCCAGTCGCGGTTTCCGAGATAAGCTTGATGTTCTGGTCGACTTCCCCGTGGAAGGTCTCGATATGAGCGGCCGGGTAGAGGCCCCGGAGGAAGGCAAGAGCCTTATCTACGATCTCTTTGCTGTAGACAACCACTATGGTGGGCTCGGAGGAGGTCACTACACGGCGTACGCCAAGAACTTCATGACCGGTCAATGGAACGAATACAATGGTAAGCCGCCGCGAGTGCTGTGGATTTGGTTGACTTTAGCTGACTAACGTCATCTAGATTCTTCTGTGTCGCGACCCCTCGACCCCCAGAGTGTGGTCACCCCATCGGCTTACCTCTTGTTCTACCGCCGTCGTTCCGATCGTCCCTTGGGTGGCAAGGTTCTTGAGGAGGTCACCGAGGCATCGACGCGTCCAGGAAGCGACGCAGACTCCCAGAGCGAGTCGCGCGGGCAGTCTCCGTCGGGGGAAGGTCGGCGTCTCGGCGGCTCCTCCCGCAATGGGTCGTCGAGCGCATTAGCCGGAGTCGGAGCAGCTCACCAATCGGGAGGTGGTGGTTTGCGAACTGGAACGCAAGCGAAGAGCGGGGATGAAGCCTCGCCGCCGGAATATTCCAACAGCCTCTCGTACGGCGAGCAGACCATGGGCCAAGCCAATCGACTGTCAGGTATGGATTTTGAAGACGAGGAGTTCGGACACGGACCGCAACCTAGCCCGTTCCGCCACGTGGATCCGCCCTCGTGGTCGTTCAGTCAAATCTCGGATGCTCACGGCCCTTCACAGATGACCGCAGCGCAACGGGGATCGATCTCTGATGATGATTTGCTCGACGACGATGACAGTAACAAGGCCGTTGGGGGCGGTGACGTCAGCGACACCGACCTCCGGATGGCGGCTCTCACTGACAGTCCCGGAGGGGGGTTGGGCTTCCCTGGCACGCCCATGGAGGAGACGTCCTTCCAGGAGCTGCACCCATTCGGTGGTGATGGAGACGACGACGACGATGACGATCTGCCGGTGGTGGAATTGCAAGTGAACGACGAAGACCGAGTTCTGCCCTAATCTCATGGCGAGATGATTTTCTTTGTCATTTTTTTTTGGAAACGTGAAACGAATGATACACGGTGTTCTCTATACAGCGCCAGGGTCGGGTGATTGTTAATTTTGGGCCCTTGTGGGGATTTATATGATATCATGGTACGACGTGGATGATTTCTTATGGTTGCATTCGACTCCTGATGGACTGGATCGGGCCCACCGAGAAGGGATCATGGCTTCGTCAGGTCTGGCAAGGATGGGGGTGGCGAAGGTATGGGGACTGCATTGCATTTACGGGGATGGATGGCTGAGAGGCGTCCCTGCATTATATTTGTGGAATGTTTGGGGCAACTGCGGATGGTTGCCTGACTAAAAGCTTGTTCGTGAATGGAGAGTGATGGTCGAGCAGCAGTTGCTGCATCTAGTTGCATTGATTGTTGCACCGCGTAGAGAGTAGAGGTGTACAGTACACGGTATGCTGAAGGTGTCACAATACGCTGTGGGTGCGTAAGTAATGGGTAGATTGCCAAGATTGGCTTGGAAGGGTATCACGGTAAAGTAATTCCAGATTATCTTGCCGATACAAATTCACGTTTCGCAGTCTAGGTGAACTTGTGTTCTCTGTGATCGATCGACATCAACAGAGCCTCAAGTGATCCGCGCGATACGAGTCCCAGTCAGCTGGGTAAGGTCGGGGGGGGGGGCGTTAATGGGGGCTACTATAGATAGCAGTGGAGATATCCTTTGTGGAACGATACGATGACCCGAGGAAGTCGAAGTGAACAAAGGAGGCAGCACCCACACTGAACGGGCCTGGTGATAAAGAAGATACTGAGTGGTTCATGGCCAGACAGTTGTCTAGGTACCAGGAGGAGGTAGTAGCTACCACATACCCAGTCAGGTACGAGTACGCCAGCCACCGTGCCTGTAGGATCCAGAGTACTTGGACAAAGAGCATATCACCCGATCAGGAAGGCACGGGACTCGTTCACTCACTCGCTCACTTCCTTGCCTGTTCCATTCTCTTTTCTTACCTTGGTCATCTTCTCTGTCCGGGACAACCTACTCGGATCTTCATCTGGGATTGCAGCCATCCTGTCGTCGGCCTGCTGCTCTGCTTTCCGCTCATCCATCCATCCTATCTCGTCTTATCCAGACAGACTACCGATGAGACTATTTCACACGACGAGCACCACACCAACAACCAAAGAAAGAATGAAAAGCAACCACGAAATGCCTCTCGCAGCACCTCCACCTCCGTCAGCATCGTTGTCATCTTCATCCCCTCCTCGTCCTCTCCGATTCCCTCACAACCGCAACAATAAAAGCACAAACACGCCTATGCCTACCTCCCCAACAACCAGAACCACAACCACAGCAGAGCAGATCTATACAGTGATGACCACGACCTCGACTACAGCCCCGACCACGACCCCAACCCCAAGCCACAATCATCGCCCATTCCACCACCCCAAGCGAACCACCACGCACTACCACCACCACCAGCACCACCACCACCACACGCCCCACCCCATCACCATTCCCCCGCGCCACCGCGAACTCTCCCTGACGGATAGCGAAATCAGCATCCTGGATCTAGGGCCCAGCCTGCTTGTCCTGGGCGAGGAAGCCGAGGGTGAGGGTGACGGCGACGCGAACCCTAGGGGTGATTTTCGGGATCTCCCCGGTTTGCGGGGGGTGTATGCTTTTGAATCGGATCGACGTCCTGATTGGGGTTATGCATGGGGTAAGGGGGAGGGAGAGGGGGCTCGGATGGAAAGAGATACGCTGGTTTTGAGGGATTCTGGGCGGGAATGGAAGGGGAAGGGGAGGATGGATTCTGTGGATGCTGCTGCTGCTGCTGAGAGGGAATGGGGGGATGAGGAGGATGGGGAAGCGGGATTGGGGACGCATGCTCATCCTCTATTTTCTGCTCGTTCGGATGGGGGGGAGGGTGGTGTTGGCGCTGTCGAGCCGGTGCAGTGTTGGTCTGCGGTTGCTAAGCCTAGGGGAGTTGGGCTTAGGCTTGGGCTTATTGGGTTGCATCGGGGTGGGGGTTTGGAGAGTGGTGTATAGATGGGGTTTGCGGTGTGAGTGATCCTGGGCTTAGATGGTGAAGATGAACTGAGGAGGTTAGTTTTATAGATGCTGAGCGGTCGTGCTGGCTGGATACGAGTGTATGATGTATGAGAGAGTGAGTGGAATCGACAGCGGTATACTATCCGGTTCACTCTATCATAACTCACACTGCTGATTTGATCAATTAATCATAGTCATATCAGCTTTGTGAGCTATGAGTTCTTCCAGAATCCGGTTTACCTTGCAGCTCTCGTGAGCGGAGGAATGACTAATAACGAGATGCTATAAGTATAAGCACCCTCCTGCTCTCCATTCCAGTTCAAAACTTGCTTCTTCTCACTTAGACACCGTACTACGCCTTTCAAGAATCCGCTCGACTGGACACCCCTCGAAATGCCTCGCGACGCCAACTTCCTCAGTCCACGCGAGCTGCTGGTCAACGATGGGTTCGTTTGCCAGCTGGCTTCCTTTCGCAAACTGGGGGATCTCTGCATCCGGAATGAGAAGCTGCCCACTTCTGACGACAGCCTGATGCAACAAGCCGGCTTTGAATATAAAGCCTATCGCGTGGTGGTATGTATGTCCTTTCTGAGACATTTCAATTTACATACTTTCAGTGTATCTAGACAAAGGCCCTCCCCTCCTGGCTAACCGCTTGTCAGCTTGCGTCGTACCTGCAGCCGATCCCTATTCAATTCCAGACGGTATTTGTCCTCTCCGTCCGCTGCCCCTCATTCACTACTAACGGAAGACAGGTCCAGCAAGTCGCCAATAGCCTCAATGTACGCAGCGCCGCTGTTCAAGGAGGGCCAGCTCCGCTTTAGACGGGGTTTCCATTTGACGGGCAAAACTGACAAACTCACCTTGATGATAGGAACAGTACAACTATACCGACACGGTGTGCAGCACCGCCTTGAAACTTTGTTCTGCCGCGCCGGACGATTACGGTACGTCGGTTTTGTGTCTCCGCCCCGGGGGCAAAAGAGACGTTGACAGCTTACCACGCTGGGACAATCAGACCAGATATTCCAGGATATGGACGCATTGAGACAGGACCCGGACAATGACAGCCTTCGGGACAGGGTCCAGGCAGAGATCAACGACCGAAAGTATCGGACCGACATCCTTAAAGACCAGGCGGACGCCTGGAGCTCGAGTCTCAGAGCTTGCAGCCTGGAGGCGGAGGATTGTGAGACCCAGGTGCATCAGCTGGCTGCGCCTTTCCAGGGAACGGCCTTGGCTGACATCTTGAAGGATGAAATATCCGATCCCGAGGACCTCCAGATGGACCTTGATGCGCTGGATTGGACCAGGGTAGGTTTCGATCCCGACAGGTGGGCTGCTGCTGCAGTGGCTGGCTGACTGCTTATGATTGTTGACTTCCCTATCAGAATCTGCTTGAGGGGTTTGCCATGATCGATGACTTGCAGGATTCTCTGCAGGAGGTGCAGAAGATGGCGGGTATGTTCTCTCCTGGTTGGCGTTCGTTGCATGTCCTGCGGGCATTTAATCGTTTTGTTGACGGGATAGCAGGCGCTGCAGACCTAATTGCAGACGATATAGCCGTGCTGCTGAAGTACGTCGAGGATCACCTGGATCCCGACGATGACCCTCTCGATGGCCTGGTAGAAGCGACCCTTCTGCGGAAATGGAAGAACCTGGAGAACGACGGTATGTCACGGTCCCGATGTACCGAATCTGTTTCCTGTGTGTGAAGAAGACTCCCAGGTGCTGATTTGAATTGCCCAGTCAATGATTTCCTGGATGCATACAAACAGTAAGGATCATTGGATAGGCCTTTAAAGTGGTTTAGACACATGTGATACCGTTTGTAACCAAGAATCTGGATTTGATTCACCGAGAACGGGATGCAACGGCAGTGAGACGACCACAAAAAATCATAATGAGAAGACCGGCCGGTAGAATGCGTCCCAGTGTAGCTCCAACTTTTCCAATGAACTCAAATCAAGGTCTTGGGGTTTTTCCAGAGTGAGCTTCCAGAGTGTAAATGGCGGAGGTTGCGCGTGCTCGTGGTCATCGTACGTGGCTCTCTCCACGTCGCGGAGCCAAGCGCCCGACTCGTCAACCTCGTAGACATAGCGGTTCTGTCGGAGCTTGCTGACAAAATGCCAGACCTTGGTCTCCTTCGTGTCGGGGTTATACCCGAGATCCGAATAGGTCCCGGAGGTTTCGATGCGGAACCGTACAAACGCGCGGCCATCGTGCACCGCGTCGGGCAGAGGTTTCACCCCGATCAGGCGAGGCTCTAGGCCGTTCAGACGGTAGTGGAATCCTCCTGTGAAGGGGTATGCGTAGTTCTCCGGGCCGGGGTCGTAGTTGGCGCCTGGCATGGGCAGTAGCGTGAACGTGGCACTATGCCCTTGCTCACTGCTCTTTAGGCCGGCGATCACCGTCGCGGGGAAATTGGATGCTAACTACGAAGTGTGTTCTCGTCAGTTTTACTCGGATAGCCACTGAATAATCTCATGGGCCGGGCTCATACCTCATCAGAAAATGTGGTAGGAGTGGTCGCTGAATCGAAGACACGGATTAGCGGCGACCCTTGAACGTGATTTGAAAGCAGTGGAACTGGATTCTACCCACGCGTGTATCCAGTTGCGTATTGATTATCGACATCCTGCATCGCGCCTTGCAGATCTGCAATGCAGGCGGTTATATCGCCCACAGACATCTGTGAGTCCAGGATGACCGCGGGTTCCTTCAGAGTGTAGAAGCGACAGGCATCGACCGCATATTGCAACTGAATGGCGAGCGTGGTCCGCAGCTGGAGGTATCGATCATAGAACTTCGCTTCGGCCTGCGCGTAGGCATCCTTCTCCTCCTCGTAGTGGGCAAGCAATTCGTCGATAGCCTCGATGTCGCGGTCGGCTTGGAGCACCATGAGGGTGGCCTGGACATATTCCTGACCTTGCTTGACAGCCTCGGCCTGGGCCTGGGCCAATGCGCGGCCGTGAACCGCATGCTTGCGCAGGGCCAAGCGATACTCACTGGCTCCATCAATCGCGGGATCATGTTGCGAGGTGGCCCATTCCATCTGTTGGTCCGAGTCCAACTGCCACTCATCCCACGCGGCCAGACTCATGATCAAGCTGGCGTCTGCATCCGTCCCATCGCCGCCGGAGACATCGCCGCCCAAGGTCGGAAGGTCAATCTCGTCGTGATCTCCCAGACGGTCAATCTTGCCCACGGCACTGACGACATCGGCAATGTGGGGATACAGCTTTCCCAATGCTTTGGTATATTTCCACAACCCATTGAAGGCTTTGGCGCCGAGGATGACATCTTCCGCCGCCCCTGCGGTCTTTTCGGCCTCCTCCACGTCGTCGACTATTTTCTCGACCGCGCCGGGGTCGCCCGATCCCTTCCCGATGGCATAGATTCCGGCCGCAAATTCTAAGGCGCCGCGCACGCACGCACGCACACATGTCAGTTCGAATATGGTCCCGTGACCGGGGGGGGGGGGGGGGGTTCAATAGGAAGGATCAGGGAAGCCACCCACGAAAGATGGCACCAAGGATGGTGCAGATTGCCAGGAAGGTCTGCCTCCTTATCCAATTCTCGAGACCGGTTTCGAACTTCTCGTGTGCATGTCTCAAGTCTTCTTCGTCATCACGGAGCAGGTTGTCGCAGGCGTCGACGGTAGCTGCTGCCGCCTGATATTTATCCAAGGCCTGCGCCTGTAGCTGGAGTCTGGTTGACTGTGCGTGCTGCACGGTTTCCAAAAGGGTTTCCCCTGCCCTCTTGGCGTCATCGACTCGGTCTTCGGCGGCCTGAAAGTCCTGATACTGGCCCTGGAAATACTCGGCGGCCTGGCGCTGGGTCTCCAGCGTGACGACATAGTCTTTGAAGGTGAGGGTCGGAGCATAGTAGGAGTCGGGCCCGGTCATGGCATGGGCCGCCAATTGCTGGCCCAGGGACACGGCCTGGGCCTGGGACAGCGCATGCGAGCCCGCGGTGGTCGCCGACTTGGCCACAAACGCGCAGATCGAGATGGCGACGGCCGGGGATGACCAGCAGACCGCGAGGGCGACGCGCAGTTCCGTGTCCAGGAAGGCTTGGTAGGCCGGGGTCCGATCGTCCCCGTGCCGGTCGCGGTACGAGACCTCCAGCGTGCCCTCGTCGAACTTGATCTCCGCTTGCAGGTGGCCGGAATCCACTCCCAGGTCCAGCTCCGTGCGCTGCTCGCCCTCGATCGAAACGCTGATCGGCTGATCGAGCACGGCGGCGTAAACCACCATGACGCACTTTTTGGCTCCCCGCGTGGACATCTTGAGATGCACGGGCTGGTCCGCGGTGATCACCCGGGCATTGATTTCGAGGTCCGTCAATTCGTCGGCCGACATTTGGATCTCCGGCTCCGTCAATGCCAGGATGTCGGTGTATATTTCACAGTAGCCGGGGAGCTGCTGCAGGATGGGGGTTCCATCCAGAAAGATCGAACGGTAGGTCGGTCCCTGCAACGCGAAGGAGGACTTTGTTTTAGAGCCGTCTTGGAAGAGTGAAAAGCAATTCATACCATTGCATTGTCTTCGTCCTTGGACTCATGGTTTGGGATGTCGTCCACCGGCTTCGTCTGGCTGAATTTCTGCCATTGTGCGGGCGTGCTGGGCTGTGTGTGGGTAGACATGCTGCTTCAATTGGATGAGAATGAGAATTGTCTAGATTGAATTGGCGGAAAGCATTTGCTTTTGTATATCGGAGAGGATTGGTCAACGTGAATTAACGCGGGTGATGTTGTTTGTGTTTTGAAGGTCTCCCTGGCAGGCTACATCATCCTGCTGCTGGAAGGTTACACTGCATGCAGTGCGCGATTTGTTTCCCTGCTTTGAACAGACACACCCCACAACACCATGTCACAATTCACATTATATGTACAGTACATCTTATCCGTGACGTGAAAATAACCATATCGGGCATTTGCAGCCAGCCGATCGACCCAATGCTGCAACCCAGCCTTGCTGTACGCTTCCACGGCATGGCTCGCAGCTGTACGCCAAACCTGGCACATGCAACTCAGAACCAGACGGCTACAGTGCAGTCGACGCGGGGCTGACAATAAATAACCAGTTCTCTCGAAGTAATGACCGTGTCGCATCCTCTGCATCTCAATCAACGACTCCTCAACCTGCCTCATTCTTCATATTCGCATTCATACCTGCTAGATACGCCCGGCCCAAGATGTCCACAGCCGGCGACGACGAAACAAGATGGTACCCCATCGGACAGACGGTGGAGACCCCTTCGCGCGCTGCTCGACGTGCCGTGAAGGATGGTGGTGACGACGATGATGCTGATGATGGGGCCACCTTCGCTTTTGCCGACGAGGACATGGGCAAATTGAACCGATATCTCCATGGTGGAAGAGTCTTACCCCTCGATAAAGACAGTTTCTGCCAGAAGGTCGGCATCTTGGACCAGAGCAAGATCACCGACCACATCTGGACCCAGATTGATGATTTGATCGGTACTTACAAGGAGGCAAGTTGAGTCTTCATGAGTTCATGTAGCAACATATAGCTGATTCGCCACTGACCAGGCTCCAGATCCACAAGGACTGCACCGATTTCCTTGGTGATGACAGCTCCGAAACACACAGACAGTGGACGAAAGCGGATGGCGATGACAGCGCCTTCGATGCCCTCTGCACCTTTGATAAGATGAACACGCTTGCGTCGCAGATTTACGGCTATGCAGACAACGCCGGGGCGGATGACAGCTCGTATTATTTGTTCATGTTTGACCAGTGCACGAAGTACAATGATGATGACGCAACTGACCAGCAGAGGGAGGCGGCCAGGAAAGCCATTCTTGATGCCACGGAGGATTTGCTGAGTGATATCGAGCCAATGCAGCTCCACGCTCAGAAGGTCTCGGATGCCCTGAATGATTTTGAAAAGGCCTGTGACAAGAGAGAGGGCGCGCTCAGTGACTCTGAAACTAGCATGACCTCCATTCTTAACCAGGATCTGGGAGACATCGACGACTTGCAGGACAAAATCAATTCGCAGCTGGCGGATATTGCGGCCGACCAGAAAATCATCGACGCGGGTCAGTCCAGAGACCCAACCAGTCTTAACTGTTTGCTCGGGTGTTGACTTGAATGTTTTCTAGACCGCTATGATCAACAAATGACCGCGGCATACGTTTGGATGTAGGTTTGCTCATTCACGCACCAGGTAGCACCCTGTGCGCCCTCCGCCCTCCCCCAACTAACCTGTCGGTCATAGCCCTATCATCGGGACAATTGCCGGCCCCATCGTATTTGCGGAAAGACAGGCGGACATCGAGAAATACGAGAAGAAGATCGCAGCCCTAAAGGACCTGATCAGCTCCGAGCAGGACACGATTGCATTGCATCAGCAACTGCAAGGCCATGTCACAGCCATGTCGGTAAGCTCCACCATCGCCGGGATTGCCTGACACCAATTACGATCCCGGGACTAAACATCAGATATGTTTTAGAAACAATGTCAGGACCTGAAGGCACTCATCGGGCCGGCTAGAGAGACGGCCGAGAAGCTGAAAGGTGGCTGGGACTTGATGGGAGCTGAGATCCAAAAGGTCCACGATACCGCGGAGAAGTTTGAGACCAAAATCCCCGGCGTCGACTTTGCTGATCTCCAGCTCCAATCGATTGTGCGGGAGTGGAAAAAGCTCTACAAGGGTGGTATGAATCCTTTTTCCCCTTTACCCTACTTATGCTCCACATCCAGTTATGTTCTTTGCTAATGCGATGATCCAATCCTCAGCCAGGGAGTATATCAAAACGGCGCCGGTCCTACCGAGGACTGATGTCATGTCCATTGATGACTACCATGACCAGATTAAGGACTTGATCAATTGAGCCGGCACCTGGACACGGCATGATGCCTTAGGTTGGGATGGAAACAACAAGGTAACGAGCCGTGGAAGGTAGTAGTGGAACTGTTAGTCAAATAGCATGTGAATTTGTCTTCTTCGACCATGATGTACGGGATGCATAGTAGTACTTTGACTGCGCGTCTACATCTAAATAGATAGCAGTTTATGAACTTGCGTGTATAAACTTTATCTATCGAATAGTCAACTTTTGTATCATTTATTAGCATAGATAAAAGCCATAACTCCATACCCCAAACGCCCACGAACCCAGCAAACAACCCTCTTACCTCAACGCCAACCGTCAGAACAAGCCCTCCCTACCCAAATCAGTCTCCCGATCATCACGGCCTTGTACTCACGAAGACCCAGTCCAGCGATTGAAAATCGTCACGAAAAAAGAGGACCAGTAATCTGAAAGAACCACCGTAGCTGCGGCCGCTGTCTTTTCTAGACTCGGCGAGAGAAGCCCCCGTTAGTTTTTGAAGACAGCATTTTTCAAGTCCCGGTTTTCCTTTTGGGGGCTTTTTTCAGAGTGATGTCTGAGGGAATGAATGCAGTCTCACCTTCCGCATCATGGGAAATGACTAGGCCGATGATCATGCTGAGGAAGAAGCCGTTGACGACGAGCACGAGAAACCCTATGATGATCCTGGTTCCGGAGCAAGGGGCATATTCCTGGATTCGGGGTTAGATTTGAGGAGTTTGGTGTGTCCAGTTATAGTAGGGGGAAGAAACTCACGTTTGCGGTTTAGGGTCCCTGTAAATGGGTTGTAGGTGGCTGGCTTAGGCTTGCGTATGCGTTTGAAGGCGGCGGTGGTGGTGGTGATGGGCTTGAAGGAGAGTCCGGGTTGGGCTGCTGTGAGCCGGCGGAGACGTCTGGGTTTCTGGATGGGGGTGGTGGACGTGGCTGGGTTGGTGAAGCTGGCTGGATCCTTGTTGGTTTGGTCATTGTTGTTGTTTTTTTCGACGTCGTCATCTTTGTTGTCGTATCTAGGTGAGAACTCGTCGAGCTCGTAAACTACGCTGTCGGATACGTCGATGGTGATGTAGGCCGGTGGTGGGATGGTTGTTGATGATGAAGGGTGGTCTTGAGGGTTTTGGTATAGCGGTGGATGAGACGCTTCGGGGCCCATGATTGTAGATGGGATACTCTTGGTTTTCTCTGTGTAACCCTTGTGTGTAAAGAGTAAGTCAGAAGAACAGGGGAATACCGAGGCAAGATCAGTGTGGAAATACTTGTATATCTGAATCTGCAGCCGGTGGTTTCTGATCAAGTGACTATGTGACTTCATTATTATCATCACCGTCGGTTTCTTGTGGTGTAGAGATGATGTAAATTGGTTTTAATCTGTAGAAAGCATACAGTAAAAGTTCCAGCTGCTGGAGCTTAAAGCAGAGTGTAGTACTTCTTGATACTGGCAGAACCTTCATCATCTGTAGAGTTCAATGCTGGTATAGACTTCCTATAAAGCTTTATCCAGCAATAGCTACATTTTGAGTACCTCGCTCGTAGAATATGAACTCGACTATAAGTAAGAAACTATGCTTCAGGTGGAATTACCCTTGTCGGAGTGATAGAGAGGGTAAAAAGACATGCAGATTACCGTTCTTCCCTTCCGAAACATTCCCGAGCACTATCAGGGCACAGATCCCGCCGAGCATGATCACCATGACTAGTCCAACGATGATGAGGGCGAGGATGGCACATCGTACTGTGTTCGTGGGTGAGACTTGTGGAGGGAACTGAGGGGGGATATGGCAGTGGAAAAGACTCACGACGTGTGCGTTCCAGGGCGGTACTGGTGGGATTGAATGAGATCTTGGATGTAGCAGCAGTGACGAGCTGGCGGAGACGTTTTGCTTTCGAGACGGTGACGGTGGACTGCGGTGGATTGTAGTCGGGCTGAGTCTTGTTCTGGTGTGGGAATGCTTCGAGGTCGTAGGCCTCTTCGCTACCAGGTGAGTCGATGGTGATATACGCGGGTGGGGGGATGGTTGTTGGTGAATGGTGGTTTTGAGGACGTTGGTATAGTGGTGTTATGGGCATCATCTTCGTCGATGCTCTTGGTCTTTTGTATAAGCTCCTTTCAGATGTGAGAAGCGGATGACACTCAGGGGTCCGTGTGGAAATACTTATACTTATATAGCACTGGGGCTGGTCGAGTGACCAAGTGACTTCATCATTATCACCACCCTCCGTTTCTTCTGTAAGGGACGATTTGAATCATCTTCAACCGTGGCAAGGATGTAATGGAACTTTGAGTAAAATGCATCTCGATCCTGGATGATTTTGATCTTCTGCAACAAAGTCCCATCTATCTTCAAGTCCTACTCCAGATTCCATTCCAACCTCCTCTGAACCACTACATCCTCTCCTTCTCGCTATAATTTCACTTACCTGAAGTGAGAAATTATGTCTTCACCAAGCTCCAGCTCCAGCTTCTCTTCCTCTTCCTCTTCGTCTTCATCTTCATTCCCACCACCAGAAACCCACGAGATGAACTACATCGTCATCCCTATCGCAGGAGACCAAGACTCCTCCCCCTCAACCGCCCCACGAGTCGTCGCAACACAAACGCTCAGTCCGGAGGGTACGAGCACCCACAGCACTCATATCAACATCTTAGATATGCCCCGCTCAAAGCTCGAGCCTCACTAACCCCGTAATCCACAGCCCCAACAGCCCCCCACCCCAGACGCCTCAAGCACGTCGACATCGATGAGCACCTGCTCAGAACCAACGAGGCCATCGTCCGCAACCAGCACTGGATCCTGTTCGGTCAGATCGGCCTCATGATTCTGATTATCGTGACCACGCTGGTCGTTGCGCAGCAGCTGGAGGGGGTGCATTGCACGCCTTGATTTCTGGACGGGAGTTGTGTAAGTAGGAGGAAGATGGGAGGATCTTGACTTGGGTGTTGGGGGGGAGGGTATGGTTTGTTTGGGTTTGCTGCGGTTTGCTGCGGTTCAGCGACTATACTATACTATACATCGGTTCTTGGTGATTTGGGTTGCTTGCTGGTTTGATTTGGGGTTGAATGGGTTTAGGGTGATATATGGGAGTGGGGGTTCTATATAGCTTGTCTTTCTACAGGGATGTATGATGTCCGAACGAAGAGTGAAGCTCTTCACTGCATTATTGAGGATTTGATTCGATTAATACATATTGTGGAACATGTGTGCCTATGAGTTTGTTGATTTGAATATCTTCCGAGATGACTCGCATTATCAGCAAGGATGTTCCAGCGTCATACACTTCACACTTGGGTGTATGCGTTTTACTTCAAGGGGCAAGAGGAAGATGTTAGCGTTGTGCTTAACTCGTTCCAACGCATCTCTATTAATGGCACACTTGGAAAACCGAGTCTTAACTCCAAGCGACCTTTTGAAGACATCTTTAATTATAGGTTACGCATCAGTCTGAACCATGTTAAGCAGCATTACCAGAATGAATTGAAATAGGTTATAACCTGACAAGACCAGAGTAGAACAACACAACACCAACGCCAGGCTTCCTCCAGCCATCCAAACCGTTTTCAACCCACGCCCGAAAATAAAAAAACATGATGGGTATTTTCAGAAAGTTTCAACGACAACAAACATTAAACCAAGCCACTTGTAGCTTTTAGCGGAAGAAGATTTATCGAAAGAAGGGAGACAAGGGATGCAGAAGAGGCATCAACTCTGGAAGCTGTACATTCGGACCTCGCAGTCCTCGCTGCCGGTGGCGAAGCGACTGTCACCAAGTCCCATGCAAGTGACGGGGCCGGAGTGACCAGTGAATGTACGCTCGCATTTGCCCGTTCTGGGATCCCAGATCTTGACCATGCGATCTTCGGCTCCCGAAACGATGCGAAGAGTGTCGGCGGCAAGAGCCCAGACACCCTCCAGGTGGCCGAAGAACGTGCGCAGGCAGCGACCGGTGCTCGTTTCCCACAGACGGATCGTCGAGTCCAGGGCACTGGTGACGATGTAGCGCGGTGGTGCTGGGCGGCCGTCTGCGAAAGCGGGTCCAAAAGGCGAACTCTGCGACATGACGGAGTTGGACTCTAACCCCAGTGTAGCCTGAAGAGAGGCCGGCTCAATGTCCCCGGAGATGGTGCTGACATTGTCGTTCTCACACTCCGCATCATGCTCCTCGAACTCAAACTCCCGAGGAAGCGGAATCACCTGCTGGACTTGACCCACATGACCGTGGAATGTCCTGATGCAGGTCTTGCTATCCAGGTCCCAGAGTCGGACGGTGCAGTCGTCCGAGGCGGAGAATACCGTACGAGACGTCGAATCCACCCGCACTGCGTTGACCCAGTCCGTGTGTCCACGTAGAAGGCAAGTCGACTTATCCTCGAAATTCCAAATCTTGACAGTCTTGTCAACAGAGGCAGAAGCGAGGATAGTGGCATCAAAGTGCAGGCCAATGATACCGCCGCGATGGCCTGTGTAGGTGGAAATGCATTCGCCGGTGCGCCAGTTCCACACCTTGACGGTGCGGTCCATGCTACCACTGATCAACTTGGTGTCATCAAACTGCAAACAACGAATGCCAGATTCGTGTCCACGAAGTGTGCGCAGCTCTTGGCCAGTCTCGGTATCCCAAATCTTGATCGTAGCATCGTAAGACCCCGTGGCAAGAATATTGTCCTCGAACTGGAGACACATCACACCATTCGTATGACCCTTGAAAACTTTGATGGAGCAGCGTCCATATTTCCAGTTCGTTCCCACCATGAAACGATCCTTGTAGACTTCCTTCCAAGGTCTGTATCGTGTCTTGAAGTAGGCGTCGTCATTCCCAAGACCCGGTGCCGGAGCAAGCGACGAGCAATGGCGTTTGACGAGAGTAAACTGTTCTTCGCTCGAATCAGGCTTACGCTTCGCTGGTTTCGCTGGTACAACCGCTGCCGCATCAGTCAACGCGTCACAAGTGTCAGGAATACCCGCTGACGGCCCGCTGATATCCCAGTTTGTGGCGCGCAGTTCGATTTCACGCTTGGATTCCCGCAAACGCTTTCGATCAAGAAGAGGGAGTCCCCAGCCGCATTTCTTGCATTTGCGGTGAATATGCTGCTCGCACATTCGGTGCCAAACCACGTCATCATCAGCGAGTGCTCTCCATCGCCTTGATACTTGCGCAGCCTTGCACAGTGAAGTTGTGTCCAGGTAACACAGAATCTTGAAAGAAATCTCCGGAGGAAGTGCCGCAATGAAATCAATGCGGATGAGATCTCGAACGGTCGCGGAAATGAAGGAGAGTTGCGGAAAGCAGCACTGGGCCATAATACCCTGAAGGAGCAGTTTTCGGTGTTTTGCTGGCGCGGCAGAAAAGAGGGACCAAACGTGTGCGATACCCTGCTGATCGCTCTGCGGGAGTGTTTCCAATTCCTATGAAGGAAAATGATTAGCTCTGGGAAAAACTGAGGTTTGCACGCTGCAACTGTCGAAGCAATTGCGCGATAAGATGGCGGGGTACGGCAGTACTCACTCGCTGCAATTTATCCATTGTCGGTTCGTCTGCTTGTCGTCTGCATTTACGGTCAGGCCTATGGCGATAACAATAGCGTGAATCCGCGCCGCTCAGCTCCATCAGGCCCTTGTTTTGAGGTCCAAGAGCGCCGTACTGTTCGGGAACGTGTCGAGCGAGAAAAGGTGCCACGCTTTGATCGCCGAGGGTCGCAGAAGTTGCTTTTAGGTCGGGAGGGCTGTGGGGCTCGTGCTGATGATTGTCGGAATCGACATCGTTACTGTAGTCGACGACTTCAGCTGGACCACCGAAGATAGACTGCAACGAAGACTGCGAGGGGACGATCATATCATCTTCTCGCCGAGCGTTTTCCATCTCTGTTGTCGAGACGAGAATAGTGGAAAGTGCCCAGCGCCTGAGTCTTCACAGGCTTGCGTGGCCTCGGCTGTCGCAACGAACACTGTTCAAAGGTCGCGGTGAATTCCAGAGGGTCTGGTGAACCAGTGAATAGCTTGAGGATATGTCTTCTGTAATGAAGGAGGGTGGCGAGGGAAAGACGTGTAATGAGGACCCTGGTAAAAGCTCTTGTTGGATTGAAGGAGCCGTCAAGGTCGTAGTTGCGCAAAGGTAGTGTGACTTGGGTCGGGGCGGGAGGCGGGAGGCAGATTTAGTGTAGTTAGCACGAGTATATATGGGTGTAGTGTATGGTTGGTTAGTCGTTATGTCGTAGTTATAATAGCTGTTCAACGAAAGATATGGACCAGCCAGACTTCACTTCGAGAAACAGCGCAAGGGCATATAGATAGATAAATAAGAACTGGAGAAAAGAAGGGATGTGTTCTTCAGCGATCGCGACATCGAGCAGCGATCACGCAAAGCATACCTCGTCGGCTACTGACTGGGGGGGCCCGAGTCACGTGCGGCGATTGCGCCATCGAGGAAGGAGTTCACAACAGCGGTAAAAGCGCTTCGCCACGGCAGAATGCAGCAGACTGTCTCCATAATCTCCATAATTCTGCCATCTGTCGCCATCGTCTCCCACTCTTCTGCCAATTGCGGATCCTACTCGAACAGTCTCTGACTCGGTGGTTGTGCCACTACTCCAGGCGATTGACGGCTAGCTTGGCTTAGCTGCATACCACGCCGGAGCTCCGGATCTGGGGTCAATCTAGGAAGATAAGCAATCAATTCTGAGTATTCTAGAGCCCGTCTGTATTCTCCTCCGTACTCAGGACTGTACAAAGCTCATGCGTTGGGCGGTGACGATGCGGGCAGGCTGACACCTGACGTCTAAGGCCTCTCCGCCTGCCTATCGTGACATCTTCCCTCCTCCGCCATCTCGACTCCGACTACAACAACTCAGGATGCACCCGGACATCACCTGTCCCTCCCGTTCTACCCCCAATATCGCTGGCGATCCCGATCACTTCCATTTGCGTCAAATCGCGCAATGACTCTACCTTAGTCATCACTACTTGGATTTCACCTTACTCTTGTTTTGCCCTGACGCGGGACAGTCGGGCAGTAGCTCAACAAGGTCAGTCAGCCTAGTGCCCAGTCCTCTAATACCATCCCCCCTGATTCATCCTTCTGCCTTGGTCGGTGACTTTCGATCGACTCCTGAGACAGGGGACTTTTATGACCTATAATCGAGGCTTACACCGCTGTCGCACAGTCAGACCCTATCTACCAGTCAGCGTCCATTAAACTCACCGCCAGACGCATAGTTAGCATGGGATTGACGCTCAACATTGGACTAAGGCGTCAACAGGCACAAAAGAAACAGGAGGCGAGACTCATCATATGCTTTATGAGGTGATTGTGTACCAAATTTATCCATTCTCGCGACATATCTACCTAGGGAACACGTCTCATTGGGTCACTAGTCCTCTGTTTCAGAACTCGCATTCAAGGACCTGTCCAAGCACGTGAAGGGATTCATTAGCCGAGCACTCGTCGCCGTACGAGCTTCTGCTCATTCTTACTCTCTATTTTGTCTTTGATGTCGTGATTTTGTGCCCGGTCCGTGATGTCGTCAGCCATGGAATCCTCGGCCGTATCAAACGATGTGCACCCTACGGGCGAGACCGCGAAAGACCAGGAAAGCTCAATTCCGCAATTGGATACTCTTATCTCGCATCTCGTCGCAGCGAAGCGATCGCTATCTTCTATCAGCCATGTCTGGCGAGCCAATGAGATAGTCACTGCCGCTCGTTCCGCATTGGAGGAAAGTGTCATAGTCTCCGCACGTACAGGCTTTCTTCGACGTGGGCTCAATAACCAGCTCCGCCTTCTCTACAGCGTTCGGTCCGAGGTGGAAGAGATATCTCTCCGAGGTCGATCGGAGTTTGCCAGCGTTTTGAAGGATCTGGACGCAGCTGATGCCCGTCTCAAAAAGACCCTCGGTCTCTTACGAGAGACAATCGTTCATTCTTCCTTCCGGCCGAATGGAGAAGACCAGAAAAGCTTACATGATTTTGTTGACGAACGTGGTGTTGATGAGCTTCATGCGGCGCTAAAGGCTTCAATCGACCGTACCAACGCTGCTCAAGCGGAGCTGGATTCTTCCAACTATGCTTTTGACGATGAGCTTCAGTCGATCAAGAAAGCCCTAGGCAACTACCGGGAGGCTACGAAATTAGCCTCCTCCCGCTCCTCGTCCTCTTCATCGCCGTCTGCCTCAAGTTCTAGCTTACCTAGCCTGTCATCCATGCCATCCATGCTGCATTCGCTGGAAATGCATGCGCAGGAAATGGCCAATCTGCTAGAGTCGTTGGTGCGGCACTTCGACCTCTGCGTCACTGCCGTCAAGCATACGGAAGGCGGAGGTGCTGCAGCACAAAACATCACTGGTGATATGCCGGCTGGTGTTAATGTCAGCGGCCGGGGTGGCCCTAACATTGAAGAAGAAATTAACGCTCATGTAAATGCCCCTCTAGATCCTTTGAGCGAGTCTGGATATCTGGAGATGGTCAACGTACTCATGAAGGATGCTGCTGAGGCGGAGGATGTTGTGATGGAGATCCAGGATCGCATTGGCGAGATGGAATCTGTTCTGGAAAGTCTGGTCTGTAACCGGGATAGTCTATTTTCCATTTACAATGCGACGACGGACGTCTTTGGTCACATCTCGTCGCTAGCTTCAGCGCGTCTACCCGGTTATATTGCCCAGGCACACAATTTCACGCGTGTATGGAGCGAGGAGCATGAACGGATCGACGGCGGTCTTTCGGACCTCTCGGACCTTAATTCACTATATGATGGCTTCCTGGAAGCCTACGACAGCCTCATCCTGGAAGTGTCGCGGCGAAGACATGTACGGCAACGTGTTGAGAAAGTGCTACGTGATGCGAAGCACAAGCTGGACCAGCTCTATGAGGAGGACGTCAATGCTCGCGAAGCATTCCGAGTGGAGCAAGGTGACTACTTGCCCTCGGATATCTGGCCTGGCATTGGTCGTGAACCCATGCGGATCGAGTTCCGACGCATCCTCGGCGGCCATGTAAAGACTGGAGATGGAGAGCCATCTGAGGCAGGCCAGTCTAGCGATGAGCAGCGCCCATCAGCAGCTGAAGAGCCTATCGTCGATGATGAAGTGATCCCTGACCTACCAAAGTCAACCGTTGAGCAAGCTCTCGCTCGCTTGCAGGCAAGGAGCAAGCAAATCGGCTAGTCATTGACAGCTCGTCGACAAATCTCCAGTATTTGTTTGAAACACAAGTTTTGCCTCCCTACATCCCCTCCCTGTATGTTCCGGTCAACCTACATGATGAACTCACCGATAGGCGTTCTCTCGCCCTGACGCACAGAGCCATTGTTTTGGCTAGGTGTCCGTGTAACATGGACATGAACTTTCCGTTGGATGCATACTCCTGAGCCATGATTGTCTCTGCGATGTAAGCACCTGGACGTTGTTCTCTTTGACCTAGTCCAGAATATGGCTTAGTTTGATGATCAAAGAGAGCTCTGATAGGTTGATTGCTACATACTTTGGCGAGGATATTGATGGAGATAAAAGCATAAGATATCTTCAGATTTGTGTTCATGTAGAATCCCAAAGTCCTATTCACATTTCCGAACGCTTTCTACGTATGCGTATCTATTTACTCCCAAGTGATCTATAGACCTAGACAACAACCAACCATTACTACCCAAACAAGACAAGACAAAACCCGGAGTCATAAAGTATATATCATGAGATCGTGCGTAAGCAAAATGACTTTTTTTCCGTTTTCCCAGAGCCAGTGGTGAGTTGACTTCCCAACCCAGAACGATATGAGAGTGGTTTTAAGAAACGAGAGTTGATCATTTCTTCTTGCGCGAGGAACCCGATACCAAGCGCTTCTTCATGTGCTTGGGCATCTTGTTGGCGCGCTTTTCCCGCTTCTCCTCCTTGACCTTCAGCTTGTGGTCGCGCTTCTCGTCCTTGTCCTCGAAGCGCTTCCCACGGGGCGGCTTGGGCGCGAACGGGTCGACCTCCTCGCCTTCCCCGGACTCGGATCCCTCAACCGAGACGCCACCGCTGGCATCGGAGCCGGCGTCGCTGGCCTCGTCGTTGTCCTCGATGGCGGCGGACTTCTTCCCGCCTGCGAGAAGGTCCCGGTACACGAGGTCGGCGCCCTTGCCGGCGCGGACCTGCTCGGCGTCGCGCTCGAAGTCATACACTTGCTCCAGGGTCTGGGGGATGTACTGCTGGCGGAAGACGGCGGTGTCGACCTCATCGCCCTTCTCGCCGCGAGTGGCGTACAGGTGGTCGATGGCGGCGAGCATGGGCTCGACGGGCGTGGGGACGGTGGGGCCGCTGTCCTCGGCGATGACGAACTCGAAGACGGTGCGCTCGGGGAGGACGTCAACGTTCTTGCGGCGGAAGAAGTCGCTGACGTTCTTGATGTCCATGCGCAGAAACTCGAGACTGCGGGGGTGCTCATGCTCGACGGACTGACTGACGTCGATGATATGGAGCCGGTTCTTGTGGTAGAGCATGTTGTACTCGCTCAGATCGGCGTGGACCAGGTGGCAGGTCTGGTACATGACGCGCATGTAGCCGAGCAGCTCGTAGTAGATCTCGCGCCACTTGGCGTCCGGGTCCGGGATGTCGAACTCGACGTCCTTAAGGCGCGGGGCGGCAACACCCTTGGAGTTGCCCAGGAAGCCCATCACCAGAACGTGCAGGCGCAGGTGGATGGGCTCCGGGCAGGGGATGCCCGCGGCGTGGATGCGGCGCAGGTTGCGCATCTCCTTCTCCGCCCACAGTTTCACCATCGCCCGGTTGTTGCTCTTGCTGTAGCCGCCGCGGAAGCGGAACTCGCCCGTCACGTACTTGTCGCGGTCCTTGAACACCAGGATACTCGTCTTGTAGACCTTGATGGCGCGGTGCACGGGGGTGAGGTCGTCGGCGTTCGGGTAGGAGATCGAGTAGTAGACGTTGGCCTCTTTACCGGTCGACAAGCACCCGTGGATCTCCGAGACGATCTCGCGATTGATCATCTGCAGCAGAATCATTCGTGTCCGGGGGTCCAGCACTTGTTCGGAGGTCGCGCGGTCGGCCCGGTCGCCACCGCGGTCCCCGCGGGCGGCCACGCCCGACTGCATGGCGTCCAACTTGATCTTGCCGGCGTGTTTCGTCAGGGACTTGATCTGGTCGTCGACCAAGGCGTGTGTGTTGACGGTCGGTTTCTGCGTGTTCGTCTTCGGGTAGGTCCACTTGGGGACGCTGGAATCGGCGGCCAGCTCGTTGACCTTGCGTTGTCGGTTGTAGGCTTTTGTGAGATCCGCCGGGTTGGAGGAGTTGAAGTCTTCTTCGTCGAGGCCCTCGTCTTCCTCTTCCTCTTCTCCAAAAATGTCGTCGTAGTACTCGTCCTCCTCGTCGCCCTCGCCGCCGTTCTGCGCTTCAGGATCTTGCCCCGCCATAGCGGGGAGACTGCCATCAGCGTTCACATACCCTTGGTTGGGGATGTAAGTGTGAGCGGGGGCCATTCCATCGGCCAGACCGGATGCTTGCGCATCAGTGCTTGGAGTCGCCATGGTCGATCAAATGGAACTCTGCAACACTGGTGGCAGAAATTCCTCCGGATTGTTGCCTCCCAAAAAAATAGATTGGACAATTGCGGATTGGGAAAAAAATAGCCGGCGGCCGGGTACCTTGAGTGCGGGCCCCAAAAGTGGACGGCCACCGCCCGGCAGAAACCCCGCGGCTCTCACGCGCGTTGCGAAGAACACCGACAATATCGGGTCGTTTGTCACGCGTGGTTTCGCTCTCAAAGCTCACCACCATTTCGTCGCAAGCGTCACCTAACATCCGGTGGTTGTTATCTGATCCTTTCGCCGCCCCAGCAATTCTTTAAACTCGGGTGCAGGCTTCTGTGGTCTTTCTTGTCTGTGGTTGACGCGTGATGACTTGGTTGTTGTAATCGACTGCCATTGTTTCTCGTGTCTCATGCGCGCCGCTTCGTCAAGATGTACGTCAAACAGATTATCATCCAGGGCTTTAAGAGGTAAGAGAACATATGATTAGTTCTTAGTCCCGGAACGTCTAGCTAAAGAAGATTTGTCACTACAGCTACAAGGACCAAACAGTCATTGAACCGTTCTCGCCGAAACATAATGTGATCGTCGGTCGCAATGGATCCGGCAAGAGTAACTTCTTCGCGGCCATCCGTTTCGTTCTCAGTGATGCCTACACGCACCTGGGCAGAGAAGAGCGCCAGGCGCTTCTTCATGTACGTGGCTTCCCGAGCAACTCGCACCCCCCACGCCCGCTCGCCGGCGAGAAAGCTGACAGGACAATAGGAAGGATCGGGCTCCGCGGTGATGTCGGCGTACGTGGAAATCATCTTCGACAACTCGGACGATCGGTTCCCCACTGGTAAGCCGGAGGTGGTGCTTCGTCGCACGATCGGCCTCAAGAAAGACGAATACACCCTCGACCGCAAGAACGCCACCAAATCCGACGTGATGAACCTACTCGAGTCGGCCGGTTTCTCCCGGTCGAATCCGTACTACATTGTGCCCCAGGGTCGCGTGACGGCCTTGACCAACATGAAGGACTCGGAGCGCCTCAATCTCCTCAAGGAAGTCGCCGGAACACAGGTCTACGAGGCCCGCCGGGCGGAGTCGCTGAAGATCATGCACGAGACGAACAACAAACGAGCCAAGATCGACGAGCTGCTGGATTTCATCAACGAGCGTCTGGCGGAACTCGAGGAGGAGAAGGACGAGCTGAGGAACTATCAGGAGAAGGACAAGGAACGCAGATGCTTGGAATACACCATATACTCTCGCGAGCAGCAGGAGATTGCCAGTTTTCTCGACAGTTTGGAGGAGCAAAGGCAGACGGGCGTGGAAGACACTGATATGAACCGCGATCGCTTCATCCAGGGAGAGAAGGAAATGGCGCAGATTGATTCCGAGATCGCCGAGTGCAAACAGCAGATCGAATTTCTGAAGGTCGACAAAGCTCAATTGGAAGACGAGCGTCGCGAGGCTTCTAAAGCTCTGGCGCAGGTTGAGTTGCAGGCCAAGTCCCTGTCCGATAACCAGGCTGCCGCTCTGGCGCTCAAGGCTCGTCACGATGAAGATCTCAAGACCGTGCAGGAGGCGATCGAGGAGCGTGAGGCAGAATTGCAGGAACTTCTACCCCAGTTCAACGCTGCCAAGGATCAGGAGGAGGCTGTCAAGGCCAAGCTCACCGAAGCAGAGACGGCACGCCAACGGCTGTACGCTAAGCAAGGTCGCAACTCCCGTTTCCGCAACAAGAGTGAGCGCGACAAGTGGCTTCAGACTGAGATCAAGGAGAATTATGCTTCCATTTCCTCCGTCCAGGACGTTATGGCGCAGACCCAGGAGGATATCACGGAGCTTGAGAATGAGATTGCGCTTCTCGAGCCGGAGACTGAACGCCTGCGCAAGATGATTGATGGTAGAGGAGACACTATGCAAAACGTGGAACAGCTGGTTCAATCCGCCAAGGATGAGAGGGACCGTTTGATGGACCAGCGAAAAGAGCTATGGAGAGAAGAGGCCAAGCTGGACTCGATTCTGTCGAACGCCTCGAACGAAGTGGAGCGTGCGGAGCGCAATCTATCTCAAATGATGGACCACAACACAAGCCGCGGTATTGCGGCCGTCAGACGGATCAAGCGCCAGTACAATCTCGAGGGAGTATACGGTACCTTGGCGGAACTCTTTGAGGTCAGCGATCGGTATCGGACCTCCGTCGAAGTCACAGCGGGTCAGAGTCTCTTCCACTATGTTGTCGATACCGACGAGACTGCCACGAAAGTCTTGGAGATCCTCCAGCAGGAGAAGGCTGGCCGAGTCACATTCATGCCTTTGAACCGACTACGAACCAGACCAATCAACATGCCCAGAGCAAGCGACACGATCCCCATGATTGAGAAACTCCAGTTTGACGCGAAATACGAGAAAGCTTTCAACCACGTCTTCGGCAAGACCATCATCTGCCCGAATCTGCAGGTGGCTTCACAGTATGCCCGCAGCCACGGAGTTAATGCGATTACGCCGGAGGGAGATCGTTCTGACAAGAGAGGTGCCCTTACCGGTGGCTTCCACGATTCGCGACAGTCGAGACTCGATGCCGTGAAGAACTTGACGAAGTGGAGAGATGAGTATGAGAGCAAGAAGAGCCGCGGGACCGAGATCCGAAAAGAACTGGAGCAGCTTGACCAGCTCATCACGAAATCTGTCGGCGAACTGCAGAAATTGGAACAACAGAGACACCAGGTGCAGAACAGCAGCGGGCCGATGCGACAAGAGCTTAAGGCCAAGCGCGATCTTCTCCAGAAGAAGACCGACAACCTGGAAGCCAAACGCCGAGCTATCCGCAACATTGAGAACAACCTGGCTGCTTTGTCTGATCAAGTCAATGCTTTCGAGGCAGAACTGAAATCACCGTTCCAGAAGGCGCTCAGTAACGAGGAAGAAGCGCGCTTGGAGACCCTCAACAACACTGCACAAGAGCTGCGACGTCAGTACCAAGAGCTATCCAGCCAGCGTAGTGAGCTTGAAGCTCGCAAGTCGGTTCTCGAGGTGGAATTGCGGGAGAACCTTAACCCTCGGTTGGACCAGCTCATAGGCCAGGATATGGATATGGCCGACGACGATGGCCAAGGCAACCTCAAGGAGACACAGCGGGAGATGAAGCGCCTGCAAAAGGCCCTGGAGAAGCTTGCTCAACGACTGCAGCAGGTGGATGACTCGATCGACCAAGCTACCGCTCGTGTTTCCGAGCTCGAGCAGCGGAACGCCGAGTCCCGACGTGAGCTCGAAGAACTGGCTAAGTCCATCGAGAAACACCAGCGTCGTATGGAGAAGAGCATGCAGAAGAAGGCCGCTTTGACCAAACAGGCGGCTGAATGTGCCGCCAACATCCGCGACCTGGGTGTGCTACCGGATGAAGCGTTCAGCAAGTACAAGAACACCGACTCGAACACGGTGGTCAAGAAACTGCACAAGACCAACGAGAGCCTCAAGAAGTACTCCCACGTCAACAAGAAGGCGTTTGAGCAGTACAACAGCTTCACCAAGCAGCGTGAAACGCTGACGAGCCGCAGAGAGGAGCTCGAGGCATCCGAAAAGTCGATCGATGATCTTATCACCGTCCTTGACCAGCGCAAGGATGAGGCCATCGAGCGTACCTTCAAGCAGGTTTCCCGCGAATTTCACAACGTGTTCGAGAAGCTTGTCCCGGCTGGCCGTGGGCGCCTGATCATCCAGCGCAAGACGGACCGCGCTCTCCGCCAGCCCGACGACCCGGAGTCTGACGACGAGGAGACCCGCGAAAGCGTGGAGAACTACGTTGGAGTTGGCATCAGCGTCAGCTTCAACAGCAAGCACGATGACCAGCAACGGATCCAGCAGCTCAGTGGTGGACAGAAGAGTAAGGCCTCCCTTTCTTTCGTTGTTTTTCTTTTCTCTCTCGTGATCATCTACCTTCTTTTTCACATTTGACTAACCCGTACATTAACAGGTTTGTGTGCGCTCGCTCTGGTCTTCGCGATCCAGGCCTGTGACCCGGCCCCCTTCTACCTCTTCGACGAGATCGACGCGAACCTCGACGCGCAGTACCGGACCGCCGTCGCGCAGATGCTCAAGTCCATCTCGGACTCCACGAACGGCCAGTTCATCTGCACGACCTTCCGCCCGGAGATGTTGCACGTGGCCGAGAAGTGCTACGGCGTCAGCTTCCGGCAAAAGGCCAGTACGATCGACGTGGTGTCGCGGGAAGAGGCGTTGAAGTTTGTGGAAGAGCAAAAGACATGATCAGTCGGTGGGCTGGGGTATTGTTTCTGGAAATGGGTTTCGGAGCAGGCGCATTTGACGGGTTTGACGTTTTTCTTCCTTCTGGCAGTGGCAATATTTACATAGTTCGATGTAGAGGGAGCAATGATTATTTCCTCGATGTTGTCCTCATTTTTTTCATTGTCGGTTGTTGTACTCTTAAAGCTGTCGCTTATGCATGCTTTGTTTGGAGTTTTACGATTCCCAATGCTAGGTTCAATGGAGGATTTTCATTATGGCTAAAAGCTGGGAAATGCGCCAAACGCGACAGATCGTTCACTTTATTGACGACGGAGATGACTAGAGGATATAGGCATGGATATATATCTATATGCATATTCCTCGGAGGGCTCATCTCAATGCTGCGGCGGCCCCTCCCCGGTCCACTCCAACAGAATCGTCTCCGGCACATCCCGTACCAGCACATGGATATGCTCCAGACTGCGGACACTCTGCAGCGCAGTCCAGTTCTTGAACCAGAGCACATGGTCGCGCGGCGAGTCGGCAAACAACCCACCATTCCCATTGCGCTGCTCCGCCGCCAACCGGCCCACGAACGTGCGCAGCACGAAGCCCTCGATCAGGGCGCGCGACTCGGGCGTCAGATCCCCGTCATCCGGGTTCACGGCCACGGGCGTGCGGAGCCAGACAACTAGGTGCGCAATCCCCGGGCTGAGGCCATAGGGCCAGTCATTCCGCAGGATTTTGTAGTCGGCTGGGTCGGCGAAGGGCGTTGGGTTGTTGTAGGGGAAGACGGGCCCGCTATCTGCGGAGACTACCGCTGCAGTGGTGGTAGTAGTGGTTACTCCGGGCTTGTTGGTGTTAGTGGCGGTGATGGTGGTCGTGCCCGGCAGCACCCAGTGCAGTCGCTCCTGGCAGATGTAGTTGGTGATGGAGCCGTATTTTTGTTTCGTGGACGCCGACCACGCCAGGTAGCGGTGCAGGTCGGAGGGTTTCCGCTTGAGGATGCCGAGATCGTTGCGCGCTTTTGGGGTTTTGCCGAGGGGCGTTGGGTTAGTGGTTGTTTCCGTGGGTGGGAAATGCGGAATTGGCGGGATTGTTTGGGGGGGAGAGGAGGGGAAAGGAGTGAGGGGTAAAAGTAGAATCAGATAGGTATGGTGTTGAGAGAACCTTGAAGAGAGTGAAGATAATCTAGATTCCAGAAAAGGCACACACACACACCTATGATGGATTTGAGATCCTCCCAGTCGTGGAGTATAAATTCTTCATCGGTCTGCGCGAGGACCTGACGATCGACCTCGGTTAGGTTGAATGCTGGTGGCTCTTCGGCCGGGTTGGTGTCGATCGTCATGGCTGGAAGAGGATGTCTGATTAGGAAATGGAGGGGCGATGAGGGGAGGAGAGGAGATCTATGAGTATGGAGTATGCAGTATGCAGTATGGGACTAGAGGAGAATGGCGACAAGAGAATGGAGATCGGAATTGTTGAACAAGATAGGGAAAATCAGGGTCGGAGCCTTAAAGTGGCGTGAGGGGGAGATTCTTGAATTGACGGGTTTCTTTACCCCAAGTGTAGAACAGGGAAAGGAAATCCCCAACGGGGCTGGCTGTGTGTTGGTCTTTCACTACAGGTCAATACACGTATTGTTGGTAATCTGGAGATAATACTCGAACAGAATGAAAGCCCCTTCACTTCCAGTGTAATATTTTGTATAGTGTCCAAGTCAAAGCCGAGTAGGAAGGTGTCATTCTCCCATGTTTTGTACTCTGTATATCCCGCGCCCTTCATCTACTAACCTTGAATTGACAGACAGTAAACAAATTCAACCTTCAAGGTTATCGAGTTATCAAGTTATCGATAAGCAGCCGATCCGGACCCATTAAGTCACCCAATCGGTAATTCCCCCTCCCGTGACTTGGGATTGCCGCTGTTTTTACCGTCACAAAACATTGAGTCTCCTCTTGCCGGCTGTCCCTTTACCGACTCACCTTTATTTCTGACTTTCTTCCTCGTCCTACTCCTCCTCCTCTTCTTTCTCCGCGCGCCACCCTCCCCCCCCCATTCCATTCCTCCTCCTCCTTCCCCTCCCATTTCCTTGTCACTTAATTTTCAACTTACCGGAGGAGCCGTCATCATGAGGTTTGTCGCCCTCAAGCATATTCTCCACAATGCGCATGCCATTGGGGACTGACAGAAACTAATCTTGACCAGTTCTGTTTCGGCCCTTGTTCCCTTCGTGGTCGCGTTGGCTGCCGTCTTCCTCGGCTGGAAGCTGTTCAGCAACAGTATGTCCTTCACTATAAGCTTGTCAGATTTACCTGAATGAACAACGTACTGACCTGAAATCGCATTCTCCAGAGCAGCGCAAGGTCCTTAACCCCACTGAGTTCCAGCACTTCATCCTGAAGGCAAAGACCGACATCTCCCACAATGTGACCATCTACCGCTTCGCTCTCCCCCGCCCCACCGACATCCTGGGTCTGCCCATCGGTCAGCACATCTCTCTCGCTGCCAACATTGAGGGTCAGCCCAAGGAGGTTGTCCGCTCCTACACTCCCATCTCCTCCGACAATGAGGCCGGCTACTTCGATCTCCTGGTCAAGGCTTACCCCCAGGGTAACATCTCCAAGTACTTGACTACCCTGCAGGTCGGTCAGACCATGAAGGTCCGCGGCCCCAAGGGTGCCATGGTCTACACTCCCAACATGTGCCGTCACATTGGTATGATCGCGGGAGGTACCGGTATCACTCCCATGTACCAGATCATCAAGGCTATTGTCCGCAACCGCCCTCGCAACGGTGGCAACGACAACACCCAGGTCGACCTGATCTTCGCCAACGTTAACCCCGATGACATCCTCATGAAGGACGAGCTCGAGCAGCTGGCCAAGGAGGACGACCGTTTCCGCATCTACTACGTCCTCAACAACCCTCCCGAGGGCTGGACCGGTGGCGTTGGCTTCGTGACCCCCGACATGATCAAGGTTCGTTGCACCCGTCCGTCGATCCAATATACTCCACATGCTAACAATGCTTTCTCGGCTACAGGAACGCCTCCCTGCCCCCGCCAGCGACATCAAGATCCTCCTCTGCGGTCCTCCTCCCATGGTCAGCGCCATGAAGAAGGCCACCGAGACTCTTGGTTACACCAAGGCTCGCCCCGTCAGCAAGCTCGAGGACCAGGTCTTCTGCTTCTAAGCGGCTTGCGCCTGGGTTGCAGCGTCTTGTATTCGTCTCGCAGTCGGGTGTACCGGTGCCTGAGTGCCGGTACCCCACACGTTATAGATATGATAGAACGTCACATCATGAGAGGTTGTATCATTGGTTATCTTGGGTTGCAGATATACGGTGTTATGAGTGAATGCGCAAAAGCGGAATCTATCTAAAACGAAACGATATTGACAGGGCCAAGTCGCACTTGGCCTTTCAAACGATATGATATTATCAGAATTACTCTGTGCAGAGATATAGACTTTATGAGTGGTATTAAATTCGCTTGAATAGGCTTACTCGTGTACTTCGATCATGGCTTTCACCATGGTTAGAAACTTCTTCCTGTACTCATCTGGCGTGGTTGTAATGGTCATTGGCCCTTGGCGGCCAATCACGTTGAAGGTCTGAATCACTCCTGTCATGGCCTGAGCATGCAGCTTGTGCCTGGCCCAGAAGAAATCCAAGATGACGGCGCGGTACTTCCACTTCCCATCGGCCGACTCCAACCCAATTCGCCACGGAAAGGGCCTTCCGACGATATCCGGCGTCGAGGAAGCCGGGAAGCGGACCAGATACAGCGAGTAGTCCACTGCGTTGGCGGCCTCGAGGAACTGCGTGTCGGCCTCGACGATCTGCATGAGGGCGACATACGCCGACTGGCTGATGCGGACCTTGTCATCGAAATCATCGGCGATCTTGCTCAAGGTGGCCTTGCTGACTAGCGGATCGGGCACCAGATCCCGCTCGGGGAAGAAATAGTCGACCGGCTTCAGGTCGTAGGTCTCCCACCGCTCGCCCGCGGGGTCCGTGTCTCGGCCGCAGAGCAGATTCTCCATGATGATGTGGTGGGCCGGGGTGGTGCCGACCAGATTTCCGATCGTCCAGTACGGCGAGTAGACGTAGTCGGTGATCCACACCAGCAGGGACTCCGGCTGCTCCGTCATGTACTTGTAGTACGGATCGAGCAGCTCCTCGCGGAAGAAGGAGTGTTCAAAGTGTCGCGGCAGGCTTTTGACCAGGAAGCGGGAGTTGGAGGTGCTGAAGAAGGTCTAATTGCGGCAGCACAAGCCAAAGTTAGCCTTCCGCATCTAAAACGGAGACACTAACACCAGAATCCGGATACACGCATACCGATCCGGAGAGACCCAGGTCGCCCATCGGCCTCAAGGGCACGGTCTTCTTGCTATCATTGCGGAAGCTGGCCTTGTATTCCTCCTCGTCGATCTGCCAGACCTCGCTGCGCAGCTTCTGGAATTGCACATGGCCGTACCGGATGAGTTTGATGTAGAGGATGGTAAAGAAGGCGAGGAATCGGCCGAGGACCGTCTTGCGGAAGCTGGCTGGGTCGCGGAAGATCGCGCGCTGGATGGACTTGGACAGGGCCGCGTGGCGGCTGTTACCCATGTTGGTGTCGCGTGAAGTGGGTTGACGTGTTCTGGTAGAGGAGACTGGGATGGTGATAGTGCATCATGAGGTGGTAGAGTGGATAGTACAAGTGAAATCGTGTTGATGAACTCGCGGTCGAACAGGTGACCATGAGGAGACCGCTGCGCTGAAGAGTGACGTCAGGAGAGGCTATACTGGATCGGGCTATGACAGGAGTAGGGCTCCCTCAAGGGCTAATGATAGTCACGTGTAAGAGTCAGAGCATGTGACTTTGTTGACCCATACACCGCCCATGGCAAAATGGTGGGCGGCCTGCCGCATTGAGTCAGTCAATGAGCGAAAGGGAAAAAAAAAAGGTCCCCTCTCTGATTGTATGGCTTAGGCGCTGCTGGTGCTTTTCCTTCCCTTCCTTTTCCTTCCCCTCCATTTATGGGTCGCCTTCTGGTAAGCGGGGCCCGGCGATTTTCTAACGCCGTTTTCAAGACTGCTTCCGCCCAGTCATACTGTCCACAAAATAGTCGTCGTTTCTTCCTTTCCTCCTCTAGCTGTGCTCTCTCTCCCTTTCAATTAAACCCTCCCTGGCGTTCCTCTTTTGCTACTGCGACGCATCAGAAGAACGTAGCTGCCGTCATGTCTTCCGCTGCCGACCTGGTCTCCTCCGTGGAGGGACTCTCTCTCCAGTCCACCACCGAGACCTCCAAGTTCCCCAACTGCTACCCCTCTTTGAACGTCGTCGATGTCTACAGAGAGCACATCGCTGAGAAGCTGAGCGCTGCCACTGACATTGACGCCGAGAAGATCTACTCTCGCCTGTCATGGACGAACTCCCTCGACAAGGGTGACTTGGTGCTCCCGGTATGCGATATATGATACAAACATCCCACCTTGGGCTCCAATCTCTCTTGGACTGCCAGGGCTCTTTTGCGACAAACAGACTAATGTAATGTCACGCATTGTAGGTCGCCGCTCTTCAAATCAAGAAGAACCCCCAGGAGCTTTGCAAGGAACTCGCCGAGAAGTTCCCCGAATCCGACCTCGTTCTCCCCCCAGTCCCCTTCGGAGTCCACCTTCAATTCTTCTTCAAGCCGGAAATCCTCACCTCCGATGTCATCAACCGCATTCTCAAGCAGAAGTCCGCCTACGGTACCAACGGTAACCAGGGTCTCCGCGACGCCGCCGATCCCTCCAAGGGTCGCAAGAGAATCATCGTCGAGTTCTCCTCGCCCAACATTGCGAAGCCTTTCCACGCTGGTCACCTGCGCAGCACGATCATCGGTGGCTTCCTGGCCAACCTCTACACTGTCATGGGATGGGATGTGATCAAGATGAACTACCTCGGTGACTGGGGTAAGCAGTACGGCCTGCTGGCCAACGGTTTCAAGCAGTTCGGTAACGAGGAGCAACTGACCAAGGACCCCATCAACCACCTGTTCGACGTCTACGTCAAGATCAACAACATCGTCTCCCAGCAGGAGGCCCCCATCAAGGAGCTCAAGGAACAGATCAAGGCCAAGAAGGAGAAGGGCGAAGATGTGGCGGAGCTGGAGCAGGAGCTGCAGAAGCTTGTCGAAGCCAGTGAGGACGAGAGCGCCCGTCGCTACTTCAAGAGCATGGAGGATGGTGACCCCGAGGCCCTCGCTCTGTGGCGCCGCTTCCGTGACCTCAGTATCAAGAAGTACGAGCAGACCTACGCTCGTCTCAACATCGAGTTCGACGTCTACTCCGGCGAGTCCCAGATCAAGCAGGAAAGCATGACCGCCGCTTACCAGACCCTGGAGAAGACCGGTGTTTCCGAGAAGTCCGAGGGTGCTGTCATCGTCGACTTCACCAAGCACGGTGCCAAGAAGCTCGGCAAGGCTATCATTGTCCGCAAGGACGGCACGCCCCTCTACCTGACCCGTGATATCGGCGCTATCACCGAGCGTGCGGAGAAGTACAACTTCGACAAGATGATCTACGTTGTTGCCGCCCAGCAGGATCTGCACTTGGCTCAGCTGTTCAAGATCACCGAGCTGATGGGCCACAAGGACTTGGCCAACCGCTGCCAGCACATCAACTTCGGTATGGTCCGTGGTATGAGCACCCGTAAGGGCACTGTCAAGTTCTTGGACGACATCCTCCGCGATGTCGGTGACAAGATGCACGAGGTCATGAGGAAGAACGAGGAGAAGTACAAGCAGGTCGACAACCCCGAGGAAACCGCCGACATTCTGGGTATTACCTCCGTCATGGTCCAAGACATGACTGGCAAGCGGTATGTGTTCCTTCCTTAATTGATGTGTAGTTTTACTAAATGGAAACAGTATCAACGGCTACGACTTTAACCTGGATGCCATGACCTCCTTCGAGGGTGACACTGGTCCTTACCTCCAGTACGCCCACGCCCGTCTGTGCTCCATTGTCCGCAAGTCCGGCCTCAACGTCGAGGAGCTCGGCGACGCCGATCTCAGCCTGCTCAAGGAGCCCCACGCCATCGACCTCGCCCGCCAGCTCGCCCAGTGGCCCGATGTCCTGCTCAACACCACCAAGACCCTGGAGCCCACCACCATCCTCACCTACCTCTTCCGCATGACCCATGTCTTGAGCTCCAGCTACGATGTCCTCAAGGTCGTCGGTAGCGAGCCCGAGCTCAAGAAGGCCCGTATGGCCTTGTATGAGTCTGCCCGCCAGGTTCTTCACAACGGCATGCGGGTCGTCGGTCTGAGCCCCGTCAACCGGTTTGTTTCCCCCCCCCCCCCCCTTCCCGCCTTGGTCCAAGATAACGTCGTCCGAAATAATGTATTCTAACGTTTATAATTATTCTAGTATGTGAACGGACGCGACGAGGAAATGAAATAAAAAGTCATACTAGAAATCTTGAATAGCTCTTTTTGTTATATGTTATGAATACCTAGCATCGGATCCAGCCTTCTCCTTTCTTCCAACCTACTCGGACTTTTTTTTGGGATTATTTATAGATGAACGGACCTCTTCATCGAATATAGTTGGGTTCATGTATCACTCGAAAGTACGCTTCCTTCTATCACTCGAAATTTGATTAACGACTGTGTAAGCGGTCCTACTTCCACCGATACATCAGATGCCATGATGCCAGGGTGCCAGGGTGTCTCAGTCAATCCCTATGTACCAAGCTCACCCCATATCATCCATCTTACATTCAGGTAAAATCAAGATACATCGCAAAGAAAACCAGCCAACCCCTCAAACAAACAAAAGAAAAGAAAAGATAAGATAAGCAACCCGCCCTTCCAAAAATCCGCCATCCCCACGCCCTCCCCCTTCTCCACCCCGTTGCGCAGACCCCGAAGCCCAGCAATCACGGGCAAGCAGGCGCCTGCAGGATTAGGTATAACCCGTTGTATCCCTCTCCCACTAGCGGCGTGGTTCGCAATGTCGAATGCTGCTGGGCGTTCGACATCGCCAACCATGCCTTTTGTTCTCTTAGCTCAGCTTTTTGAGAGCGTGGAGCTGGCGGGGTCGAGTCTTGCTTGCGGCATGCTTTTTCTTTTTGTTCTTTAGTGCGGAATTTGGTGAGGTTTGAGGTTGGGGTTGCCTTCGGTGGAATCGGGGGAGGGGGCGGTGTGAGGATGACGGGTTGGGGATGCGATTTTTCAGAACTACTAAAGGCTTGTGTGGACTACGATGGGAAGATGGGCTTCTTGATGGAGGTAGGAGGGCCTCTTTCGATTGATGTTTTCGGTTGTGCGGCTAGTGGTATGTCAGTCTGATATCAGGGTTCCGGAGTCCTTTTGACGGCCATGTTAGGTGTGGGGATGGCTGCTGTGGAGAGATACATACATTGCTGGGTCATTTGCAGTGAGCATGAGATTCTAGTCTGACAGGGCTGGTCAAGGTCATGATGTATACCATATCTACAGATGATTACTTTGCTACATATACTATACACGGTCAAGAAATAAAGTGGCTGCCGATCAAGATGTATATTGTTGCTCTTGACTGAATTATAGATTATATGCACAAGGCCTGACTCTCACCAAGAGCTTGGAAAGAATTAACTCCCATCCCCCGTTGACAGGCCACCCTATCCACCTGACACACTACCCCATCCACCACGAGATCGCACTCTTGTGATGACCAAGAAAACTTCGAGCAGAAACGAATCCGCCCGCTTAGCAAGAGGCACCGGAGGGAACGTTCTTGCACTTGGAGCTCTTCTTGCCACCGGCGACGCTGACGCCAGACCAGGTCCAGCCAGAGCAGCTGCCGGAACCGCAAAGGAGGTAGATGTCAGTGGCGGAGCTCTCAACGGTACCGGTGACCTTGTTGAAGGTGATGTCCTTGACGCTGATACCGTTGGTGGGGGTACCGGTGGGGGAGCCGTTCTCGTAGTCCTGCTCGACGACGATACCGTACTTGGTGATGCCGGAGAGGGTGATGTCCTCGAACTTGACACCCTCAACGGTACCGGTGGCATCGTAGACGGTCTTGATGCGGACACCGTTCTGGGAGTTGACGACCTGCGAGTTGGAGATGGTCACGTCGGAGACAGTGTTGTCACTGCGGCCACCGACGGAGCCGATGGAGAGACCGTGGCCACCGCTGCAGTAGCCGTTGGTGAAAGTGATGTGCTAAGGACAGTATTAGATGCTGAACTTGACAATATAGTAAGGAGGGCTGATCAAGATACCTCTCCGGAGTTGATGGCCAAGCAGTCGTCCTGGTTGTAGACCTTGGCGCCATCAATGGTGATGTAGGTACTGGAGCCAATGTCGAAGGCATCGGTGTTGTGGCCCTCGGAGTTACCGGAGGAGTTATCGATGGTCACGTCGGTGAGGGTCAGGTGGTCGGCCTGGATGCTGAAGCCCTGGACGGGGGTGTTATAGACCTTGAGTCCAGTGATGCTGGACTGGTCCAGCTTGTGGGCATAGAAGAACTTGGGCTTGGTCTTGCCGCCGTTGGTGCCCTTGCCGTCCCACCAGCGGGAGCCGTCGCAGTTAATCTTGGCGCCGGTGGCCTGCTTGACAGTGATGTCGGTACCGGACATGGAGATCAGAGGACCCTTCCACTCCTTGTAGCCGAAAGTGGTGGTACCCTCAAAGATAACCTGGGGGAATGATTAGCTTACACCATGCATTCGTGAACAAGGGCGTCCTACAGTGGTGCCGGACTTGAGGCCGGTCAGATCAAGAGTTTCACCAGCCGGAACCTCGATGTTGTTGAGGTAGATGGTCGAGCAAGAGGTCTTGCCAGACTTGGCCTTGGCGGCATCGGTGAAGGTACAGCTGGAGCGCTTCTCGATGTCAGTGGGAGCAGCCGCGACCAGCGCAGCGCCCATGGTGGCAGCCAAGATAGAGGACTTGATGAAATGCATTTTGAGGAAATGAATGAAAACCTGGATCAACAGGAAAAACTGATTAAAGAGAGACTGGATGGGGTAGGAAAGAGAGCAAAGGAGTGCGATGAGGAAGAAGAGAACTCATCATGACAGGCAGGCGAGAAGAAGGTATTTATGGTACCGTGGTTGCGCTGCCTCCAGCAGAGAAGGGGGCACGTTTCCGAGCTATAGCTATTAGCTATCTCGAACGGTCTCTAGAATGGAAGAGTTCCGGTAAATTGAAATGAAGGTAGGTACATTAGCAGGCCCAGAGAAAACTGGGTCCGAGCGACTAGATCGTAAAGGGCTAGGATGAAGTCGACGAGCACCCCCGATTTGGCTGTAAATAGGGTCCTCAGAGTTTCGGGATGGTTTTCAACCGGTTCCAAAAGGGTTCCTCTGTCGAATTTGAAACGCAAGCTTATCCTTAGCCGCGAGGATTAGCCACTCACACCGATTGGAGCTTGGCTGTATTCGCATTAGGCACCCCTGAAGTCTCTCATTCGGCAGGGCGCCGAGACATCGAGCCAGACCCTTTGACCAGGCAATATAATTTACTTCCATGAGTGGCGGATGGTTTCATGATCGCCGGTGGGTGGTTGCAATATAACGACGCCTCGAAAAAAAATGCCGACGGAGCAACAGGTAGAGTGGGTTAGTGCCTGGTGGCTTGCTCCCCACCCCGCTCGGCTATCGGCTTGCTGTAGGCAACAATGCGGATTTCGATGCGACTCATTGCAATGAGCATTGCGAGATGCTTGTTGGCAACAAGAGAGACAAGCCTTTTCAAGGCTTATTGCCAATGCAATTGACCCACGACGAGACTCAGTCAAGCAAGTCAAGCTTGTTAGTTGAAGCTTGGCTTATGGGCATCCTGAGGAGATGTTTCTCACCGAATGCAAGCTTAAATGAGCAGTTTCCACCAGAATCCCGGGCTGTACTCTGCTCTAGGGTGTTTCTGGAAGCTCGAGCGGGTCCAGTACCCATCTCAAGAAATAAGGATAGAATTTTTGTGGCGGACATTGGTCGGTGGGCTGCTCGGGTAAGACATCAGACCCACGGTCCTTCCAAGCATGTTCCGGCGGCACCGTCCACCAAACCATTTGCAAGTTGAAACCGTGCCTGCGTCGATGGCTTGATGACGGACTTCTTGGCACTCACTATTCTCAATATCCTGAGAGTCTTGACAGAATTTCATAGGCTCCACTAGCTCTTCATAAATTGACTCCTCAGAAGAAATATATTAAGGAGAATCCCGAGTTCGGATTCGGGTTCCGCGGAGTGCCGTGAAGCATCCCCGTCTCGAGACCGGCAGTTGTCAGCACCCATTCATCTTAATTGATGGAAAGATAGGACACGTCGGAATGAGTATCGGAAAATTGTTATCACGGAGGGTCTCCGAGCTGACGGATTTCTCGAAGCTCAGTAATTAGTTCATCTCTGCCCAGACAAGACGGTGAGACCAAGTTGTGCAGAATTCCTGTTGGCTGTTGTTCTCAAAGCTCGATGTCTCACTCTGCTGTGGTTTAGACCTGAATTATCGAGCTGTGCGGGAGTCTGATCTCACTCTGCCCAAGAAGTGATTGGGGAGAAATCAAAGAAGTTGGAATATAGGGTGGAACTGAAGGTGGATGGGGAAAGATGATGGAGGAGGGAGGAAAGACAGTGAGGGAGTGAGACATAGCCAGATGTGGCAGGAGGAACGAATACGATCTTACACCTTAGGCCTCTCACTCAGCACAACTCGGCTCTCTCTCTCTCTCTCTGTGTATGTGTGTGTGTGTGGGTGTGGGTGTATACTCCTCACTTTATCATACATCAACATATAACAGTAGCCAATCCCAATTGAGTTCAAGCCTCCATATTATAGTCGAAAGCTGGCTTGCAGTTAGTCAAATATCAACCCGTTATCTGCATACTGGCCTCCGTTGTCAAGCACTTTCAATGTAGTTCCCGCCAGACATTCAAGTATTAGTAAAAGACGAATATATAATGCTCAGGCTGAAGATCTCCACTGTATAGAAGCATGCGCAGGCAGCAATAAGCGCTCAGAAGAGTTACAGACATGGATAGGTTTTGGATTAGTCTGCGCATATATATTTGTAGAACTGACTTGAGCCTTTAAGCACCTCAGCACATCATTATATATATTCAATGTAGAGATGTCTAACTTCCAATGCTTGAAACTATCCAAGATGCCATATCGCCTCGCATACTTCATTGGCAATGACGAACACTTAGATTAGATTGAATTGAATTCTACTTTAGTAAAGACGATTGCTATCTGTTGTTGAGGGCGGTCAGTCGTTCTTTGCGCTTTCCTTCTTCTCCCCCTCTCCATGCCAACTGCATGTGGCTGCCGTCAGCATCGCCAGTTATTCACAGCACCCAAGACAGGGATAAATACAGCAACAGCAGCAGCAGCAGCAGCAGCAGCAGCAGCATCATGATCATCCTCGTTTCATTCCACAGTCCTGCAGAGAGTGAGCCAATATCAGCATTCTTCTGATCTTAACGGATGATTCGCCGGCGTTTTCTCTGGGGTAGCCGTCATTCTAACGGGTGACGGCAGGTGCATGAACCAGCCACGATGGCGCAGCAGCACAGCGCAGCACACTTCGGCCGAAAGACATCTCCCCAGCTTGACAAGCTGCCTAAAGTTCTGCGGCTCTTCTCGATCCGAGTGTGACAGACACACTTGCCCACCGCATCGCAGGCGATACACAACGTGAGACGGAATGTTAACCCTCACATCGTGCGCAGCACAAAACCCGCCTCATTATCCACCCTTTCGCTAGAGAAAATGGAAGCGAAGCGGTAAGAGTCTCGACAGGACTGATAGCTAGACTGGTTGTCAAGCAAGTGTGATCGAGCGAGGGGGTTCCACGTCGTACAAGGTGTGTGATGGCTGATCGAAAACGGTTTGTTCGGGCGCGGCTGCAGCGACGATAAACCGTCGGCTGAAAGGGAGCTGCAGACCAACGACGAGCATTTGGCCGCGTTAGCCTGAGAGGACTTGCTGACTTTATCCTGGCCCCGGTCATCGCTTATAAGTGGCGTCCAGCCAGCAGCAATAGGGATACGATGGCGAGAGTCTAGCCAAGGGCTGCGATTGGGTGTCCGTGCAACCGGGCTAACTGGCTAACTGACCGACTGACTGACTGTGAAAGCACAAGGCGAGGGAGGATGCTGCTCGACAGGATTCAATCACAATCGACTATTGCCAGCATTTTCAGCTCAGCTCAGCTGGTCCAAAATGTGCCATTCGCCCAGAGCTTCTTGGGGGGCGACCAGGCCAATCATGAGTGCGGGATCACAGACTATCGTACGGAGCCAGCGGACTAGGGGGAATAGCTTCCTTTCTTTGTTTTTCCTTGTGCTGTTTTCCCCCTTCGAAACTCCACGCCTCGTGTTCGACCAGACAACCACGCTCCGCTCCCCGAGAGAACAATAGAATGGCTAATCAATGGGATTGTTCTTACCATATAAAAAAAAACTTTCGGGCATTTCGGGGACTGGGAACCTTATCCGACCCCACGGACGGCGACACCCGATCAGCGGGCATCAACTCTCTCGGGCTTCAGATCCATGGTTCGCTGGATTTTTCCTGAAGCGGCGGCTGCTGCATTGGAATGCTGACTGACTGACTGACTGACTGACCGTGACGTGCAGGGTTCCCCTCCCATTATGGCTGCGAGGCAGGATGACCCATGACGCCGAGCATGTTCGGCGATCTCATTCCTTCAGAGATCGTATAGTGGGCTCGGCCTCGTCTTGAGTTAGACGAAACCCTGTGCTGAGCTGGGACCCTATAACGGCTCTTTTCTGCTATTTAGAACCAGCCTAATCCCTGTTGCTGTTTTCTGGATATTACACAAGTTTGAGGTTATAGTTTGATTCTCCCCCGTCTTAGTTGGCGTACAGCAAGGCCTCATACCTGCTTTCGACGACCTGGTGTAGCCCCCCACAGCTGAATATGGAGGCCGAATTACCGACCAAGAAAGATGATTTCGATCTCGAGCGGAATGACGCGCATCAATTTTTGATGAACAACACTGTCCAAAGTTTCGTCTGGAGTGATCTACGAGTCACGGTCAAGGACCGTCGAACCAAACTCCCTCGACAGCTCATTGATGGCATCAGTGGCTCAGTCCAGCAAGGTAGGTTTTCATATCGCCTTGTGCTTGCTGAAGAAGGTCAACTCATACACTGGGAGCAGGAGAGCTGGTCGCACTGATGGGACCGTCAGGATGTGGCAAGACGACCCTCCTTAACGTCCTTGCTCGTCGTGTAGCATCCTCGGGCGCAAAAAATACGGGAGAGTGCTACGTTAATGGGTCGGCGATGGATAACACCACTTTTGGACGACTCACGTCCTATGTGGAGCAAGAAGATGCCTTGATCGGCTCATTGACTGTCCAGGAGACATTGAAGTTTGCTGCCGATCTCTCTCTTCCAAGGTAATTTTCTAATTGATCTCTGGCCATTCCCGATTGAACTGCTAATACGTTCAGTTCCGTTCCCAAATCGCAACGGGCAGAGCGCATTCGCACTCTGTTAAAGGCCTTCGGTATTCAGAATCAGGCTTCAACGTTGGTTGGCACTCCGATTCGCAAGGGCATCAGCGGTGGGCAAAAACGGCGAGTCAGTGTCGCTAGTCAACTGATCACTTGTCCGAAGATCTTGTTTCTGGATGAGCCTACCAGTGGCCTGGACTCAACTGCCAGCTTTGAAGTCATCTCCTACATTAAGAGGCTAGCCGTAGCAAATAATGTATGAGTCCAATCGGGAGGAATAACACAACATGCTAACCTCTGCTAGTTGATCATCATCGCCAGCATTCATCAACCATCATCAACCACTTTCCAACTCTTTGATAAGCTGCTTTTGCTGTCAGGCGGACACACCTGCTATTTCGGGCCTGTCACTGATGTGCCACATTATTTCAACACACTTGGTCATCCTGTCCCCCCGAACACAAACCCAGCGGAGTTCATTCTCGACCTGATCAGCGCCGATTTCGGCAGTGGTACGCTCGATGCACCGGCGGATCAAGTGGAGGAGATCTGCGCGGCTTGGCAACACTCTGCGGAGCGTAACGCATTGAGTGAGCAGCTATCGCAAGACCTGGGAGGCCCGGAAAAGGGTTTCAGCAAGACGGACATTGCGGAGCTCGGTCATCCAGGGGTGTTCAGTGTTATCATGTCCCTCTTGCACCGCGCCTTCATCAAGAGCTACCGTGACATTGTGGCATATGGAATCCGTATTGTTATGTATATGGGTATGTTGGAGTGCCAGAAAGAGCCAGCGCTTAATATCACTGACCTTGCCCAGGACTGGCTATAATGGTGGGCACTGTTTGGTTGCGTTTGCACACTGAACAAGCCTATATCCAGCCATTTATCAACTCGATAGTAAGTCCACAGCTCGATCTGCCTGGACTTAGCCAACTTAGAGCCTTATACTAATGAGCTCTAGTTCTTCGGTTCCGCCTTCATGAGTTTCATGGCCGTCGCCTACGTTCCTGCCTTCCTGGAAGACCTAGCGACTTTCACCAAGGAGCGTGCAAATGGTCTCTACGGCTCTTTTCCATTCCTCGTGTCCAACTTCATAATTGGTCTCCCATTTCTGTGTACGTGCCCTCGTCCGCAACGGCATGGTCCCCGGGTTGTCATTGCCTGCTTGAATGCTAACCGAGTCTCCCCAGTCCTCATCTCCCTCCTCTACTCCGTGATCGCCTACTGGCTCAACAACCTCACCCCAACCGCTACGGCGTTCTTCACCTGGATCATGTGGATCTTCCTCGACCTCGTGGCCGCCGAGTCTCTGGTTGTTTTCGTCTCTTCCATCTTCCCCAACTTTGTCATCGCTTTAGCCCTGGTCGCCTTCGCCAACGGGCTTTGGATGGCGGTGGGTGGTTTCCTGGTGACCAACACCATCCTGAATCCTTTTTGGAAATATGTGTTCCATTACATCGATTATCAGGTTAGTCCACTTTAATTCTCGTTGCGTTCAATCAAACCACATCCCCCATTCCCGCCATCCCTAACCACAAACACCCACCACACACATCCGCTAACATCCTCAAATCAAGGCCTACGTCTTCCAAGGCATGATGGTCAACCAATTTTCCGACCGCATCTTCGCCTGCGCCGCCGACTGCACCTGCATGTACCAGACCGACCTGGCCGCGCAGTGCCAGATCCGCGGCACGGGCGTGCTGCACGAATACGGCTACGCGACCGGCCGCACCGGCAAATGGGTGGGGATCCTGCTGGGGATTATCGCCGTGTATCGGTTGTTCGGGTACCTGGCTCTCGTGTTTTTGAGACGGTAGGCTTTTATGGGGATATGTGTGTGCATGCGATATATACTTCGTGATCCTCGGCGTTTCCTGTGCGCGTGATTGTAAATGCTTTGCCTTGGTCGTGGGGAGGATTGTGCCGGTGCTTTGTGAGATTATTGGGACTATTCGGTTGGGCCGGGACTTCCAAAGTGTGTCATGTGATTTGGTTTGTTGTTATTGTTTGTGTTATCGGGGTCTTGGTTGAGACTATTTGCTGGCGTACTGTGCATTCTTTGGATGGTCCTGGAGGAAGGGAGCTGGGCTGTACATCAAATAGCATGGAATCTGATCTTCGGATTTTGTAGGGGTTTGAGTTCTGTTGCATGATTCATCAGATCTTTACATGATGCTCTGCTCACTGAGATCCTTGGAAAGATGTTCTTAGAGATCACAGTGTGGATAGGCTGGATGACTGTGGTGGTAGTGATGGTTGTGGTTTCGCTTGTTTTGGATCAATGTCCAACGTACTCCTTGCTGGTATGTTTGACATACGACAATTCAGCGAAATGGGATGATTCACTGAGACGGATAGAGCAAAAGAAAAGAGGACAGTCAATGCTTAGAGTCGAATTAGTATATACGAGTAAAGAAACAATCAGAAAATCCATTGCCATTCCTATATCCATATTCAGATCCAGATCCATAGTGAAACTCCTGCTTCGGGCGCAGAAAACCTTTCATAATGTATTCGTTCATATCATGTTTAGTTCTGCATTGTGATGTATTGTATCGCATCCCACTCATCCCATGTCCCATCAATCATAATCCCATGTCAACATTTCGCAGCTCGGTTTCAAAGCATAGAAAGAGAAAAAAAAAGAGGCAAAGTCCGAAGAAGTTAACGCGCAGAGACAGAATGCATGGCCAAGGCCAAGGCCATTTATTTACAAGCAAGACTCCCTATCCCTCCTCGATCGCTGTCATCGTTGATGAAGATGTTGCTGCGTAAGGAAGGCGAGAGACAGAGGGAGGGAGTGCGTTAACGTCTCGAGTACCGAGTCTCCTCGCCATCACTCTCGCTCAGACTATCGCGCCGACGGCCCCGACCCCCTTCCCGGCGGTAGCCTTTACTCAATCCGGGGATCGGATGGTGGTAGCTCTTGGTGCCCGAGTCCTCGGTGTCGACGTTGGAGTACTGATACTCGGAGCGCGAGGCCGCGGAGGAGAAATCCAGCGGCTCGGTGTAGTGGCCCGTCACGGACGGACGCTTGCGGGGACTACTCTGCCGGGACGAGCGGGACGGGCTACTGGTACTACCAGCACCAGCACCGTCGGTCGGGGCGTGTCTCCTGCGCTCGCGGCGGCGATTATGTCTTCTGGTCGACGGCTCCCGGATCGTACGGTGGTGATGATCGTCCGCCTGGCTCAGCAACTCCTCACTGCCGGCCACAAACGAGAAATCGCGGCGCTTGCTCTGCCGCCGCTCCACGACGGGATCGTACGCATAGTCCCGCACCTGGCTGACCTCGCTCTGCTCGCGGTCCTGCCAGTAGCTCGGCGGGTTAGACAGATCGTAGTCACTGCCGTCGTAGTAGGTGGTGCCGTCGCCCTCGCGGTTCATGCCGCCGACGCGCGCGGGCTTCTCCTTGCGGTAAGCGGCGACGTCCTCGTCGACCTCATTCTCCCAGTTGGCGGTCATCTCGTCGTCCTTGCGGCGGCGCCGAAACTTCTCGCGCAGCTTACGGCGCCGCTTGCGCTCGGCGCTGCCGCCGCCGGGGGCGCCCGTCTTCTCGGTGATGGTCGTCGCGGTCTCCGTGTACGTGTACCCGTCGTCGCTGTAGCCCTTGTGCACGATACTGCCGCCGCCGAGCTTGGTGCTCTTGGTCGCGTTGCTGAGCGTGCGCCCGTCCGGCCCCTTGCGCCGCAGCACCGTCGACTTGTACTCCTCCCAGTCGCCCTTGCGCCACACGAACCCGCCGTTCCTGGCCCAGAAGAAGAACCAGATCGCCGCCAGCACGAAGGCCGCCCCAATGATCGCGAAGAGCGCCATCAGTCCCTTCATGTTGATGTTGTGCGGCTCCACGGTGCCGCTGCCCGGGATGTATTGAGTGGAGTCGCGGACGTGGAGAAGGTGGCGGTGGGGGGCATTGTTACTGTTGTTGTTGTTGTTGTTGTCTTGAAGACTGGGGTTGGAGTCCGGTGAAGCGGCGAGTTCGGTGGGGTTGGTGGTTGTGGTTGTGGTGAGGGTTTCGAGGATGGAGATGCCGGGGAAGTCGCCGGCGGTTTGGACGGGAGGCATGATGGGGAAAGTGGTAGTGGATGTCAAGAGCGTGGTGCTCGAGACGGGCACTCTGCGGCTGGGTTAGGTGGGTATTCCTCTTGATGGACCGGAGGATGGATGATGAAAGGGTTAGATAATGGATAGATTGAGTGATTGATCTTTGATGGATAGGGATGGATGTCAGGTTGACTTGAGCTGGAATGCGGGATGTCTTACCCACTGAAAGTGACACTTTGGGTGTCCTGGTGGGCTCGATCTCAATCACCCGATCCACTTGAGATTTATGGTATGCTCGGGTACCAGAAGCTAGATAGTTGATAGTACGGAGACCGATGGTTGGAATGCAGTGTGCAATGTGGATGGATGTGAGCACAAATGCTAGCTTGGTATGCACTACCGAGTGTGTTAGCACCGGCTTGCTCACAGTGACCTAGAGGAAGAAGGCAGAGCAGAAACCAAACCAAGGCAACGCCAGCGGCAGAACAAGCGACGCCCAGGCGGGAAATTGAGGTGGTTGGGGAGAGGCTGGGGATGACGCTCTTTTGTTTGGGCGATCTCCGTGGCCCCGGCAACTGGCATGACTCAGCAGCCTCCCCTCCTTATCTTATCGGGGGCTTACGCCTGCCTGAGGCTCTGCTACGATACTGTGCATACATATGCAATTTGGAGCAGGCATTAGACGTTGATTTTTCATTGGATAAGCAGCTTAACGAGTTGCCTAACTTTTGAGACTCATACTTTGGTGCAGTTTGTCTTTCGCGGCAGAATTGGGCGTATGTAGTGGGGGTGGCTGAGAACAAGGGATCCCAAGCATTATTCCTACGGTGTATCACCAACACGAACAAGGATGGTTTTGAGCAGCTAATTGATGGCCAAAACAGTAAGCAGAAGCTGCTGCCCTTGGTTCCGGCGGCCAGTACTAGGTAGGAAGGTAATCACGAGCATTGGGCATCAATAGATGCGTGGGGGCGCAAGCCTGCAAGCGCCGAAACGACATGTAGAGAGGCAATCTCACCCATGAGATCCAACGATCAATAATCATGCACAGCCAGATTACAGGGGCATAAGTTGACTGAGCCAAATACCAGATGCAGACGGAACGCCCCGCTGATGCACTGTGTCCCCCTTAGGATCATTGTTGTTGACAGTTTGGCAGCGCGCATAAATGACGCAAAGAGAGCGATAGAGTTTTGTCAATCAGCCTCCGCTGACCGACATTGAACCGGAGTCACTGGCTCTTTTTCTGATCCAGCATTTCAGATGTCAATTTTTCCGTCTGTAGGCGCAATGCACATCGGTAGATGCATCCATGATCCAGGCAAGGGTTACCATAAAGGGGACAGCTTATTCTTCATTCTTGCCAGGTGTATGGAGACACGGACCAACATTCAGTCGCTGTAGTGTGAGTCACAGGGCCCAGGGTAGACCAGACTTCAAGTCAAGTCTATGATTACAAGTCATGTGATTAATGGAGGAACAATGCCCGAGAAAGCTTCTTGTGAAGCGATCGGAACGGTGTGTGTCCATCTATCGGAGTACAAGCCTCCTGGCAGACTTGGATAACTGATGGGTAGACCCGAAGGGGTGATAGATTGTTGTCTAACGGAGAGATTTCTCGGACTCCCAGCAAGTCAGTGTAGTATGAATAACGAAGCAAACATTACAGTAAAGAATTAATCCCGCCTGGCGCTTCCGGCTTGGAAAATCGGGGAGTAAGTAATAGCTAACTTACCGGGATCATGGTTTTCTAGCGCGCTTCGACACAGTCTTCCATGCTGCTCGCTGAGCGGGCCTCCCCACAAGGATAGCAAACTTATCAGCCCATCAGGAGAACACTGGCAAGCGGGGTGAGGACTGATCATGGAGGATTGAAAGGGGGATGGAATCGATTCTTTGTGTCATGACGATGACATGAGCGAAGTAGATCTGCCTGCTGAGTCGGTGGGATATACCGGTTTTCTGTATCCTTGTTTGCTGGGCTAGACCAGGTCGGCTGAAGAATGCCTGTCCATGAGCTCGAATGAACTCAATAATGCACTTTGGAACCTAGATCCTTGATGCTGTGAGGTTTCTTGCCTCCCCTTTCTTTCTTTCCTTTTGTCAAGATTGACCTTCGTCTCCGGAATGAATGAGAAATTTTCACCAACGAGGTGTGCCCCGCGGGGTGGAGGCCACCGTCATTGGGCCGCAATGGGAAAGTTCCTTGTCATCGTTCGGGACTTTTGGGCAGCCAACAGGACGGGATTTCCTCGGATGGACCAGGTAGGTACAAACTGTATTGGATTGAAGACCTGTGACGGGCGACAAGAGTCATCCAGACAGGGTCACGAGGAGATTGAGTAGAGATTGATGAAAATGATGGGGGAAGAGAGCAGTGTAAACTGTAGTGTCGATGTTGTGAGAAACTCCGGATGGTCCGTGGATGGAATCCGCTCAGACCCAGGGGTTCTCCCGTCGATGGAGCCGAGTGGGGATCCTCTCAATCCATCGCTTCTTATTTCCACCCTCCCATCCTCCCACCACCGCCCTAGCCACACCCTCCACCACGATACAGTTCGATGGTACGGAGTACTCACGTTCAACCTTACTCTTACTCTTGGATTCTGAGATATCTCAATCCCATCTGTCCGGCTAAGACACTAGTGGTTGGGTAACTCCAACCCACCGGACCGACTGAGACAGAATACCGGAATGATTGACGATCTTACCTCTTCGTTACCTGCGAGACATGTCCGGGTCACGAGGCACTATTGTTCATCCTCACGATCATGAGGTTACACCAAGGCGACATGGCAATTAGAACTGGCCGTTACTTCAGCACTGCAGCTTAAGAGGCATAGCGGTATAGCGTACTCTCGTGGTATCGTGCATAGCCACTATCTTTCAGGGGCCTATCAGCGCGTGCTGCAAGCAATCCGTTTGGTGGTGAGCTGCTATACATAGCGATCTCGACTTGATTTGCACTCGAGAGATACTCTTCTTCCCCAATATACACGGACGCTATGGTATGCCGATCCGCACGTGTGATGTGGTATTTGTTTAGGGAAACGATTTGCACACCGGGTGATGAGCATTTCTGAAATGACTTTAAACCGAAAATGAGGTTATCTCGAGTCTGCAAGGGATGGAATGATCGGATCAGATCCTCAGGATGGTTGAGGCTCCCTCCTCAACAAGCCCATTGATGTCACTGATCCGTGCGGAGCAATGCCCCGGGATGAAATGGCACGCACTGAGGGTCTGAAACCGCACGGACAGGCGCCTGGGATATCGCGGATATCTAGTGTTTATTACCAGCCGTTCCATGGAAAGCATGGATGGAGTATACTCCGGTTATCAAAGTCACCCCTGAAGCTCTTTGCGACCGATCTAGTGACCCTTCATCATCGTGCCGCAACTCGCCTGTGATGGGTATTCTGATACGCCAATGGAGGATTTCCGATTTCACCTTGCAGCTGCAAGCCTCTTGTTCCCTGTCGGTCGGAAGTCACAGTGCGGAATATACCATGATCGCATCATTATGAAATTAAATTCCATCCTACCATGCCCGTGACGTATGCAAGACAGAAGACATATCGCAGATAGAGGCGACGGCTTTTTCCTCAATCTTCAATATGCTCGACGACCTGCTACTGAGGAATCTACGATGGTGGTTATGAAGGATACAATAGCTCATTGAGTCATGCTGATCGAGTCATCTCGACCAGGATGATCGAGGTGACCGGAGTAGGGTTTTTCTCCATTCTCGTTCTTTTCTGCTGTATCTCCCATCAGTCCATCAGTCATCAATAACCAAATGCATAATTAAAAAAAATGTTAGCGGCCGATCAGGCAGCGGCCAGCAGCCACTCAAGGGAGAACCCCCACCTCCTCCTCTTTTTTCTTCTTCGATTTGCTCCGACTCGAGACCTTTTCATCCGGATTGGAGACAATGATCTAGGAGATGAGAGGCAAATCTGATGGGGGGCCAAAAGGTAGCGGTAGCGCCGGGACATGGGGAAAATTTGAGTAAATACCATACATCCGCAACATAAACCATGTAGTTCGAAGAGACCGCGGGAGAGAAATTAGCCTCTGGACAAGGATCTGGATGTGTTCGGATGTGAGATGGAACCACTTTCCGTTTCTTTATCTTGATCGAATTTATATTCCGTCCTCGCTCGGGTTGCGATGAATGATTCCAGGTCCAACTCTTGCTCGTGCTGACCTTGGGGTTGGAATTGTCGGTATGCTCATTATAAATCCACAAGACAACGGGTGAGATAGCAACCGGAAGAAGCAATTCACAATAGAATAAAAGAGAGTTTAAATAAAAGAAAAAGAAGTAGAAATTGCAAACACAAATAGAGGCAGCGGCCTCAAGCCGTGTGTTCATACCGTGTGTAATCATTAAGGTATACATTCTGAATAGTCGGTACCAGGGCTTCCCTCAACGTTTTGTTTTCTCTTTTTTTTTTTTTTTTTTTTTCTTCTTCTCTTTTATGTGATAATTTTGATTGTAAAATCATGTAAATAAGAAAAGGCAGAGAAAAGAACTGACTCAACCGACTCTTCCTCTAACTGCACTGATGAATGAATTCAATTAAAAACCGAGGCGACGCACAGCACAGTTTTCCAACCCATCCAATCCTCCGTACCTGACCTACTTACTTACTTCCCTACTGACTGACTTCCATACCTCTTTTCCTTTCCCCCTCCTCTCTTACTGCTACTACTACCAAGTCAACCAGTGGTAGTGAATCAAGTCAATCAATCAATCCCGGATCTCCTATCGCAATCCCTCCTTCTCTCTGCTTCCCCTTCTCCTCATTGTTATTTTTCCGTCTCCTGCTTTCCCCCCTCTTTGATTTTCCTGACTTCTACGATTATCTCTTATCGTCTGGTGTGGAAGATTCCCACCTGTTCTTCCCTTACTCCACTTAGTCTTTTGTTTTCCCTCACTCTCCCCACCTTTTTTTTCCCTGCGCATTCCTGCTTTTGCTTTGCTCCTAGTCGACTTACTCACTTCCCCTCCTTCTGTCATTTCCCCCCCCCCCTCCCCCCTCGGACCTCTAAACCTAGAGAGTCAAATTCTACTGGAAAGTCCCTTTGACCCTTTGCATCTTCTTTTCCCTCTTCTTCTCTCTGCTTCCTCCCATCGCCTTGGTTACTGTCATCAATCATATCGTGTCCCAAGGCCGACGACCACGACTGCTTAGCCAGACGGACCAGTCATCAAAGCCGTCGGTTACACGCTTCTGCTGGGTGCATTGAAGGACTGCAGCCCCGTCAGTTGTTTGGTCCATCGATCATTCTATTCTGACTCCCCTCCACTCACCGGCTGCCAACCGTTCACTGCAGCTTTCTTGTCCGGTTGACCCACGCTGGCCTTGTCCACTACGGGTTATCTATCCAGTCTAGTCTCATTCTTACTGACTGTCCGCCGCCCGACTTGTCGTCTCTTCATCACCAGTCCTCCACCACCACTTCTTACAATCCACTTCGTCGCCTGCCCCCCCCTTCCACCCCGAACCAACCCCGTTCTTCCTTTCCTCTTTTCGATGGAGACATTGCAGACTGTGGACGACGACTATTCTTTGTGCCCACCAACGACTCATCGTTGACAGTCAACGATCTAGACGCTCTGTCTCTCGGACTAGTGTCTGGCCCGTCTGCATCTTCCGGTTGTCTTCTTGAGGCGACTGCCGCCAAGTGGATTTGCAGCCCTCACTCCGAACTAAGAGGGGAGAGGGAGAAACAAATCACTAACCGCGCCTAAAGAAAAAAAAAAAATCAGAGAGTGAAAAAAAAAGGGAAAACCGCTAAAAAAAATCTCCCAGGCACTGATTGAGTCATATTCGGATGAGCAGCAGTTGGTGGCTGCTGTAGGCCACCAAGCAAGCATCTGAAAGCCTGTTGGAGCACCACGTTTCAGGTCATCCACCTTCGTGCCTTTCCCCCCCCGCCCCCCCCCAAATCAAGCCAGACCCCTCTGCCCTGTTCCCCTCTTAGGGTTGGGCCTTAGGCCGCCTTCCAGAAGTCATGTCTAGCAAAGTCCCCCACGCCGCCTTCTGTGAGGAATATGACGAAGATACTCATGTTATCCGCCCCGAAACCCGTCAAGTCGCCAACCTCACTACCAAGCGCCATAAACAGGCCGTGAGATCGTCTGCAGAGCCCCTGGTCGACATTGCAAGTGACTCCGGGTATTCCAGTCGTACCGCCGCCACCGTCAACAGCACCCAATCTGGGCCGTCGGGCCGGAAGAGTCCTGTCCCTCATAAGTCAGACACCACCCTCAAACGAGCTGACCTCGAACGCGTCCGATCCAAAGGCCACAAAGAACGTCCTTCCAAGGACCGAGTTGCTCGTCCACCACGTGAGGACAAAATGCAGGTCGGAAGTTTTCCCACTGTGGGCCACCCGCACCCTCATGCCCATGCTCAGCGTTCCCCGTCCAGGTCCCGCCGGCGTGATACTGCTCAGTTCAGGCACTATCCGGGGCAGTGTTATGATTGCGATCAGGGGCTGTACCATCCTGCCTCAGCACCTCTGGAAGCGAGACCGATGGACTACTCGTATTTCATGCAACCACCTCCTCCAGGTCATGAATATCCCCCTCCAGCACCGCAAAACTCTCGATACCCTCCCTCTGTGATCCAGGACGTCAATGTCACCCGCAGTAGCCGTCCTCATGCTCGCGGAGGCTCGTCCGTTTATCATCCCAACAATCGACCGGCAAGCTTTCATGGTACAATGCCTGGGATGAACCAAATGATGTATCCACCGGGTTCCATGGGTCGCTACGACCACGGTCCACCGCTGTCTTCTTCGGCGTATGCCAACGCCCCGCAGTATGCCGCTTCTCATTACCCGCAACAATCTTCCTACTACAGCGTGTCCGATTATGCAGCCCCTCCTGAGAGTCGACAAGAACGATCGGCTTCAAGGTCTCGAGACCAAGGTCGGGGTCGCCGATCGTCGGTTTACGCACCTCCTATGGACTACGATGACGCAAGCTTTGATGAAGATGAAGATGATGACGACGTGGTGGAAATTTCTCCTCCGCCTCCCCCTGCCCCGGGCCGACAGACACGGCCTCGGATGTCAGCTCATTCCTCTCATGATCGCGATGAAGACTACTACCGCATGCCGCCTCCACCCACCAAGCACAAGGCGGCTCCGCATATCATCCAGAAACGGCCCGACCCGCCTCGCAAGTCCGTGACTGCCCCAATGATCACCTCCGACCGTCGCTCCTCTCGATCCCTAGACCTATCGGAAATGAGCGACGCTTTGCCTGAGTACGGGTATCGGCAGTCTTCTCGCGAGACTGTGATCCCTGAACGCAGCCGAAGCAACCGCGACAGCCGTCGTTCTAACGCATACCACGAGTCTGTGCGACCGGCACGAATTGCTGTCGAGAATTCTCGTCGGCGCCGGCCCACAGTATACAACTACGGCGATGATGATGATGATGAGAATGAGGATGATGAGATTGTCGAGAAGCAACGAGAGGCGGAGGAGTATCAAGCCTCCCGGTCGGGCAAGCCCTCGGTGCCCGTTCCCCTAACAGAAGACGCGTTGTACAAGGCTAAGACTTCTCAACGCGCTGAAAGCGACAGCGGCAGCCAGAAGAGTCGCTCGAACAGCAGCCGAGGCAGTGACGCCCGGACTCAAACTGGAAGCAACAGCGGTCTGAAACCGGAGGAGGACAACAATATTGTCATGACGATGAACGGTGTCACTATGAGCTTTAGCCAAGAATCCGTTGGGGGCAAGAGGCTAATGCTTCGGACCGGGGACAATGGTGCGGTGGAGCTGAACATTGAAGGCAAGCACCGACCGAAGAAATACCTCACTGGAGGCTCTGACTACACCGGAAGTGTTTCTCGGAGAGAATTGGAAGACCCGCGCCGAGCCATGAGTGACCGGAAGTCGGACCGGGCCAGTCGACGCTCGAGCCGGTCCACCTACAGCGGTCGATACTAGATAAAAGGCTTGGAATGAAGTCTTAGGATGCGATCCGTGCTGGTATTACAATCTCCGTTTGATACTTTACTTTTGCGATCTTACAAAAGTTATGGGTTAGATCTCTGTCTTTGACAACGCATATCGGTTCTTCAAAAAGTTCTTGCGTTTTTTTGGTGGGCTGGACAATTGGCAATGAGCCTTTGGTTCTGCTCGGATGGTATTGAAAGGATCACCACAAACAAAGGAAAAAATGTTTGGATGTCTGATATCGACGTTGGGCGGTTATTCTTTTGGTTCTATTTGCTTTGCTTTGGTTTTAACTTCGGTGTTCAAAAAGAGGAGGGGCGGGTTTGACGGCTCTGACCGATCACGTCCATCATGGCGACATGATTGTACGATTCTTGACGACCTGCACGATTTTCGATGTCTTATGTTTATGCTCATGCTTGGCTCAGCTCTAGCTGATGCGATACTCCTTGCTCATGTCTATGCCTATGCTCATGCTTATGTTTCATGTCTCATGCCTGATGTTCGTCTTTCTAATGTGATGTTCGTGAGGGGCGTTTGTATAAATTTCTTCTTCGTCGTTTCTATTTTGTGGCTTCTGTTAGGGCAGCGTGGAAGGAACGAGGACGAATGAGAGCAGAAGAGAGGAGCGAGGTATATACCCCGGCGATTGCTGCTTTACTTTGCATGATTTCAACTTGATGCATCATCTATTTTGTTTCCTGTCTTCTTCCTATATATCCCTGCGTGATGGTTTACATATTCCCCTTCAGTTATTCCTGCGTAGCGTTCAACACTGATTATGTACCTTGTTTTATCTATGGACATCTGCAATCGTTTTGCCAGTCGATGTTGAGTGGTGGATTAAGACGAACAGCGGCCCGGATCTTCCCTTGGTGATGTTCGATGTATACCCTGACCATACTTCAACATCCTGCGTGGTTGCTGCATGGAACTCAATCGTCGATTGATTGTCTCTATATTGAACGTTTGCACCTTTGAGGGAGGCGCTCTGTTTATAATAAATGATCTACTCGAAGCAAGTTCGTGCATACCTCTTTCCATTTGTCTCCTTGCTCTGGCCCCGTCATGCATGTCAGTTTCAATGCCACTATCGCACCTGCCAGTCCAGCCGTCACTGCGGGATACAAACCTACCTACCACGGAGTGTTCAGATTGCTCATGGAGAGAGCCTGCTTTACCAAATGTCTATGTCTATCTTGCTTTGAATCCTTACAATCTCCAACTCCACCCAGTCTGATTATCGCTGGCCAGATCCAGATTCGAGTTTCTGTGCTATCGACTCCTCTCTTTTGACATCGCATCCACACAGCACAAGATGGAGCCCAGCGAGATCGAGGCCAGCAGCTCTTTCTTCCGCGACTCGCCCGACTCCCCGCAACCGTTGCGCAGTGGTGCGCCAACGCCGTCGTCGTCCCCCGCCATCCCCCGCCCGATCCCATCGTGGGACGAGTCGGAAGTCATGCTGTGCGCATCGCACATACGCACCACCTCCGAGATGGACATCGACAGCTACCCGCCCGACGTGACCCCGCAGCTAGCAGCCATCAGTCTCACCGATCCCGCCGGACCGATCGACATACGGACGGTCTCAACCCCGGTGGCTGCTGGCAGCGGCAGCAGGCAGGAAGTCCGTCTGAGCTGCGCGCAGATCGAGCAGATCCATGCCACTAAGGATGTGTTGATGGCGCAGCAGACCGAGATTGCGGGTCTGCGGACCAACCTTCGAGAGATCCACGCTGGGCTGCGACAGGGGCGGCACGAGGCCGTGAGGAAGGTGAGGGATTACATGATTTCGGGGTGGGAGATAACTGATGTTGAGGCTGCCCGGCTTGTTTATGATAGGCATGCTGATGATGCTTCAAATTTGGCAATGTTGAGGGCGGTCTTGCACCCTGCTCTGGAGCTGGAGGCGGAGTACAAACGTGTCGACTGGGCGTTGACGGAGCGGGAGAACCGATCGGTCCAGTCGATGGAGGACTTTGCGGGGCTGCTGGAACAGCTGCGCGGGTCGTTTGCCGGAGGCGTTTCCACGGAGGAGGACTATGGGAGGGTCGTGGTGGCGGATGAAGGGGCTGCGGGCGTCTTAAGCAGCCGCGAGCATGATTCGAAGGCGTTCTCCCATCTTGAGGCCGCACAGAGGCTGCGAGAGCTGCGGGGTCAGTTGGACGAACTTGACAGGCAGATGGTCTCAATGGTGGAAATCCAGAAGATTGAGAATCCCTTGGTCTCAGACAGAAGACTCGAACGCGATGCGGTGGAGTTTATGCGAACTTACGATGAAAGACGTATGAATCTGTTTCGTGAGTACCGTGCCAGACTGTCGTTTCTTGAGACCCTCACGGCCAGACATGGCGATCCGCTGCGGCTGTCATCTCATGAGCTCAGACAAAGCAGCATCTTCGAGCCGGCGCCAGTCCAGAGCCCGTCGTCGAACGTCTTTGTCAACAAGTGGCTTTTGTTCCAGCTGAGGACCTCGTCCTTGGAGGCGGCGCGCATCCGCTCGCTCCCGGAGTGGCAGATACTGCGTGGCCAAGGGTGGACAGACGCCGGCATCAGCCGTCTGGCGCTCATGCTCTGGTTCTCGGATGACACCGTCCGGCCATACATGGGCTCCACGATCTTGAGTCAGTCCACCTCCTTGAGGGTGGTCTCTAGCATTGACGTGGGGGCCAGTCCGAGGAAGAGAAGAGCCAGATCCGCCGGCTTGCAAGACCCGGAAACTTAACGGGAATCTACGCAGTCTCCGGCCAAGATTGGACGTTATAATACCACTTAGAAGAAGTTTCTTTCTTTTCAGGTTATTGTTTTTCTTTGGTGCAGACTGAGTTTGGATTCGTATCCCTTATTCGCCTTGGTTTGTAGCATTTGTATAATATCAATGCTTTGGTCTGGTCCTTTTGCCCTTCTTTATTGGTTTGGACGATGATTTGGGAATCGAGGCGATGTCTTCATAGTTTGCCTTGATCGTTGATAACGGTGACTGTTGCTGTCGCTGTCACGGTGGAGCAGCATGTGCGCGAACTGTGTCATCCTAATTCATTACTCAATAAAACCGTCTAGGGTCTATATCGAGAGTAATACACTAAGCTTGAGCCTCGTCGACCTCAATCTTTTGACCATGCCAGTTGCGTAGAGTTGTGTAGTGTATAGATGGAGAGTGATAAGAGTGGAGCTTGGCGAGTGGAGACCCGCTAAAAATACTGCCTCGGAAAATCTCACCGCCCGACAGAATTTCCCAGCCCGCCGCCCTCCAGGAAAACTCTCCCCAAGTCATATCGTCAATTCCTCCCAAACACTCCCCTCTCGAAACGATACGCACGATCTTTTGTTCTTCCCGTGCTGTCTGTCACAATGAAACGCAAGTTGGACGCCAACGACGTGCCCTCCCCGGAGGGCGCCGAGACCACCCCCGAGACCCAGACCGAGACCCAGACCCCCGAGGTCAAAGACGCCGACTTCGAAACCCTTAATCTGGATCCGCGATTGCGCCAAGCCCTGATCAAAGAGAAGTTCACCAAGCCGACGCTGGTCCAGGCCAAGGCTATCCCTTTGGCGCTCGCCGGAAAAGACATCCTCGGTGAGTCCTACTTTTGAGTTTTCACTCTTGTTTTCAACTAGGCTGACAAGGAACACCAGCTCGTGCAAAGACCGGCTCCGGCAAGACCGCCGCCTACGTCCTCCCTATCCTCCAGACTATCCTTCAGAAGAAAGCTGTGAGTTTTTTGCCGGACACTTCTTCGCATCTTGTAGACTGGAGCTGACAAAATACCTTCATGGATTAGGCCGACCCCTCCCTGAAAGCCACGACGGGCTTGATCCTCGTCCCCACCCGCGAGCTGGCGGAGCAAGTGCAGAATGTGGTGACGACGTTCGCCGCCTTCTGCGGCAAGGACATCCGGTCGGTGAACCTGACGCAGAAGGTCTCGGACGCGGTGCAGCGAACGCTGCTGGCCGACTACCCGGACCTGGTGGTGTCGACGCCCGCGCGCGTGATCGCCAACCTCGGCAACTCGGCGCTGTCGCTGGAGCACCTGGCGCACCTGGTGATCGACGAGGCGGATCTGGTGCTGTCGTACGGGTACGATGAGGACATCAACGCGCTGGCCAAGGCGATCCCGCGCGGGGTGCAGACGTTCCTCATGAGTGCGACACTGACCTCGGAGGTGGATACGCTGAAGGGCTTGTTCTGTCGAAACCCGGTCGTGTTGAAGCTGGAGGATAAGGAGGAGCAGGGGGCTGGGGTTAGCCAGTTTGTTGTCAGGTTAGTTTAGTTGTGTGGGGATCTTATGTTGGGGTGGACACACCGTTGGCTAATGTTTACGTCTGTCTAGATGCGCCGAGGACGAGAAGTTCCTCCTCACCTACGTCATCTTCAAGCTGCAGCTGATCAAGGGCAAGGTGATCATCTTTGTCGGGGATGTCGACCGCTGCTACCGCGTCAAGCTGTTCCTCGAACAATTCGGCATCAAGAGCTGTGTCCTCAACTCCGAGCTGCCCGTCAACTCGCGGATCCACGTCGTCCAGGAATTCAACAAGGGCGTGTACGATATCATCATCGCGGCCGACGACCAGGAGGTCCTCGGCGCGAAGAAATCCAAGAAGACGAAAGACACGACCACCGACGCAGCCGAAGAAGACGAGGAAGGACTCGTCGGCTCCAGCGACGACGAAGAGGACGTCGAAGACACCACCACCACCACCAAGAAGACCAAGAAATCCACCCCCGAAACGAACAGCAAACGCCGCAAAGTCTCCACCAAGGACAAGGACTACGGCATCTCGCGCGGCATCGACTTCCAGAACGTCGCGTGCGTCCTCAACTTCGACCTGCCCACGACGGCGAAATCCTACACGCACCGGATCGGCCGCACCGGCCGCGCCGGCAAGACGGGGATGGCGCTCTCCTTCGTCGTGCCCGCCGACCAGTACGGCCGCCACAAGCCGACCTCCTTCCCGACGGCCAAGCACGACGAGACGGTCGTCACGCGCATCGTTAAGCGGCAGGCCAAGCTGGGCCACGAAGTCAAACCCTACCACTTCGAGATGACCCAGGTCGACGCCTTCCGGTACCGCATGACCGACGCCCTACGCGCCATCACCCGCCTCGCCGTTCAGGAGGCCCGCGCCCGCGAGATCCGCCAGGAGCTGATCAAGTCCGACAAGCTCAAGCGCCACTTCGAGGAGAACCCGGACGAGCTGCGCCAGCTCCGCCACGACGGCGAGCTCCGCGCCGCCCGCATCCAGCCCCATCTCAAGCACATCCCCGAGTATCTGATGCCCGCCAAGGGCCGGAAGGGCATCTCGTCCGAGACGGTCGGGTACGTCGGGTTCCGGAAGGTCGGCGGCGAGAATCGCATCCGCAAGGCCCGCGAGAAGAATCGCGGGAAGGGGAAGGGTGGAAGGAAGCCCGGTGGTGGTGGGCGGAAGGTCGATCCGTTGAAGACGTTCAATCGCGGGAGGAAGTAATCTCTGCTCGGACGTGGGTTATGGGTGGTGTGGTCTGGACTGTGAACTGTACATAGCTTTGGGATTTGATTCATAGAAAGAAAAGTTTCACTTGATGCATGGACTATGGTCATCATGACACCGTCTGGAGTCTCCGTAGCTGAAGGATAGAGAGATACATCCTCTATTCTTGCAGCAGCAGCAGCAGCCGCTGCGCTGTGCTGCAGTTTATATTCTTCCTTGCGAGGAGCTTGTCCTTCCTATTCACACGCAGACATCCAATGGATCCGTCTATGCATACCTACCCACCAATCCAAGGCAACCACGCCCTTTCGAGTATATACCACACGATCGAGTGTATCCACACATGCCCCGCAGTTATATACGGAACTGTACATCACCCAAACCCTCATCCAACATTACCCCCCGCACCCCAAAAGTCAAGGCAACAGATCCAACCATCGGGGCCCAAGCAACCTCTTCAACGCATCGTCCTCCAACCCCTCCAACCCAAACGAGAACGTCACCCACTTCCCCTTGCCCTCCTTCCGGACCCGCTGCACGTTCCTCTGCACCTCCTTCGCCGTCGTGACGATCTGGCGGTACCGCTGCACCTCCTTCATGCGCCGGTACTTGATCCTCTCCTCCTCGACGTCCCAGGGGAGACCATCACCATCGCCGCCGTCAGCATCCAGCGAAGGAGGAGGGGGGGCATGCATCGACGCAGCCAGGGTCCTCCTCTCCCCACCTACCCCTATCCCAATGCCACCAAATCTGCTGCCTTCACTATCTAGCTGACGCTGCTGCTGCTGCTGCTGCTGCTGGCCAGTAGCAGGATCATCATCCCCCTCCAGCGAAGGGACCCATCCGGCCCCCAACCGGATGAACTCGACGTCGCGCCAGGAGCCATTCCACTCGGGACCGGAGGGATACACCTCGCCGTCGGGGCCGTGCCCGACCCAATTCAACGCGGGGATCCACTCCCCGCAGCCCTCGAGATCCAGCCACTTCAGACAGTAGGTCGCGCGCGACAGCCGGCGCAGGAGGCCCGCGACCTCGGCCCAGTTGTTCTCGGCGGCGGCGTAGGCGTCCGTGCCGCCATAGGCGAAGGTGAGGGCGCGGTAGGCCGGGTGGCGGACGGTGGCGGTGCGGGCGTGCGGGGTGGCGGTGGGGAGGGGCCAGTGGGCCAGCGAGAGGTGGGTGATGCGCGTGAGGCGCGCGAGGAGCGGGATCAGGCTGTTCCAGTTCGCGGAGGCGGGGGTCGGATGGGCTAGGGAGAGGTACCGGAGGTTGGTGAAGCGCGGGATGCGCAGGAGGGTTGTTGGTAGGGGTGTGGATGGACTAGGCTGTGGGGTTTGGTGGTCGTCGTATTCGTCTTCCCAGGAGGATGGGACGGCGGGGCTGGAGGCTGGCTCGTTGGGGGTAGGTTGGATAGCAGAGGTCGATTGTTTGGTGGTGAGGAGCAGTTCGCTGGAGATTTGCTTGAGTGTGAGCCAGCGGCCTAGGGCGCTGCTGAGATCGAGGCGGGTGATTTCGTCGTCGTTCTCGTGCGCTGCGCCTGCCTCACTGCTGTGCTCGTGAACAGCCGCGAAGTCATCATCCAACTGCTGCTGCTGCTGCTGCTGCTGCTGAGAGCGAGGGAACAACGGCCGCAGCCCCAACCCCGGCGGGATCTGATAGTCCCGGGTGTACACACCGAGATAACTGAGCAGTCGGACCTTGACATGATTCGGCAGGTCCGCGAGAAACGGCCCGTCGTACTCGAGATGCCACGCCCAGTAGAGCGCCATGGACTTCAGCACGGTATGCTGCAGGCTCCCTCTGGCGGGGAACGTCGTCCCGGGCAGGCGCCCCTCCAGTCGGTAGATGGTGCGGGTCTCCGTCGCGGCGTCATCGTCGTCCACTGCCTCATTCTCTTCCTCGCGGCCGTAGTTCCCCACGAGCCAGCTCTGAGGGGCGGGTGGTCCGGCGGCGGTTCGTCGCGTGCCCCGTCGTGCGCCGACGACGGCGTGGCGGCGCGAGCCTGGCCGCGGGCGCGGGGGCGGGGTCTCGGGGAGCTCGAGGAGATTGCGCAGCGATGGGTGGACCGAGCGGGGGACCACGAACTGATAAGAATTTTCGGGTCTCTGGTCGGGGGTTCGTGTGACTTGGGTGCGGCGGAGGTGGTCGATCAGCTCGTTCACGGAGGGCTGTGGTGGTTGTTGCTGTTGTTCGGAGGTGGACGAGGGGCGGAGGCGATCATGGTCTTTGGTGCGGGAACCGCCGGAGGCCAGAGTGTGATGGGCTGTACTCGCTGGCTTCGCATAGGCATTCTTCTTGAACTTCTTGGGCATAGGGGATAGTTATGGTGGTGGGTGGCATGGAGTGGGAATGAAATGAAGAGATTAACAATGGTTATTGTCGACTCTCGAGAAACGATTGACGTCGGCGGGTCGCAGTTAAGTTGCGGAGCGGAGTTAAAAATGACCTTCGTTGTAAGCGGAAGCCAGGCTGGAAGGAACAATGAGTCGATTTGACTCACGGTGGGCCTGGCCTGGCCCGACACAGCCTCAATCGGCTCATTGGTTGACTGACACACGGACTGTGATGGCTAAGTATGGTTTCATTTTGTGAGTCTGTACAGTACACCCTCGTCTATCAAATATGCTCTAATTTACACTGGATATGGCATTGGCGTGTCGCTGTAGACGCTTCAGAGATCGCGCACCCAAGACTCATCCAACTTCTTCCCCTCCCGACTGGGACCTTCTCGAATCCACGTTTCCGCGAGACCCGCCTTGGGATCTTCATCCGAGTGGCCTCGAGACCGCCGCACCTCGAGAACCAGGTTCCGAACCTTCATGGTCACCTCCTTGCGCAGCTCGACCGCCTCCGGCCCGTACAGGAGCTCGTCATTCAGCACTCCGAGCGGGAGGTCGCGGGTGTCGGGCGATTTGCGCTCCGCCTTGGCCCTGATCTGCTGCCACTTCCTCCGCGACTCGCCGAAGACGGCTTCTGTATCCACCTTCTTTCCGAACGTGATGCTGACCTCCTTGCCGACCCGAGGCAGGAAGCGCGGGAACTCGCGACTCTCGTGCATGACCTGGTCGAAGCCCTCCAGCCAGATGGGCACAACGTCGGGACATTCACTGGCTTCGAGGATGAGCCGGGCGACCCCCCACTTGAAATATCGCATCGTCTTGTTCGGCGCCTGGTGGATCATGCCCTCGGGGAAGATGTGGAACCAGGAATGGGAGTTACAGGCGAAGGAGGACGGGGACAGGTGGGAATCGTGACCGTCGGTCGTGAACGCCATCGGGAGATCTGAGAACGGGTCGACGCAGACATTCTGCAAGCTCCACGATTGCCGCTCGGGGCGGGCGAGATGGGGGTCGGCGGCGAATGGGCCTTTCGACAGCAATCGGATCGCCTGGGTGACAACGGGTTGTGCCAGACCACCGTGTGGCGAATGGGCGAGTCGATGGGTGGGAAGGACCTGGCCCATTGTAAAGAACAGCGCCAGGGGTCTTGGACCGGATTCCTCAGATTAGCCCACCACCCTTGCCATAGTTAATCTCGATGGAAATGCCCAACAGCGCATACCTGGTCTGGTAGCAGATATCGTGGCTTCCAAATCCCCAGCGTTTATTCGACGAGGAAAGGTTCAGCCAGTACCGCATCGGCAGAAACCCCCACATAATCGGGTCATCCATCCTGCTCGGAGTGTCGCGTCGCGACCATGATCAGCCATCTCCGTTGTCAAAAGTAAATCGGAATCGCCTCGGACCTCAAGGCGCATTTGTACGCACGTACACGCTAGTATGGTTCGAGACTGATTGCAAAGGAAGAAAAACGATCAGTCATCATGTTCAAAAAATAGGCGCAACGGCGCGAACGACAAGATCCGGGATGAGAAATTACCTGTTAACAACCCTCTTGTCCTCTGGGCCGGATCGCGTCTCGAATCGAGTAACTCCAAAAATGGCTCCAAGCCGTACACCTCTGGCTTGCTGCACACGTACAGAAACGACCGGCACAGCGATGCGACCCCGAGCATGGTCGTGGCGGACAGAGTCCTCCATGGGAGCGAGGGGGCCTCCGCCGTTGCGCCGGCGTCCGTCGTCGAGCGCGACATTTTGTGTATAAATTCGGAGTCGTTTCGCCTTTCACGGGTTCAAGCGCGCCCGCATCCAAGAAATCAAAACTATCCACAAAGAAGAAGATGAAACTTAAAAGATAAAGAGATCAATAATCTAAATGACGCACAAAAGGGGAGAAACCCCGAAAACCGACAGCGCGCGAGCAAGTAGCGCCTTCATTGGGCGAAAACCAAATCGAGGGAAAAGAGAGAGAGAGAAGCAGAGAGAGACGGAGAGAGAGAAGCGTCGGTCCCGCGGAGGTGAAGAGCGGGCACGGACCAACTTCCCAAACCTCGACGGGATTTTCGTCCGCTCCTCCACCTCCAAACCCGCTCAACGCTATTCCACATTACTCTACTGTCTCGCAACTCAGTGTGTGTGTGCGTGACGCTTTATTCAAGATGATGTTCAAGCCCTCATCGCCGCTCTTCTCGGGTCTTCTCTGGTAAGTTCGCACTGGTTTCCAGACGCACCCCCCCCTCCCCCCAATCGACCTCCGCACTCTCCGTGCCTCTCTCTCCAATTCCTTCCTATCACCAACAAGTCTTTCCCACGACACCGCTAGCTGTCCCCTCTCCTTCCCAAATCCAGCAATAACTAATCCCAATTCTCTCGCAACAGGAAGATCCCCTGGCGCATCTCCGCGCCCCAGAAAGCCAGACAGCGGAAGCGCCTCCGCGCCGTCGACCGCGTCGTGGACACCGTGAGCGCCGCGCTGGCCCGGACCGGCCAGACGGCCAAGCCCGTGACCCGGTGGTTCAACGAGATGCCGCGCGAGGAGGAGATGCTGCCCAAGGACAAGTACACCATCTTCGACAAGAAGGAGAAGAAGTACCGGAAGGGGATTCACAGTGAGTTTCCGCCCGCCAGCCCAACCCTCGATCGATCAAGCTTTCCGTCGATTGGATCAACGCACAGCGGAAGAACGGAGACCAGGGGGAGGAAAAGAAGCTAACATTTGCCCCCTCAAATCAACAGAGCTGCCCAAGTGGACGCGAGTCAGTCAGAGAGTCAACCCCCCTGGTTTCTAAACGAAGCCCGTCCTTTCGCTCGCACGCTGGGTTATTTGCGCGGAGAGACACACGGACCATCCGCACGAGAAACAAACCTCCTTTACTACTGAACTCCTACTCCGCAAAATGATTTGAGTTGGAGTCTTTACGCTGTATTATACACCATCGCATTACCACCACCGTCCATGTGGATCACCCCTTTCCGATAAAGAGGCTTTCGAGTTGAGGAAAACGGGTCACGGGGAAGGGCGACTATCGGAGTTTTTATCTTTTTGGCAACTGGGAGATGGCACGTCATAACTGCATTGGTATTCCTTGATATTCACAATGTTCAATTTTTTCTCGCCTTATACCGTACATCCATTATGTTCGCTTCGCCCGATTGAGCTGTGTGTTCGGTATTTTCTCGACAGTGTAAAGATAGGTGGACATATAGTCATATCAAAGCAAGACAGCTTGGAAATAAGAATATGGCAAGAAAGTGCCTCGGGTTTGATCACTTTTCCCATACATTGCCTTTCTAGTCCCTGTCCCCGCATTCGCAAGAGTTGCCTTCACCCTTCCCTGTGTCAAATTGACGCCACTGACTGGTCCCTTGATTATGTTGTTACCCGCGAGTAGCCAGATATCAAGAGATTCTAGAAATTCCCAGTCGATAGTACCTCGTAATACCAAGCGCAATCTCTTTCGCTCGTCTCCGGTTTGCCCTTCCCTCGTGGATTGCCTTCCGGATTCGATAACCACGGCGAACCATTTGCCAGTCATCTAGCGTCTCTTGCCAACCGGCTCCTCCTTCATAGAATACGGTCCCTTGGCGAGAGGACATGCTAAATCCTTGAGGCGGTTTCCGAAGTATCCAGCATGCAGGGTCAACCTTGCCATCCGGGGGTGCGTCGTCTGAACCCTCAAATAGCTCGACACCTTTGATCACATCGTCCAGCCCACCCGCTCGTCTATTCCGATTTACTGCTGCTCTCCAGGAGTTGATCTTCGGGACGTTGGCAGTTCTGCGTTGCAGCTTGGGGTACTTCGGCTTAGGGGTCCAGTCAACGGCTGGATATGGGTCATTGAATCTTGGATCCCCAAGTCGGCGTCTAGCATCAATAGAGATTCGAGTCGGAGGGTCAATGACGATCCATGTCTCTGGATTCAGCCAGTGATTGGCAAGCAAGGCAAAATGATACGGTCTGCGTCCGGGGATGAGCTGGTTGGAGAGCCACTCAAGCCTTCGGTCTAAGTCAGCTATCAACTGTAAATCACAATCTCTCAGTCCGATGCCAAAAGCTTTGGGTTGGTCCACATTCAGCTCTTCCATCTTTGCCTTTCGGCAAGATGCAAAGCCTTTATGTGAACTCTGCTCATGCCCAAGACTTTTCGGTCCAATTGGCAAGCAGTCTCTTGAGAACTTTTGATTCATACCAGGTTCGAGGCTTCGCAACATCAAACTGTCTCTTTCTTTGTGGAAGAGATCTTCACAGTATACTGTCTCAGAAAATCGTCTCGCGATGTCAGAATTAAAGGCGGTATGTCGAAGAGGCGTAGCATTTGCGGCAGCATTGCGCCTTCTGCTTTCGAGAGGTAGACTGCTCCACCTCGATGATGATATCCGGCCACTCCACTGTCTTATCATGTTACACAATCCAGGGACAAGACTAGTATCTGACAGAAGTCCCGTCAGTCTGTCAGGTCTCTCGACACGGACAGGTGGGCAGAAGGATCCATCATGGGCAGTGAGGTTACCCATCCGAGTACGGCGTGCACGATACGGGCGCGAGTAGCGAGCCGTATGCCTGACTCGCGGGTCACTATCAAGTCTGGTCAGATGGTGGGTCCAGTTTGTCCTGAGGCCGTCCTGCCTCCTGAGGCGCTCTGTCACGGGTTTGAAGCACGGGAGAGAGCGACTTCGCGACAATCTTGGAGCGATAGTTTGAACATTCCGCGGAAACGGAGAAACTGGGGAAGAACAAAATGAATGCTCTAAGGTCATTATTTTTCGAGCCTCGATCTGAAAGCGAGTTGGCCTGCGTAGCTCTCCGGTTGTGTTCATGAATCCATCCCAAGCTCGTGCGGGGGCTTCAGACGGCGTCACTGCTCCGCGACATTCATCCTGAAGATAGACCTTGATAGAGACCTGCGCGCAGATACTCGTCCTTGACACCATTTGCCTATTTCCCACCATGCGTTTCGGGGTATGACAAGAAGAAAGTGCTCCAGCCATGCGAAACGACAGCGACGGATGACTGCTACTCGGCTCAGCGACGACACCAGCATTGTCAACAGGCCTCGGATTCCAGATGGTATCGGCGGGCGTGAAGCTGTAACTCCTGATCCAGCGAGGCAACCACTGCAACGGCCGTCTCGTCTTTCGGTATTGGTTCAGCTCCCGCTGCCCCGGATCCCACCACACCCAGCTATAGTCCTGGTTCGACGAACGCCACGCCGTCCACCTGCCGAACTTATCGAAACAAGTTCGAAAGAACTTCTTGAGGCCTGCATGTTGCTCCGCTGGCACCCAGCCGTAGCAGGTGCGGGCGTAACGAGCGGTGGTCGCGTTGCCCTGCTGGGTAACTTTGGCCTGGGTGAAGCGGCGGAAGAATCTCCCGAGCTTCCAGAAGAGCACCGCGAGGACGAAGATGGAGATAGTGATGGCGAATAGTTGCAGCAGCACGCGGAGACTGAAGTGCTTGGGGCGTGCCATAGGAGCCGCCGGGTCGATGCTTCGCGTTGGGCGGGAGAGGAAGGGACCATGATATGGCTGTATAAGGACGGGTGCCATCGGACGCGTGAAAGGAGCGTAGCAAGGCAGTCATTCTGATAAGAATACCATTGCTTGCACTGGTGGAAGTGAGTCTCTTCTCAGCCGCTCCATGAGTCGCTGACCTGAGTGTAGTAGAGAGGCATCGTCGCAGAGGAAGGAAGGCATGGCGGTGGGTATGGAGGTGAGCTCCGTCACCTTCCTGCCGAGGAAACTTGGCCAGTTACCTAGCCTTCGTATGACTTCTTCGGAGGAGGGCTCGCAAAAGGTTTTGCGAAATGACTTTGAGGCATCTCTGAGCTTGAAGGCTTGGTGCAAAGCTCCTTCTCACACACTGCTCATTCTGGACAAGCTTTCCAAATTATGTTCAAATCGATAGTATCGAGAGTCGAAAGCTCTACACAAGGCGAGCAGCAATAACCCAATGAACGATAGTGACTCGCGGAATACTTTGGAGGCTTTGGAACTGACTGACATCTCATAACTTCATGTCTTGATCTGTAGCTATAGCTTCCACGAGATGTTATAACGCTACACTTGACATGCAGCTCTGACTCTCGACCTGGTCAGAGGCTGTTCGATTATTTCGAGAAGAACAAAGCTATCACACATCACACACTGCGAGAATTGAAGGATCTCAAGCCCGAGAAACTCATTGAGATTCTTATCACTCGCTCCAATTCTGCATCAGTCTAAAGAGCCAGCCAGATCGAACCGTTCGGAAGTCATTGCATGAGCGATGAGTGACAAACCCCCTTCCTCTATGTTGTCTCATGTGCTAAGAGGTACTCCTGACAGCGCGCAGTCTGACACTAAGCTCTTCTTCATCGTATACCAGACAGTGGCCAGGACTGTTGCTACAGATGTTCAAGTGCAGGGGACATGTCAGGTGACCGTTCTCTAAGTACAGGAAGCAGCGGTCTCTCGCCTCACTATTACGCCTCATTTCAATTTCGCTGACAGCCATCGACGGAAATACCTCTAGAGCCTAACCACGATCCTTTTTTCTGCTCGCTCAGATTCTCTATCCTCCGTCTCTCCCTCGGCGACATTCCCGCTCCACAGTGGGATAAAATCGCTCCGAGGGCCAGAGATTACGTCGGTCTCAACTTATTATTGAATACATTGAATCCTCCTAGAAGGGGACCCCTCCTTGCAATGGGATTTCCTTGTTTTCCATGTCAAAAAAGCAAGGTTCGGCAACTAAGTAGTAGACTAAGATCGAGAAGGGCAGGACCCCACATGAACTGCGGCATTTGCATCCGGCCTAGTCCTCACATTAATCCATGCGGCGACTTTGAACCCCGGTCCGAGACAGTTTGTCTTGAGGTCTCCACAGTAATCTATACGCTACTATCCGGTATGTAGTATACCTATTGTAGTCATGCTCATTCTTGGAAAGCAAGGACAGCCGCGATGCCAGACTCCCTTTGTCAGGGCTTGCGAGTGGAGTTGAAGTTCTTTGACCTGAGACGGTGGGGTGGATCCTGATGTTGCTGGATTGCGCAGGGCTGCGGCGCTCGTACACATGTATGACAAAGACATATGTGATAATCTTGCGAATCAGACATCCAGGTTCTGGTTGGCAGCGGGGGATTCTTAAGAGCTTCCGTTCCAGGGCTGCAGACGCCACGGCATGTTGCTTCAACTAATGAGGCTCGTATCTGAGTGTGAGAGGCTAATGGCTTCGTGTCAGCTCGCTGCTGCCGCTGACCTGGCGGTCGATCATCTTGCAAATGGTCAGCCCACAAGGACAGAAAGAGTGACGAGAGGACTTCAACATCAAATCTGCACGGTGCATCTCATGATCCAAGAAGAATAAGTGGTCGTGCACAGGAATGTAGCCTGGAAGGTCCAAGCAGTCAATGGAAACATGTCTAAAGTCTTTACGCCACCTGCGCGGGAACGGAAAACAAAGCCGGCTTTTCTCCCTTTGTTTCCATCGAAAAGAAATGAGAACGTCTGGAGTGATATCTAGCCACTCTGCGAACATATTTACACTCTTCCAGTCGATCGCAGGTGAACAAATCGTGTCATCTGCATGTCGAACAGATCTTCAGATCGATCTCAAACTTTGTAAAGCATACCTGCTTCTTCGTAAGCGGGTTTAAAGGCTATTCGTGTTTACAGTGACCAACTCAGAGTAGGAATGCAGAATAGCAGAAGCACGTATATCAATCGTGGAGGGTAATCAGTCAGTCAGAAAGGCAAGCCACGGCTTGCTGAAGGCTGTCCAGTCACAAAGCGTGATATCTGAGACCGGTGCATGGTACCTTTGTTGTGTGATCTTACGCCCCGCCTAGCTGTTGAACCTTGCTAATTAATGCTCGGCCGAAGCGGACTTTTATCGACTAAATGTAAGATCGTCCATGATACGCACGTAGACTTCGGATTGCCAGGATCGGCTGAAACAACCCTGACACTCTCACAGAGCAGGTCAGATAATGAATTCATCACAATCGCTGGTGCTAGCTCCGTGGAGGGCTCGACCTGAGATAGACACTTTCTCAGTCGAGCTTCCCTAAACTTAGCTTCCGTGCAATCCCTATTCGCCAGGCGAACCAAGCCCAATTCATCATAGAATCGTTGATGGTGCCGGAATGGGGTTCTCAGAAGAGGAGCTCAAGCCGCACAAGGTAGGACAGAGCATGGAAACAAAGAGAGAGGGGGAGAAAATAAAAGAAAAGAAGCTAATGCATCCTGAGTTATGGTTGCGGACATCGTCGTGGGTGTGCCCGGGGATCTGCCATCAAGCAGAAGCCGAAGAGTGACCGTACAAGACACCTTTGTTCGGTCAGAGATCGCCCCTCGTGACAAACCATACTAGGTAGCTCACTGTGGGCCACAGTTTAGCTTTCGAAGGTCCACGAGAGATGCTTGTTTATCAATGTATAGAGAGACACTGGAAGGGCTATTGGGATCCATGATGCAAGGACTCCACCGGTTTGTACTGGGTGACACCCTGTTCACCGCCACAATTAGAGCCGTTGATCCTCGGTAAGCCATCTGTGGCTGATGGACCACGTTTCTAGCCCAAAGAGGAATGAGCGAACCTCAACCTAGGACGGTCAACACCGTCCGCGCATGGAACTAGAACTCAATCAGTAGTTCCGATCATCTCGCATTACATTGCAGGTCAAAGTACTGGGTTGAGTCCTGGTATCTGGGAAAAAGTAAGAATTGTGGCGTCGATGACGAGGTCTTAGGTGTCAAGAAGTGTCCTGTCTTCTCCTTTTATGTTGGTGTTCTCTGCTTACGAGGCAAGTAACTCGCTCGTATCTTTCGTGTTTTGATAACACAGTAGTCTCTCATAGAGTCACCAGTGAGACTCAATATAGAGCAATCACAATGCCATCAGTTTCATTGTTCTACGTGAGCAACGCAGATACGGAATTTGACCGCCCTGCCCTGTTTCAGCAGTCCAAGGATGTCGTCATCCATACTGCGGCATCCTTCAAAACCAAAAGTACTGTACTAGCGGCAGCGCAGTACCGTGGTGATGTTCTCCGTCCTCGCCAAATGATGCATCGTAATCCGTGTAATCGAATGACTCCACCATGTGTGTGTGTGTGTGTGTGTGTGTGTGTGTGTGTGTGTGGGTGCACATCTTAGCGCACCGTGCTTGGCTGACTTCGGATGTAGAGAGCGCGAAGTCATGAGCGTTAGCCTGCATTGCAAGGTGGGTGGGCTCTCAACTATTGAGTTTCACGCAATTAGGTTTCATGCTCAATAGGCCCTCTATGTCTCAACAAATGCCGAAGGATAATGACCCGTTGGTCCGACCACAGAAGTACCGTGATTGAGAAAAAAAAGTGAAGTTATCCGGACGGAGTAGCAAGGAAGAGCCAGCAGCGTTGGAGTGGGGCTTGCAACATCTCCTCTACCAGGGCTATTGTTTTTGATCTGCGCAATGCACGATTTCCGCCATACTGAGGCTGAGGTAAGCTGTGGCTGGCCGATCACCCTTGACCCAAACAGGCATGTAGTGTGGCGAAGTCTCCCTTGAATTGACTGTGGCTCTCCCCCCTCCTTTTCCTGCTTCTGTCACTAATATCGGCTTGATTTATCAGGGCGGATATGAGAAGATCATCCCTTACTAGCTTCGGTCTGTGGCATATTTCACTGGGTTCAATTGCATTCGATGTACTGTCCAAGCTGTGTGATAACTCCGAGTCGAGACTTCAGTTCGACCGCCATAATTTGCTATACACGGAAGCAGTGTAAGCTTATAATCGTAGAAAGAGGTGCTTGATTCAGAGTGACCAGCTTGACTAGGTCTGGGGGTGTTGTGGTGTGTTGCTGTGTCGCTGGGGATGTGAAGGCGAAGATCGCCCGGGAGGTCACATTTGAAGCTGTCAAAACGTGGCTTCGGTGCCTTGACGATCACAAGGCCTTGGGGGTTCATGGGTAGAATCGTCTCTAGCCGCAAGGCGACAAATGCAGATGTGATCAACTTTCTGACTCTCGGACTTTCAACGGAGGAAAGGAAGATTGACTGGAAGAGAGCGGGGAAAGAGGTGGAAAGTGAAGGGGACTCGAGTCGGGAGGTCAACTAAGGAAGTCTTCAGATGGAAGGAAGGCAGAAAAAGAAAGACTGCGACGAACCATAGTTCGTGACTAGTCGATCAATCTCGGGTCTAGTTGTTTAGTCAGGTTTAAGCTTCACATTCATCTCCCCTGGCATGCAGTCACTCGGTACGCGATCTGACGGCCTCAATCGCAGACGATGTGCCATGGGGGTTCCAGGAATGCCACTCACTGGCATCCTTCGTCTCCATCCAGATGGGTTAAGAGTGATAGTTCAGTTGTCTCTGTTGGCGCTCTGGCGCTCCTTTCGTCGCGCTAACCTGGGTCTCTAGGTTTCTAGGTTTGCGCTTACGGATGGGGCAACAAAAGCAACTAGACTCGATGCAGGGTTAGAAAAAGTAAAAGGGTTGAGTCAAAGCAATGAATCTCACAGGTGAGCGGATAATGATGATGCAGGCGCCCTTTGTTTTCTGGATCGTGCAGGCTTGATCTATGCCTAACTTCTAATAACCTTTCAGTCTCCTGCATAACAGGGGTCAAAAGACTTCACTATGCAGATCTGCCGGACTAGACCTTTGGGTGTCTGAGCGAGATTGATTCCATCGTGG